CGGATCCACAGCCCCCTCTGTCAACGCGTTCAAAACATGTGCAGCAATGTTTCTCGTCGGTGGTTTTGGTGTTTCGTTTTGCTGGGTGCGACGCACGGTATCTATCTATCTGTTGGGTTGGAACCGCGCGGCTGCACGGCCACTGCCACTACTCTGCGTGATCACAAACACACACATGCGCGCGCGCGCCAACACGTACAGACATACACACACGTGCCCACACACATACACACACGTACTTGCACGCACACACGCGCGCGCGCACACACACACACTCGCTCCGCTATGCCGGCCGCTATTTATAGGTGTGTTCTGGAAATATATCCCGCACCGGGCAGGGAGAGTGAGTGAGTGAGAGAGAGACCAAGGGCTTTACTGCACAGGAATCCCCCGTCTGCTCGCGCCGCTCTCGCTGCTCTCGCTCAAAAGCCCCGCTGCAGACTGATTCCTAGTGGAAGGTCCCTCTCGCGCACTCGCTGGGCGCCTAGTCCGCGTGGGTGCGAGAGGGACGGGCCGACGGCCGGCGGCGCCGCTCCGCTCGGAATCGGCCCGAATCGGCCCCATAGCCCGCCCGGCGGCCCGCCAGTGAATCCCGCATCCCGCCAATCGGTACACTACGGACCGCACACCGCGCCACTGTAGGCTGTAGACTACGTCCTGCAATAAAGCCAAGGAGCCTGCACTGCATTTTGGAGGACGCGAGCCGCTTTCGCAGGGCGCTTTCGGGAAGGAATCGCGGGGCATTGTGGTGCAGAGGGGGAGGGGAGGGGTTGCTGGCAGGAGGTGGCGGAGAAAAGCGTTCCAATGGTAATCGTGCGAAACGTTCATGCCCTGCCACGCCGCGTTCGCCGCGTTCTCCGCGCCCCAGCGGGCCGCGCCGGCCGCGCCCCGCACCGTGTTTACCCGCGGAAGGCCCCCCCGGCTCGGCTCGGCCCGGCTCGGCCGACGTGGCTCGGCTTGGTGCGGCGGAGCTCGGCTCGTCTCGCGGCAGAAGGCTTTCAAGTAGTGTAAGTTGAGCGTTGGTGCCGTGGCTAAGGCGAAGGCGAAGGCTCCCGAAGACTGGCGTCCCGTCTCGGTAACGCTGTAACGCGGCAACGCACTCACTCACCGACGCGGGCAAGGTCACGCAGTGTCACGCAGTGCGGCCCTGTATGAGGCACTGTAACCGTGGTGTAACCGGGTCACATCGAACAACGCCCCGCCCTCGTGCTCGCGCAGCCCGCGCAGCCCGTGCAGCTCGCGCTCGTGCGTGATGCCTGCGGTCCTCACTTGACTTGCATGTTAGCAGGGCGGTCTTGATGGCAAGTGGGGTGGCCGGCCGGCTGGTGGCGTAGGCATAGGGCGGCCGGCCCAAAGGGACGCCTCGCCCCGCCTCGCCGCGCTCCGCCCCGGCGCCCCCACCTCCCCCCTCACCCGCCCCCCGACTCGGCGCCTCGCCTCGGCCTGGCCCCCTTGGCGCTCGGCTCGGGGCGCGGGGCGGGCGCGGGGTGGGCCCGGGGTGGCGCGGGGGTGGCGCGGGGGCAGTGGTCCCACCAGTGCCCAGTGACGGGCCAGGGCCCTCCCCGAGCAGTCGCCGTAAGATTCCGCGCCGCCGCGCCGCGCAGTCCCGCCGCGACACGCAGAAACACAACGGTGCACGCGTTCGCCGCCAAGACCGCCATGACGGACGATGGCTAGGCCATGCTCTCGACATGTAGGAGGCCGTCGGGGCAGAGGCCAGCGTGGATAGCTGCGGCGGGGCCGCGGGGCCCTTGGCGGGGCCGGCCGTCCGCGCGCCCCCAGGCCCTGGCCCCGCGCCCCCGCGCCCCGGATCAGGGTCCGCCCTGCGGCGCCTCTGTTCGCGCAGCAGCAGCGCGGGCAGCGCGGCGTCGTCATCACCGTCGCCACCGACGCCCGCTCAGCGCGCCGGCACGCCGTCCACGCCGTCCTCCACGCCGCACGATGCCGGCCACGGCCGCGTCTCCAGGATGAGCTGGAGGGCGCTCGTGTCGCGCCTGAGACGGTGAGCGCGCCCCCTGGACGCCGTCCACGCCGTCCACGCCGTCCAGCCCGTGCATGCGTGCGCTGGCGTGCGCTGTCGTGCGCCACTCGGCGGGGATCCATTGCCGTGGCGGAATCGATGGCGCGGACGACAAGCACTCTGCCGCACGCTGCCGGCGGGTCGATAGTGCAATCGAAGTGGCGTCCAAACCGCGCCACTGCGGACGACGCCGCCGCCACGCCGCCACGCCGCACGGCACCGAGCGGCGCCCTCCCCCACCCGGGCCACCCGGGCCACCCGGACACGACACGACACGCCTCCACTGCGGAAAAGTGCGCCATTATCCCGGGCCGTGCTGCATTCGTCATAAGGCGCCGAGCGCGCCGAGGGTCTCGACTGCTGGTGGCCGGCAATGCCGCCAGGCCGCGCCGCCACGCCACTGCTAGCTTGGCATTGATCGCGCGGCGAGTGCGTGTCGTCGTTGTCGTCGGCAAGGAGGCCGTGACCCTGGCAGAATGACAGCCCGCTCATTCCGACGTCAAACCGGCGACAATCCGTCCCCACACGCTACGCCGCGTCCGCACCGCGTCCGCACCGTGTCCGTGCCGTTGCCGTGTCCGCGCCGCGTCCGCGCACCGTGCCCTAGGCCCTCGACGGCAGGCCCCTGGCTGCCCCTGGCACGCACGCGCCAGTCCCTGCGCTTTGGCAGCCTGCGGACTAAATCCGGCCACGCCGCCCCGCCCCGCCGCGCCACGCCCCGCTTGTTGTGCAGACCTCTTGTATACTGCGGGCCGGGGAGTGGCGCGGTGCCGGGGAGGCGAAGCAGCGGAACCCAACAGACGGACAGATTTATTCCTACACGTTTGCGGCGCGGGCGGCGGACGCGCGAAATCTCCAGTGGCTTGGGAATCCGTAAGCCGCAGCGCTCGGCAGCGCTGCCCCAGGGCCTGGGGCTGCCCGGGGCCCAGGCTCTCGCAAGCGCAAATCCCGGCACCACAGCCCCACTCCCAACGCCCAGCAGACTGATTCCGAGAGCCGTTTTCCTCGCTCTGTCTCTCTCGCACCACACGGGGCACCCCATGAGGGTGAGTGAGACAGCGCGAGGAAGACGACTCTCGGAATCAGTCTGCAGACCTGCGCTCCGGCGGCCGGGCGGCGTCCCAGCGCTGCCGCCTGCGACCTCGAGATAGGCAACCCGGACTCCACTGCGCGCTGCATGCTGCCTGCCGCCAGATTGCAGGCGGTCTGCGCCATTCCCGGCCGCTCCCTGCCGCTCCATGGCGTTGTTGGCCACCCTGGGGACGGCCCGTGCGATGTCGCAGTCTCCACGCGTTGTTACGAAACTCCCCCCCCCCTTCCCCCTTTTCCCGCGGCCAGCTGAGTGCCAGCGGGGAGCCAGGGCGGCGACGACGTCCTCGCGGCTTCGCGGCCCGGCCGGCCGTCTCGAGATCAGTGTCAACACACGCGGACACCAAGCCACGTGTAACGGCTTGACGGGCCGCCGGTGCCGCGCGGCCGACGCGGTGTGGCGAGTCCGAGACGCCGCGTCGCCGCGCGACGGATAGCGTCGTGGCGTGCGGGACGCGCCTCGGGACGCGCCGAGAGAGGCTTGCCCTGTGCGTCTCGCTTTTTGGAAAAAGGCAGGTTAAGGGGCCAAAAAAGGGCCACCCTGGGGGCCCGGTCGTGGGGCGCCTGTGGCGCCCGGGGTGCCATCCCTTTAAGCGCGGCCTGCATGACCGCACGGCCGAGCGCATCAGGTTTTTGGCGCCCAAAGTGCTGCCGGCTGCCGCTTTAAAAGGAACGCACACCGCTGTCTGCCAGTCTGCTCCCGTTACAGTGCCGAGTCGGGCTCTGTCCCTTTTTCGGGACCCCTACGGGCCTACGGGAGGCCCATCATCTGCCCTAGTTGGGACAGAGCCCCGAAGTCGACCCAAAGGCAGGCTTCGAAATCGGCGCTTCGGGCCCCTTTCGCACCCGCTGACCATGTCGTCCTCCCTCAACGGCTTGGCTTGGCCTTCTTTGGCCTTTTTTGGCGATTATCTGGCCTTGTTGCTGCGGCAGGCTCGGCGACCGGCCTGGTTTCGCGCATCTTTGGCCACGCCCAGCCTAAGGCCCGTTCGCCCCGCCGGGCAGCCGAAGGCGCGTAAGCAAACAGCCCTTGAGACACAACCCGCCCATCGCCATAACGCTAATGTGGCCTCTGTCTTTTGCCTCGCGGGTCGCGGAAATATTTGGCTGCAAATTTGGGGTCGCAAGCCGAAAAAGGTTGAGAACCGCTGGGATAAGGTCAGGTTAGGGGCCGGACCACCCTGGTGAGGCTCTCGTGGGGCTGCGCTGCTGCGCTGGCTGACACGTCTTAAGCGCGGCCTGCATGACCAGTACGGCGAGCAGCATCAGGTCTGGCGCCGCAAAGTGCTGCCGGCTGCCGCTAAATGGAACGCACCCCGCTGTCTGCAGTCTGCTCCCGTACAGTGCCGCGTCGCTCTGTCCCTCTCGCACCCCTACGGGACCTACGGGACGGCCGATCAGTGCGAGAGGGACAGAGCGACGCAGAGCGACGAAAGCAGGCTTCGCTTCGGCGCTTCGGCGCTTCGGCCCGCTGACCATGTCTGACCGCCGCGCTGCTGCCTTGTTGGCCTTGTTGGCCTTGCTGGCCTTGTTGCTGCAGGCAGGCTCGGCGGCTCGGCCCTGGCGCGCCGCCAGGCCCAGCCAGGCCAGTTCGCCCCGCCGGGCCGCCGGCCGCCGGGCGCGTAAGCAAACAAGACCCTCCCTGCGACACAACCCGCCCACCGCCATAACGCTAATGTGGCTCTGTCTCTCTTGCACTCGCGGGGCGTCCACAGGGGGTGAGAGCGAGACAGGGCGCCGGGGCACTGATCGGAATCAGACTAGTCATGCTGGGGAACAAGGACGAGGGGGTCTACACTGCGAGGTGCAGACGCTGTGTTGCGGAGGTGACACTAGGGTGCGCCGTTGCTGTCACTGTTTCTAACGATGTCTCTCTCTTTCTTTGCTGCAGCTTGACGTCCAAGAGCGGTGATGACGACTGTAGGAACGGGGATCCTGACCCGATGGATATGTTGACCTGCGACGGGGAACCTCCGTAAGTAGCGACGAAATTTATTTTTTAATTTAAGAAGTAGAACATTGTAAAATGTTTGTTGTTTCTTTGCAGACCTCCTCTAGAGGAGATCCGAGCGTGGGGAAAATCTTTCGACAAACTGATGAAAAGTGCAGGTGAGAGGACGGGTTTTGTAGTGGTGTGGAGTTCCGTCTTGAGGCGTCTGTGAGGCTAACGCGCCCTGGTCTGTTGCAGCTGGCCGAAGAGTGTTTCGTGACTTCCTGCGATGCGAATACTCGGAGGAAAACATCCTCTTCTGGCTGGCCTGCGAAGAGCTCAAGAAGGAATCCAATCCCGACTTGATCGAAGAAAAGGCTCGTTTCATTTATGAGGACTATATTTCTATTCTATCGCCTAAAGAGGTAAGTCGATAGCCAGAGTTCACCATTTTGGTCGGTGCTTCGAATGAAGACGAAATATAAATCACCCCAAATTTAATAGCAAAATCCGGTTTAAAAACCTCAGATGGGAGGCTGGGACTCGCGTCTAACATACTCATCTTGTTTTGTTTGGAAAATAGGTGAGCCTGGACTCGCGGGTCCGCGAGCTGGTCAACAGGAACATGGTGGACCCGACGCCGCGCACGTTCGACGAGGCCCAGCTGCAGATCTACACGCTGATGCACCGGGACTCGTACCCGCGCTTCGTCAACTCGCAGCTGTTCCGGCAGATCGCGCAGCTCGACAACAGCGGCGGCTCGCAGACCGGCTCCACGGCGGGCACACCGTCGGGGGCGTCCGGGACCGCGGCGCCTGGCGGGGCGGGCCCGCAAGGGGGCGGTTCGCTGCGACGCCAGTCCAACGCGTAGAGGCCTCACACACCTCGCCGCACCGCGCCACCGCCGAGCACGCCGAGCACGCCGAGCCTGCCCTGCCTCTCGACGCCCGCCTGCCCCGGCCGCCCCTCGGGCCGCCCTCAGCCTTGCCGCCCCGCCGGCCCCGCCCCCACGGCCTAGCCCTGCCTCGCCCTGCCTCGCCCGCCGAGGGGGCCCCGCCAAGGGCGCCAAGCCCTCGGCCAAGCCCCTGCAGGGCGCTTGGGGGCGGCACAGAGGCGGGGCCCCTCGGCCGAAGCACGCTGGGCACGCTCAACAACCACCCCACCGCGCCGCCCCCACGCTGCCCCCGCGCCGCCCCCAGGCCTGCCCCCTGTAGGGCATGCCCGCCCCCAGCCCTGGTCGCACGCCCGGCGGCCCGACGCGCATGAAACAAAGAAACGCCATTAGTCAATGTTTCAATCGGTGGTTGTGCAAATTTTCCCGTCTTGTCATGCGAGGCCTAAATGCCGATTTCCTATATGAGTGCGTGTGTGAGTGTTTGTTCGTGTGTTTGTGTGCGTGAGTGTGTGAGTGGGCGCGTTGCCTCGGCCTCCGCCCGGCGAGCAGGCTCGGGGGGTGGCTGCCAGTGGCTGCCAGTGGCTGCACTGGCCAGGGCGACACCGCTGGGGGCGGCTCGGCCAGGCCCGGCCAGGGCCCGGCTCGGGCGACAGCACGACAGCAGGCCGACGGCTGGGCGACAGCGGCGGCGCCGAGACAGGATGCCTTCAGTGCTGCCAGAGTGCGTGTGCGACTTGCTCACCGAGACAACCCTAAAGGACCTGCCAGAGGTCAACAGCGGGGACAATTGTTCCCTTAGTAATAATTTTTAAAAAATATTAAAGTGGACCAAATATTCTTTTAATTGAGACTTGCATCGCAGAGGAGGTGTGGCTGTCTCATGATTCTTATGGTTATTATTTAAAGGAAAACAGAAAAAATTGAGTATGAGAAAGGGGTGGGAGCGGGCGTGAAAGTGCGTGAGAGAGACGGAATGATCATAGAGGACGAGAAGGAGTAGGAGGAGTAGGTGTAAGTTGTGAACGGCCCTGGCGCGAGCTAGCGGTCCGCTGCGTCGCACAAACCTGTTTTGTAGAGACTATGTTGTTGGAGTCGTTGGAGACGGGCCCGTCGATGTGTCAAGGGGAAGATGGGGCGCGCTGCGTCGCGTCGCCACGCACTGTTTCCAAGGATTCGGGCGGCGGGGGGCGGGGGCGACTCAAACCCACACCCCGCCCCCAGTAGGGCCCCCCAACGGGGCTCCCCACGCCCTCGCCTCGCTCTTGCTCTCTGATCGTCTGGTGTTTTCGTTGGTGCATCTTTTGTGATATTCCCACAGTCGTTGTCTTGCAGTACTAGTCCCTTGATTTCTGGATCGGGCTGCCGTTTTGACTATAAGCTGATGTAGAAGGAAGAAGGACGTAAGGGCGCTTTTAAGGGGCGCCACTGCCCGGTGGGGGACCGTGTTCACGAACGTGTTCATGCCTCCTCCAGGCGCTTCCTTAGACCCGCCCTTGTACGGCGTTGTGTTAGTCTGTAGACTGCAGACTCCTCTCGGGGAGCATATCAAGCATTCCCCATATACTGTTTCATTTTATTCAAACCCCGCGAAGAGGTTGCTTCCGACACACTGATGATTGCATTGTGAAAGAAAAGAGTACTCCTTGTCTTTTTATACGTTATTAATGTTGTTATAGGTGGAGCGCATTTGCTAAGGAATGTGCAGGGAAACTGGGTGAATGTATTCATCCCCCATTTCCCAGAGTGTCAGAATGTTCGACATGGGATCCCCTCTAGGCAAAATACTCGAATGGAAGTAATTTCTTCCTAGAAGGGAATTCCTCATTCACAATTTTTTTTTTCGTTGGAAAGTGTGTGTACCGCTCCTCTCGTCGACTGAGGTAGAATGTGTTCCAGCCATGTTAGCCGGCAGACTCGGTCGAGCATCCGTTTTAAGGTGCAAAGTCTCAGTCTCAAGGTCGGATAGCCGACGACCATTCGTTTCCTGTTAATTACATCTTACAAATGAACACCCAACATGATTTTTTTTCCTCCGAACGTCGATGAAACCCTGTGCTACTCGTTGCGTTTGCCAAAGACCTTGACATTAGAACCACTGAATGTACAAGCACCTTTATTAGGAGAAAACGAACACTTTGACTGGGTTGGGTACTACACTTAGACATAAATAATTCAATGTGTACTTAATCGTATACGGCCTACTTGTTACTGTCCAAACTGCCACAGACACCCTCTTAGTCTTAAATTAGAGACGCTCAAAAAAAAACAAACTGAAAAGTAAACCTGCAATAAAATTGCCAGAGAGATCTGGTCATCAAAATTTGTTCCACATGCAGGGTGGTGACCAAGCTTAAACGCGTGTTCGAACATGGCTGGAAAATACACAAACATAATGTGATACGTTGCTCGAGCAACGATGGAACAAAAAAAAAGGCCGCCAAACGCAGTTTTACACAATTTTCGCCTTTTCCCCAGCAACATAAACAGCAAATCATTAATTTAACTGTGCGACCGTTGCTTCCTTGGCAGAGCTGAGGGACCCTGCGCGGTCTCACCTGCAGCTCTTAGAGGGTGTCACCTTTGCACAAATTGTAATTTACTTTAAGGTTCATTTCAGTTGTAAAGTACCTGTATGCAGATTGATGGCAAATTAATGAATAAAATGAGTAACAGAGCATTGTCCCTATAAAGATCTTTGAGCTCCGCCTGTCCGAAGGCAGGGAGGTCATTGCCTCCCCCAACAGCCCTCTCTGCCCCTGGCGTCGCACAGGTAGGCAACCCGAATGACTGCCCATGGTTTCCACCCCCCACGTCGAGTGCGTTTAATGCCTCACCGATGGACGAACGGAAAATCATGGTTGTGATATTGAAGGGTCTCCTTTCTGCTCGACTGTTGAGATAAGGGCGTGCATTGGCATGCATTGTATGCATGGGGGGTCGACAACACCATGCCACTGTAATATCGAGGCCAGTCGGTCGATGCAAAACAAGTTTCTTTATCTCATCTCCTTGTAAAATTTGCAATGTGGATTTGCAGTGCAGGGCCGCGCCACGAGCTGACATCATGCTGACATAGCGGCGGCGAGCTGACGAGCGATGCGCGGACACCAACCATACACTATAACCTTGATTTTGGAAGTGAAAGGAAACAATTCTATTTTTATTTCGTAACCAATATTTAAACTACAACCAAAGGGATCACTTATTGTCTTTCTTCGAAATATTTGATTGCGACAACCCACAAACCTTTAACCTCGACCATAGCATGTGTCTGTGTGCGAACCGCTTTCATTTAGAAACCACAATGTTTAAGCATGTTGTATGAAATTTGTACTGAATGTATTGTATCTGCCCTCCGTGTCGTTGAATTCCCATTCATCCCTCCCCCTTCCTTCCCCACTGGCACCTGGTCCATTTGCTAGCTTATGAAAACTTTGTGGCGAAGGCCAACTACTACCCTTCGTTTAGGTCTAGGTCTTGATACCAATGTTCGAAATGAAATAAAAAACACAATCATTTAGGAATTACAAAATTTATGCTATAGATGATATAAATGTAAATCAAACCGAATATTAGTGCTGGTTATTCATACCTAGTCATTATACAGAACTGTTATTAAATGTATGAGAAATCACAAACTCTTTATATTTATTCACACGCTCACTGCCATGCCATTTCACAGGCAGACTGCGACGCTGGGCTACGCCACTACGCCACACTGTCCTCCGCCGCGAGGCCAGGCAACCCATCTAGCGCGGCCGTTTAATTCGTCTTGGGTTCTCCCAGGGTGGGTCTTGCCTGGCCTTGCCTGGCCTTGCCGCAAGGCCGACATGAGCCCCGTGTCGATTCAGCTCCGACCGCTCTCGGCCCGGCCTGGGGCCCAACCGAGCTCCAACCCCAATTCGGTTTGAACCCAGAACTCAGTTTGAACTCTAGTCGGGGTTCGGTTGGGCCTCAGGTCGGTCCTCAGATCATCGGGACTCGAACGGTACGGAACCGCCATTTCGTTGCACTACAAGGCTGTTTTGCGTCGCACTATGCCATGCTGCACGACGTTCAGGAGGGCGACGCGGGCTCGTCGGCGTCGTCGGCCGCCTGGAGGCCCAGCAGCTCCTCCACGGCCTCCTGCATCATGTCGCGGTACTTCTCGTTCTCCTCGTACCACTTGGCGACGAGCGGGCCCCGGGTGGCGGTCTCCACCATGAGGCTGGCCCGCTTGCCGCTGTCCACGAACAGTCCCGCCAGGTCGGCGGGGTCGCCGGCCAGCACGGGCCGGTACGAGCAGCTGAAGGCCCTGCCCACGAACGACAGCCGCTCCACGGACTTGCTCAGGTCGGCCATCGTGAAGTCCTGCCGGGCGCGGCGCGGCACAGCGGGGGCAAGATGGTCATTATTTAGGTCGCTCTCAACGAAACGGTCACGCAGAGTCCGCGCCGCGATCCGTCGATGCCGTGCAATCACCGTCAGAGGGAACGACCCAGCCAGGCCCAGCCCGCACAGTGGGCCTGAAGACCGGTGGAGGCGGTCAAAATTCTAGACGCGGTTTGAGCTCCAGAGTCGCTAAATGGGACTTGAATTGGACGTGCGAACCCACCAATGGATTGCTCTCCGGACGAGGAATCCATTGGTGGGGTCACACGCTCGGTTCAAGTCCCGCTTAGCGACTCTGGAGCTCAAAACGCGTCTAGATTTTTGGCTGCCGGCCTTCTGGCCCACTGTGGGCCGCCGGGACGAGCCAGCGCTCTCGCGTGCGGAGCAGTGCGGAGTAGCAACGGCTCCATTCCTAATTGCAGTCACGGCATATGACAGCACGCTGATCCCGAAGAGTACCTCGCCGCTCTGTCTCTCTCGCACCCCATGAGTGCGAGAGAGACAGCGAAGTGCCGGATCGGAATGAGCCGGCGGGTCATGCTAGGACTATGCCCACCTTGGAGATGTCGAGGCCGCGTTCGCGCGTGAAGCGCAGCAGGTCCTCGTGGTAGCCTCGCAGCAGGCTGTCCTGGTGCTGGCGCCGGAAGCAGCGCCGCGTGCCCACGTGCAGGAACATGAGCAGGTCCAGGGCGGGCATGCCGAGGCGCACCATCTGGAAGTCCACCAGGGCGACGTGCTCCACGCGGCCCTGGCCATGCATGTCGACATGAGCCCCAGCTCGATTGAGCCCTTGAGCCCCGACCTGAGCCCACGCCCCAAATGAGCCCCCGCGTCAAAAAAAATTTTTTTTTTGAAAATCTTCAAAGAATGGTGCAAAAGATGCAAGGTTTTTCACGCAGGGTTCGAAATAGACTCAGGTCGGGATCAATCGGGATGGGGCTCATGTTGACCCTGCCGCGGAGCGCGGACAGCCGGCTTTGGACCCGCCTCGCCGAAAGAAACTAAGAGGAGGGAGGGGGAATGGCTGTTTACGGTCACCTCCTTGTCCTTCTTGAACAAAAAGTTGTTGGGCCAGGAGTCCCCGTGGCATAGCACCAGCAGCTCATCGGGGTAGGCGGCGAGCAGCTTCTCCAGGTCGAGCTCCAGGAACAGGTCCCGCGTCTCATCCTGCAGCCGCCACAGCTCCGTCTTGGTCTGCGGCACCTTGAGTCTGCGGGTTCAACGACCGGTGAGAAAGGATTTTTATCGTGCTGCTCCATTTTATTCGGGTCGTTTTGCGCGGGTCGGGATCGAGTCGGCAAACCCACCGGTGGAACATGCGCGGCAGGAGGTAGTCGCAGACGATGTCCGCGGCCACGTCGAACATCCTGCGTCCCGTGTTGCCGGGCCGGCGGTTGACGTACACGTCGTCTCTGAGGTCCGGGACGGCCTTGGCCAGGCGGACGCCGTCGCGGCGCTCCAGCACGAGGGACGCGGCGTGCAGGCGCGCCTGCGCCCGCAGGCACTGCGCATCGCACAACAGTCAGCAGCCATCGCCATCGGCGTACTTTTCCGCAGTTTGGCCGTTTCGCAAGCTTCGCAAGCTCGGCGAACTCGGCGAGGGCATGGCGGCGCCCTCGAGACTTTACTCAGCTGCACTCGCACCGTCACCGTAAATCAGCTAGTTATCACGTTTCCACGCAGCACCAGGCTGATTCCGAGCAGCGGGCCTCTCTTTCTCTCTCGCACTTGAGGGGCGTCCCGCACGGGTGCGAGAGAGACAGACCGAGACGGAATGAGCCTGCAGCGCGGGAGCATGGCGGGAGCCACGGCAATCCCTCTCAAACACCGTCCTTATCAAGCCTCGCGACCGGTGACGGCAAGCCGTCGGACCCACCTGCTGCACCGCGCCGTAGTCGAGGGCGTTCCAGATCCAGTCCGGCTTGCCCGCGTAGCCCCGCCGGATCAGGTCCTCCATGACGACCACGTCGTCCGTGGCCAGGTAGGGCGCCGGCCCCAGGTCGGGCGTGACCTGCGGCAAACAGAGGAGGCCGTCGTGGTGGAGGGAGAGAACGTGAGCACGGCGAGGTGGCCGAACTGTGATCGGACATGCTCGATCCAGGCGCGACCAAGCCGCGCTCCTCAAATGACTCAAAACTTCGTTTTGTAATACACGGACGGCGTAGGCCCCTCCCCTTGGTCTGTTACCCTGGCGGCGGCGCCGAACCACGCCTTCTCCAGCAGGGGCACGGTGTTCATGTAGTACAGCGTCTCCCTGGGGAAGGAGTCCAGGCCGGTGGTGACGTCCCTGGCGTCGGCGCGCTTCACGAACACGTGCAGGGTGCGCGGGCCGTCGGGGCCCTCCACCTCGAGGGCCAGGCTGCCGCACAGCGACAGGAAGCCGTTCACGGCGGACCCCAGTTTCTGGAGGAAGAGGAGAAGAGCGAGAGCCGCCCGTTGGAGCTGCAGGCGGGGGACGCGGCGTGGACGAAGACGCGAAGACGCACGGCAGCGCTCTTCCTCGCTCCGTCTCTCTCGCACCGACACGGGGCGCCCCGTGAGAGAGAGAGATACAGAGCGGCGACCGCGGTGCGCGTAATCAGTCGGCAGGTCGTACCTGGGAGTAGTCGAGGAGGTTGAAGGCGGAGGCCTTACAGGAGAGCGCCCTGCACAGCACCGCCTCCAGCTCGTCGCCCTGCAGGAGCGTGGGCTCGGGCGCCAGCACTTCGCTGCGGACAGGGAATTACACTACAGTCTGGTCCAGAAGCCCCGAGCCATGAGTGCTCTGTGGAGGGGGAGCAGCTCCTCGCATTCATCGGACAAAATATGGACACTCCGCAATCAGGCGTTAAAAATGCCTAGGCAGAATGTGTGGCAAGGAGAAATCTTGCACCCTACCCTACGCAATAGTATAGTACAGTGGTTCTCAACCTTAGGGTCGCGACCCCAAGTGGGGTCGCGAAAAAATTTTAAGGGGTCGCGGCGAGGTAGCTGGGGTGGTGTTTTGGGCCGATTTTAAGCAGCCACTGCGTCTGATCCGAGGCGGGCATTTTGCTCCCTCAACCGGCAATTGGTCTTTGAACCTTCCTTTAGCATGCCTTTGTTACGGAGTGTGATTATCAGTCTTAGTTTGGGAGCAGTATTGTCTCAAAGTTGGCCGAAACGGTCAGAAATGTCTTTGAAAAATCGTGTTTTGGGCCTATTTTAAGCAGCCACTGCGTCTGACCCGAGGCGGTATTTCGTCCTCCTTCAACGGGCAATTGGTCTTTGGACCTTCTTTTAGCATGCCTTTGTTACGGAGTGTATTATCAGTCTTAGTTTGGGAGCAGTATTGTCTCAAAGTTGGCCGAAACGCTCAGAAATGTCTTTGAAAAATCGTTGTGCCGTTTTTGTCAACTTTGGACATCTGCGCCAACTAACGAAATCGCTCCGTACGGGCCTCGAAGACCTCCAAGGGCCAGGCTGCCGCACAGCGACAGGAAGCCGTTCACGGCGGACCCCAGTTTCTGGAGGAAGAGGACAGAAAGATTTTTTAAAGACTTTCTGAGCGTTTGGCCGGCGTGGACGAAGACGCCCCAAACAAGCTATCTCGCCTCTTACGGCACAACGGAGGGCCCAGAGAGAGAGAGATACAGAGCGGCAGCCCGGTGCGCGTATCGAGGCGGCTTAAATCGACCCAGAAGCAGATTTGAAGCGGAGGCCTTGCAGGATTGCGCCCTGCACAGCACCGCCTCCAGCTCGTCGCCCTGCAGGAGCGTGGGCTCGGGCGCCAGCACTTCGCTGCGGACAGGCAATTACCATTGCCGTTGGGAGCAAAAGCCCGCCCGGATCTGTGGAGGGGGAGCTAGCCGCATTCATCGGACAAAATTTCACTCGACGGGTTAAAAATGCCTAGGCAGAATGTGGGCCGAGAAAGGTTAAACCGCTGTAATAGTAGTAGGTAACCCCCCGGCTCACCCGAGGTGCAAAATGCTCGCGGGGTTGGCCCAGCCGGTCGCGAGGTTCGCGTCCAGCTCTGTCCGTCCACTTTTGGCGCCCTCGCCGCACCCCGCGCCACGTACAAGCCCGCGCCGGCCGTAAACGTTATCCGGAGGATGAAAAAATGGCAAGAATTGAATTTGGAACGAGGCTCGCGCCATTTACGAGCTCGGAAACCCATAAAAGCCGCGGAATTTGGCTAATGAATAAGTCACGGACCTCCGCGGGTTATCGCGGAGTCGCGGAGTCGATGGCCGCGACGCCGTCGTCTGCTTCCCTGAGCCTTTCGCCGGCCGGCATGGCAGTCACATCATGCCCTGTCCGCCCTGTCCCACAACATTGACCGCCAATTTCACGCTCGGCCTGGCTTGGGCTTCACGTCAGCTTCACGTCGCAGCGCCGCGCCTCTTCGCCCGCCACTATGACTGTACTCGTCTCCTTATTGGTTAGGTATACGAGGTCGCGGCGTCCGCTTGTTTTATTGGGGTTATCGTGGGTCGTTATGTAGTCTCCGCGCACGACGTCGAATACGACAACGACCTTTCCTCCTCCGGCCTGGTGAAGCCTGGAGCCGGCAGATTGCGTGAGTGCCAACGCGGACCGCGGCACGGCGGCTGCCCCGCGCTTCCTCGTCGACACGTACACTGTACACGTACCTGACGGGGGCCATGAGTGTGAGTGCGTTGGACGGTGGCTTAGCTGGCGGTGCGTCGGTGCGTCGGTGCGTCGGTGCGTCCCGCTTATATAGCCGACTTATCTCGCCCGTTTCTACTCACGCGCGCGTCCAGAGGGGAAAATCGCGCAGGCCATGACCCCCGAGTGGGACCTGAATGTAGGCAACCCAAGGTCCAATCCGCCTGAAGGTAGGCAACTCAAGGCCCAATCCGCTCGCGAGTGGGCAACCAACAGTCCGCCTCTAAGCCTCTAGGTGGGCAGTAAGTGCGACCTGACCCACTCCCTCCCCCTCCCCTCCAAAGAAACTGGTTGACCCTCCTCCAGTCTACATTAGAAAAGTTCTCGCCTTTGCGGTTGGTTGGAGTTGCCCAGTAAGCAGGAGGAGATCGTGCACTGCGCACTTCGTAGACCATGACCATGTGCTCCGGCCTCCGGCCCTGCACCAGGCGAAGGCGAGGCGAAGGCGGCCCCGGTCCCGACCTGTCCCACGACGCTTGACTTGTCACTCCTTATCGGTCGCGCGCTTGACGCTCGTCGCCGCCTCGGAGTCCTCGAGTCTAGCAGGACTAGGACTGTGCTCGCTCGCGCTAATCTCCCGCACCCCTACGGTGCGAGAGACAGAGCTACACACTGTTGGAAATGAGCCTGCTCGCCGGCGGCGGAAACCCCTGCCTGCCTCCACGAGGGCCACGACGAGGGCCTCCCCATCGCCTCCAAGCACCCCGTCAGTCCGCCCCGCCACGCACGCCCCGGCCTACCTCTGCGCCATTGCTGCGGTACGGTTGGTCCGGCAGTGGTCGCTCTCTGGCTGGACTGGGCTGGACGTCCGGAGGTGGAGAGAAGTCGTCGGACAATGCCGGGACAGTAAGACAGTACGACAGTACCCGGCAGCATCACTGTACGAGCAGCGGTGGCATGACCGGTCTCCGCCCCCCACCGTTCCCGCCGGACGAACGCCGGCACGCCGCGGTCTCGCCGTCTGCCTTTGTAATCTTCCTGGTCCCCTTCGGTCCCCTTTAGGTTAATCGCCGATACCGGCGGTGCGGGCGGTGTGGCCCTTGGCGCGGTCGTCGACTGGCGTGGCGAAGTGTTGCGCGGGTCGCGCTTCCTTGCCGACCCGACGAGCCAGACAATGTCAGGTTTATCATTACGTGTTTTGTTTTTGTTTGCGTTTGGGTTTTGGGCGGAGGGAAAAGGGGAAAACGCAGCGTGTTTTTGTAAGGGTAGTTTAATGATAGCGGTTTAGTATTTGGCATCACAATATCACAATTGAAAGAGTGGGCGCGGGGCAAGCTTCACGCCGCCGCCTCGGCCCGCGGCAGCTGCAGCAGGTCCTCCACGTACTCCTGCATGATCTGGCGGTAGCGCTCCTCGGCGTCGAACCAGCGCGCCACCGGCACCGCCCTGGCCTCGGACTCCATCAGCATCCGCTCGCGCGCCTCGCTGTCCTGGAAGAAGGCCTCCATGTCGTCCGGGTTGCCCGAGTTGATGTGCTGGTACGAGATGGCGATGGCCCGGGCCAGCGGCGTCACTTGCTTCATGGAGGCCAGGAACACCTCCCAGCTGTAGTCCTGCAAAAGCGCATCGCCACTTGTAGGCTTGACGACTCACGGTCTGCATTTGTTTCCGTGGCCGGGCGTACCTTGGTCATGTCGAGTCCGCGCTCCATCGTGAAGCGCGTCAGGTCGTCGTGGTAGCCTCGCAGCAGGCTGTCCATGTGCTGGTCGCGGAAGCTCTGCCTCGAGCTGATGTGCAGGTACATGGCCACGTCCAGGGCGGGCGGCGCGAGGCGGGCCTGCTGGAAGTCGATCATCACGGCGTGCTCCGCGCGGCCCTGCGGATGGCAGCGTGGCCAGTCAGTTACGGGAACTGCAGGCTGAGAGACTTTTGCCCCGGGTTTCGGGCGGAATCCTTACCTGCTCGTCAAACTTGTAGAGGACGTTGTTGGGCCACGCGTCGCCGTGGCTGACCACCAGCACCTTGCTGGCGTCCTCGGCGCGCAGCTTGTCCATGTCCAGGTTGGGGTACAGGTCGCGGGTGAGGTCGCGCATGCGCTGGAGCTCCTGCTTGGTCTGCGGCACCTTGAGGCTGCACGCCAAAGCGGCAAGGCGCCAAAGCGGCAAGGCACCAGGAAGGCGCCGGTTCAAACACCAACAGTCAACACCGTAAAGCGTCTCGACCCCTTTCCCTGTGTGCCGACTGCTCAGGCTGCTCACCGGGGCTGCAGTCGCGGCAGGAGCACGTCGCACACGATGTCGGCGGCGCAGTCGAAGAGGCGCCTGCCCACGGTGCCGGGCCGGCGCGTGAAGAAGTGCTCCTTGAGGAGGTCCGGCGCGGCCGCCGCCAGGTCCACACCGTCCAGCCGCTGGGCCAGCAGCGCCGCCGCGTGGAGGCGCGCCAGAGCACGCAGCGCCTGCGCCAACCGAAATGAACCAAAGTCAGCGCCGACCCTGGGAATGTCATGAGGGTAGCCTCCTTTCCTGGACACTAGGTAGGCCGCCTGGAAGTCCTGGAAGGCCTGGAAGGTGACACACAGCACTACTTCCCCCTGCATCTAGGCAGTGGCTCCGCGCCTGAGCGCCTGTGAAGCTGGAGGCAGGCAACCCGCGCCGCGGCCGCGCCGGGCGGCACGGCCTGGCCTACCTCGCAGGCGGCTCACCCCACTGGCCCCCGGACGGCTGCTCCCCCTTCTCACCTGCTGCACCGTGGAGAAGTCGAAGCCCTTCTGCACCCAGTTGTCCGCGGCCCTGTACCCGAGCCGCGTCAGATCCTCCATGACCATCACGCTGTCCGTCCCCAGGTAGCCGGCGGGGCCCAGGTCTGGCCGCAGGGGCTCCTGCAAGGCGAATAGCATCACGGCAAGCTCGTTCACGGGGACAGCGTTGGCAGCAGACTGATTCCCAGAGTGTTTTTTGTCACTCTGTCTCTCTGGCACTCAGGGGCCGCCCCTTGTATGAGCGAGAAAGACAGAGCGACGAGGACGACTCTCGGAATGAGTCTACAGGCCGTCTGGCTCGGTTGTCGCTTACCCCGGGGATGTCCCGGCGCCTCCACGACCTCTCCAGGAGCGGCAGCACCGTCAGGTAGAAGAGGGCCTCCCTGCCGAACGAGTCCATGCCGTCCGCCATGTCCTTGATGTCCGCCCGCTTGACGAACAGGTGCAGCTTGTGGGCGCGGCCGCGCACCACGGCGTCGACCGTCATGCTGCCGCACTTGGACGTGAAGCCCTCGGCGGACCCGCCCTCTTTCTAGGAGCAGCGGCAGTGGCCACGGTAAGCGATCTAATTTACCAAAGGATTTGCAGTGCGCCAACGGGTCCTACCTGGCCGCCACAGTGGAGGCTCTGCAGGGCGGAGGGCTCACACCGCAGCGCGCGGCACAGGGCGGCCTCCAGCTCCGTGGCATCCAGCAGGGGCGTGCTGGGCACGGTCACGGCGGCGCTGGGGCAGGCAGAGACAGAAACACCTCAACGATTCCGCTGCCTGCATTCTTCGCTCCCCTCCCCTTCATGAAGCCAGGACAAACCCTCCCACCTGGGTGACATCCTCCTGTTCTGTGCCCGTCGGCGGATTGCTTCGGATTGCTTCGCCTCCTCGGCGGGCGCCGCTCTATTTGAAGCGTGTTCGCGACGTGACGTCACTCGCAGATAGTGCGGTGACTTGCAGTGGCCCGGACCTTTTTATTGTGTGTGGAGGAACGGTAAGTCAAGAAGTCAAGTCGGTGGTTGGTAACGAGGCTTGCTCATGCTGCCCCGTTATCTATGCTCGCAAAATCTGTCCCGAGTTCCCTAGAGTTGTTTAATTTTTAATTAAGTGATAAGGATTCTCAAGTACGGTTTAATGAGATTGCTCGTTAAAGGGCAATTTCCTTGGCAATTCAACTCACCTCCAGACCTACTCGGCTTTTGGGACTAATTGGTTGACTTTGGTAAAAAATGCTTCATCGCCAAAAAAATTTGCATAGTTTTCAAAAATAAATAAGTAAACGTATGTTGTTTTTTGTCAAACTATGCCCTATTTTGCCTTGAACGGAAGCCCCTTGCCGAAAGTGTTTTACAATAGTGTGATTGGTCATTCCATCTCAAAAACAATCCATCCAGCAGTCCTCCGAGCGCCGAAAGAGTAGGCAACTTCTTCTACTCTACGGCATAGCCAACGTAAGCCGACAAAGCGTGGATTTTACTATGCATTACATTCACCTCTCAAAGAATTCAATTGCACGGTTTAAATCTTGTGCCTTGCTTGAAATAAATTATGAAACGCTGAACCATTTTCAACGAAAAATACAAAAGAAACTGAAAATAATTTTTGGTACTCATTATTGTTATTAGGTTTGTTGCTTCTGGTGTTGTGGTTGTGCTGATGCTGTCTGCACGAGTTATATGGGTTGAAAGTTGACGATTTCTATTTTATTTAACAGCAGACATGGTTTCAATGCCAGTGAAGTATTTCGGAACTCTGTTAAATGCAGTTAGCTCTCCTTTACGGTCTTTCCGACCGGCACTTGTGAATGCTAAGTAAGTTGCTAACCTTTTTGTCGGTATTTTCTAACCTAAACAAACATGTATTGAAATTGTGTTTCCCTTTTGAACAGAGCGAGGTGCATTCACACTTCATCGGTTTGGGAGAAAGAATCTGTGTCTGGAGATCAGAAGTCCACGCAAGATGTCACTGTCACGACTGCCAAGGACACTTCAATAGCAGAAACCACCTCTGAGACTGCTCCAACAGATTCACCTCACCCAATGGATGTATTTTTCGAACCTAAGGACAACTGGGACAAGCTCGACATAGTTGTGGGAAGGCCCTGGGCGAAAGAGGACCTTCGCCTTAAAAGTAACTCTGATTTACACAAGCTTTGGTAAGTGAGAAAAACTTCAAATATAGTTCTAATTTTGCCACTTATCGTGTAGATCAGCAAGTATAGGAAGTTTGGACTGAACGTCTTTTACTAAACTGTTACAGGTATGTGCTTCTCAAGGAACGTAATATGCTCCTTACCATGAGAGAAATATTTAAGTTTAATATTATTCCTGGTCCAGAACGCCTTTATAAGGTAAGTAGCAATTACTTGATTGCTTCGATAGTTTTAGCGTGACCCTACCCCAATGAGAGATTATTCTTTTCCATAAGGTTGAAGAAAGTATGAAAAATTTGGAGGATGTTGTGCGTGAGCGCAACAAAGCATACTTCGAATTAGAAACTGGAGAAAGTGGAGAGAGGAAATGTAAATACGAGTTGACTCGTATTGGTAAGTAATTTCTATTTGTAGTGACAAAGTAAGCCATGTGTTTTGGTTTCAAGTCATATTATGTTTTTCGAATTCAGGTTTATGGCGAATGCACAAAATGGAGCAACATACCATCCCTAAGCGACTGAACAAAAAGTGGCTTGAAAAGTACCCTCAGTACATAGAAGATGACAAGGTTGATGAGTTCCTGACCCTTTACAAAGAAAAGCTTCTCAATAAGAAGAAACGTAACAAAGTGTAAGTGTTATCCTTTTCTTGTTGGTTGCCAAGTGTGCTTTACAAAGAGTGTTCCTTTCATACTGCTGTCTTCTTCCTTTTACAGTCGAGACAGGATGATTGTGGAGTCATTATTTAGAAGATTTCCAAATGTAGACAAGCAACTTTTACAAGAAACGTATCCAGAGCTTGATATTGAAGAGATATCTAAGTCTGAAAAGGCTTCAAGTCCAACAGTTCAATGATTTTGGATACTCCTGTTCATGAGCAAAGCCATTGTATTATATAGTTTTTGTATATCAAAATTTACTGTTTTTCTTGTGAGGATTTATGTTCAAAGATTTTGAAATAAAGAAATGAAAGGAACATGAAACATTTTATTTTTTATTTTCCGCATTCTTTGCAAAATTGTCAACTTTATGTCTTACAGAGTGATGAGGAAAATCAAATTTGGCTCATGGTTATTTTTTCTCTTAACACTGTAATTTCAAAACAGATTGTGCAGGATGTTTCTGAAGTGATTTCAAAGCTAAGCCAACATCAATATTAAGCATAATGGAGATCATAAGTGTTCACATTTCAAAGTTATGTCACAATTCAAAGCAACTAAAAATCACCAGAAAAAAATAACATACAAGTAAACAAATGTCCTAATTCTTAAAAGTTTTCAAAAAATTTTGAAAAAAGAAAGATGGCTCTGAAATGCCATTTTAAGGCCCAAAGAAACACAAGAACAAGTAGAAAACATCAAAAACAAGTACCAAATGAAAGAAAATGACTGCCCTTTAGAGGGAAAGACATTCTACACCACTTGTCATGAAAGAATCTGCTATGAAAATAACAAGGCCACACACAGCTGCAATTCCTTAGAAATAAAGTTCAAGTAAAATTGGTTTGATGTGAACTTTTTTTGCAAAATCTAGCTAGAACCAACCTTGATAACTAAAATTAGTTGACTACAGCATTTTTGCATCGGAGAGCAAAAGTATTTGAAAAAAGTTGTCACTGTGTGTGATCGCATTAATAAGTATGGTAACTTTTGAGTTTCCTTAATACTGAATGAAAATAAATATTGGTACCACAATGCAAACTGATCATAGTGGAACAATGTCAAGGTTGCTGGTGGCAGAAGTTTTCTTTTAAGTGGGAAAAGTTGCAATTAAAAACAGTCAGAAACAATTGTCATAGTTTCACATTCCAGTAAAATGAAATTTACATGTAGTCCTTCAGGAAAAAAAAGGAATTAAAAACCACTTTTGCAGATGTCGATTAAACCATGAAAGCAACATCTACTATCAGATTCCACTGATAATACCAAAATAATCATCTTCATTGAATCAGTCATGAAATATTATGTATAACTTACACTAAAATGACAAAAATAATGTTATGAAAGCACATGAAGCGAGGAATCACAAGATAAGCCAGAGCAAGTGTGTAAGTGCAACAGAGTTTGAGAAAGCCATAACTACATTTCATTGAGCAACAATGACCAATGCGTCATCATATAATTCCTTTGACAAGACACAAATAAATCAGCACCATAATTATTTAAAAATAGATAAATAAGATTAACACATACAATATTAATAAGCCATCTCAAACATGAGAGGTGTTGTGTGGCTAGAATAGCAGGACTAATGGACCAAGAAAATGCACTAATCAAGCACATTTTTACAGAAAAAGGCCTTTTCTTTACAGTCCCATATCACAAGATTATTTATGTGATGTGAACAGTCTGGCACAAACACAAAAATGCTTAAAAAGATTGAAAGTTTTTTAACAAATAACATTTTGTTTTAGAAAGAAAGTTCAGTGGTATGACATGCCCCCAGGAAGGAAGGCACCTTGTGATGCATTACTCCTAAATGTAAGCAAAAGAAATCGCTTGACACACACACATTCATCCTCTAAAATTTATGGGCACACCACTGAACAAATAAGACAAATGTTCCTTTGAACCACCAGATAACTTCTATAGAGTTAATTGCATAAATAACTAGTCTAATCCTTCCAGTCGCAAAAGCAATGCTTGAAGCAAGGTTGCTCCTCTTTCTTTAGTCACCCATTCAGAGGGGTCTGAATCCAGATGTGGGTCAACTGTGTGTGAAACACTCTCTAGAGAAGGGGGCCCTACTTTATATGAGCCAGGTCGGACTAAAACTTGAAATGCAACATGAACAAGAAGCTTGTTTCGAGTCTTTGGGTCAACAAACCTGTAGAACAGATATCAAATCTTGTTAATAAAATATAGCAGAAGAAATAATATTAATTTGTAGACCCTCGCAGAAACAGTGATAAACTTACTCATGTTTGTTAGTGGAAGCTGCTGCATACTTAATAGACGGTGAGAGTATGAGAGGGGATCCAGCAGAGTCCGTATCATCATCTTTGCTTTTGGTATTCTCACCTCCTGGTCCAGCTAATCCAAGGTTATCTGAACCAAACAATTGTTTTGTTTTATTTACGATCCTTAATGATTTTTCAAAGTGTTATAACTTGTACAAGAATGCGAAGAAACTTTACCTTGCATGAGGAGTTCACCTCGATCCAGAATCCGTCTTAAGTTTGGTACGCGTGTTGCATGATAAGCAACATGCCAGTCATCATAGATATCGCCTACACATCGGCGACGCAGAGGAAAGCGGCACCAACCAATGGGGATGGGGACAGGATGTTTTGCTGGGGCAGCACCTTTCCGCAAGAATGCCTCTTCTCCCACCTTTTGAGGCATGCAATCAACACAGTAGCACATCTTTCCCTCTCTGACAAAAAATCCATCTGCGAAACAATTACATGTCATAAAATAAAATGACCGCAACATTTCAGAAAAAAACAAGGTAATAGCTGAGTATGCAAGACCTCAATTGATTGAACTTCTTACCTGGGAGTCCTATGAATTTTGTAAAGCGTCCACATGCTTGCAGATACCCACAATTTGTGTAGCTTTTAAATGTGTGACAAGGGGTTATAACTGGAGTGGCTGGTGAGTTTGGTAAGGAGGTAGCCCCCAAAGAGGCACTGCCACTAATCCAGTTGTTGAGTAAAGATCCTGTGCTATTGCCATCACAAACATTTGACAAGGAATAAAGGAAATTTGATGATGATCCATTATAATTGGTGTTTGAGCTTAAACCAGACAATGTTGGACTACAGCTATAACTCAGAGATGCAACTGAGCTCCCACATAAATAAGTGTTAGAACTATTTGAGCTTTGTGGACACTGGCTATCTGACAGAAAAAAAGAATTTCGATTTGTTAAAGCAGATCCCGATAGATGAGTAGACTGATGAACTAAAGTCAAGTTGGCAATGTCATTTTGATTTGGTGTGGCTAGACATAAGTTTTCATCATGAGATTGAAGAGCGTCAGTAGATAACACAGAAGTATCTTTTTCATGGGTTTCTAAGTCAGCCTTTTCGCCTAGTGAGTCTGGCTGCAAAATACTCAAGCAATCCATTGATGAAGCAAGAATGGCAGCATTTGTTGAGTTGTTAGCAGCAATATTGCGCTCTAAATTTGAAACAGCTCCTAATACCGACACCTGAAGTACAAAAGCAAATATGAATGTACAGTGAGGGTAAACTAGTCTAAAGGGATTCAGGAAAGAATATTACTCACTTCCTCACATTGCCCGTAAACATCAATGATAAAATAACATGGGTCAGCAGATGGGCGTAAATCAGTTGCTACTGTGGCAGTGTCTTGACCATTCAGTGAAACAAAGAGTAATCCAAAAACATCTATTCTCAATCCAATTATTGAGCCTTCAGACAGGGTGTCAAGATTAAACAACCATCGACCCTTAGCCTGAAATAAAACAGATTGGTTAATTTACACAATCTTTATATATTCGGATACTTTAATGAAAACTTCAAAATTAAGAGGTATTATTACTGTACCTTGGTTCCATTATGGTACACAGAATCCCCTGATAAAACCCAAGAGTCTTGTTTGAAACCTAGAGCTGTTGATGGAAGTGCATATGCCTGGTCTGGAAACTGGCATGTGACACCTAACATAAGTGATGACACCCATTGTGAATTCAGACGATCCAAGCGCACCTACAGACAGAAAATAATTTAGGTTGTGATTGAGACTTAAGAATCTGATAAAAACTACTTGTAATCATACAAAACTCAAAAAGTACCTGCAGCATTTTATTAGGAATAACAGGTCTTGCTGTTAGCACCACAGCGTTGTTATAACTCAGAATACGTCTAGCAGAGCGTCGTCCTTCTCCCAAAACTAGATTAATGCCATGAATATCATGGAGCTCCATTGCAATAGCCTCATCCAGCTGACAAAAGAGAACAAGACAAATATACATTAAAAACACCTAGGGATCGCATGTGAATCAAATAATGAATTTTAAAAAGGAAAGTATACCATATCTGCAGGAGGAACCCACTGTAGACTAGAAATGCTGGCAAGACTTCCTTCGGCTGGTTCCAGCACTTTGGCCTCACTAACTTCACTGCTTCGTCTGCAACAATGACAACTTTTATCAAGTAGCAGGCCTGTCACTATATCTAAAAAGAGGCCTTGCATTTTTTTTTAAATTACTACACATACACACAGCAAAAACAAGATAATACCTTTGCTCCAAAAATATATTTTCCAGCGAATCATGTAGCCTGCTTGAGTGCTGAGAGTAATCATCCCCGACTTGGTCATCAGTAGGTGAGCCAAGCGGTGACTCCCCACTAGCTAAACGAATAGGAGCCGACGTTGCTGTCATGTCTGTAACCATGGCTAAGGGTGCAGAGGGTAGAGAGCAGCTTGTTACTCCAACAGCTGCCACCGCCCCATACAAGTCAAGCACAGGGTACATATTCTCAAACTGTCTAGGAGCGTAAATGGCAGCTACACCCATGTCTTTCCCATTCAATAAAAAGTGAATTGCATTGTCAGGAGTTCTTTTGACTCCAATCCTATTTCCAACAGCAAGCCAATCTAAGCTATGGCAGTAGTTAACTTTTAATATTGAATTATTTTTGCGAATTTCATTTCCTGCAAGGTAATACAGAGCGAGTTTTGTAGACAAAGTAACCGATTAAAGAGATGGCATTCAAATACAATTCTAAGGCACCAACCTGTGAGGAACCAAGTGTCAGAATCAATTGCAGCCATGCAGTCAGGTAGGTTCCTTGAACGTGTACTTTCAATAGGCATTGTGGTAAGACCCAAAGAAAGTGACCCAGCCCAGTGAAGGGCTAGTGCAGCTACCTGTACTTCAAACACCTCATCAATATGAAGAGGTGATGAACCAAACACCAGGCCATGATTATATGTTCGACCTCTGCGGGCTGCTGCTGTGTTATCACTAGAGAGTATCACATTTTTTCCACAAGTCAGACTGAATCTGGAAAGCACAATGGCAAATTAGAGCTTTCTAGCAGCAATTTTGGACAAGCTACCATGGAAATGCAAGACTCTCACCTATGAAGTACATGTGTTGAAGTTGGCTGTTTGTCGGTGTTTGGTTGATCAAGCGGTTGATGCAGATGCTGGCTAAGTTGAGTTAGCTGCCCTTGCTGAGAACAGCTATTCTCACTCAGGCACTGCAAGGCTAGTGAGCCTGGTGTAGGCTCCCCATGTGAGACAATTGAAACCTACAAGATAACAAGTATGATAAAACACTCATCAATCGAATGCGACACCTAACCACTTCCCAAAACCGTTGTGAATTAGTACTAGCCTGAGCACATTGTCCATAGAGATCAATGACAGGGTACACATGTTGAGGAAGTCCCTCAAAGGCTGTTCCTTGGTCAACACCATCTACATAATAATGTAAGCTACCATCAACATGCCGCATCATACCTGCAAAACAAAATTATGACACTCTTTTCTCAATATAACTGAATGAAAGCACAAGCACAAGGTCATTACCAAGGCGTGTTCTGACAGACAACATGTCCAGATCACATGAATATATTTTCCGTAATCTGACACCGTCACGCACTAAACCTGAACCTGTTAACATCCATGTGTCATGATCTATTTCTATCATATTGCTTGGGAATTCAAGTTCATCTGGACGAATTGCAGTAACACCTGAAAAAGTAGGCCCTCAATGAAACCCAAGCAAAATCACTTTCAAAAAATAAATAAAAATGATGGAGTTGATAGAAAACATTGCTGGTTGATTGTTTAAACAGCAAAATTACAAACCTGCTTCTATGGAACTTGACCATCTATCAACCATCTTTTCAATAACAACTTCAAATAATTCTTCATCTCGAAGTGGTCGGTTACAAATTACTATAGCCTCATTGAATTCACTGTAAGCTCTTGGTCTGGAGGCTGTAAGCCCATTGTTTGATATTCTAGCATTTTTCCCACGAATATGATAAAATCTGAGATCACTGAAAGGGATTTGAATAGTATAATTAGTACAGGATAAAATAACTTCGATTTGATAATGCTTGCAAAAAATTGACTGTATCTTCTAAAATGTCAAAAAAGAGAACAAAAAGAGGAAACACACATTACCACAATTTAGAGGAAAATTAAGTTGTTGAGTAATACCTGTATGGCCAAGTGGTGTTGGAAACACTAGAGTGAGCAGTATCAGGTGAACAATCACTATCAACTATTGTAGCTTGAGAAGCTTGACCGTACAGATCAATAACACCATAAACCCTTTCAGGTACGTTAGTAGACGCTTCACCCTGGTCTACACTGTTAACATAAAAATGCAATGTGCCAGCTTCATTCCGCATTACTCCAACTCTATCTCCCACCTGCAAAAACAGATGCATTGATTTTTTCTTGCGTCATATTGATGTTATTGCAATTCCTATCATTAATACTTTTATTTTTCTCCACCACTAACCTGGAGTGTATCTAGGTTCATTCCATATTCATCAATAACAGTAATTCCATTTTGCATTACCCCCTTTCCTGTCATCATCCAAGTGCCCGATCTACAAAAAAAACAAGATAAACTGAGAATAGAACAAAAAACAAAAAGGAAAATAATTACCAGAGTCAGAAAGTTAAGATAAACCTGATGTTTGTCATGGTAGCTGGGTATTCCAGTTCGGTTGGGCTATAGGTAGTTACACCTATCTCTATGGATCCAGCCCATTTAGAAACCATTTTGTCAAGCCGCACCTCAAAAAGCTCATTTGGTTTGAGCGGTCTGTTTGTTAGCACCACACCATTGTTGAAATCTTCTAGAGCACTGGAAAATAAAGGATGACATGTTTATATTGAAGAGTACACAAGACTGTTTTTATTTTAAAGAAATGAGTTACAATGTAACTTACTTTGGCCTGTGAGCTGTTCGATTACTCCTTATGACAGCAGAGTGGGTACCACAACGAGGGTGAAACTGAAGACGATCGGAAAAGTCTTCCTCTGGCACATCTACAACATTAAAGGACATGTTTACACAGGAAGGTAGAGGTAGAAGTACGGGAAATGTGGTAAACCAAAGAACCTACCATTAAGGGCATACAGAGCCTGTTGTTCTCTCAAGGAGGTATTTCTTCTAGTTATGAGGTTTTGCTCTTCCCTTTCATCTCGATTAACAATGGTAACCTAAAAAAAACATAGGGCAATATTATGAACTTGATTATACACCCACTAATGATAAAAAGCCAGGTAAAAACACGTATTTTTTCTAAAGCTTACCTTTACAGTCATACCATAGAGGTCAACTACTCCCCACACACAAGCTGTAACATTGCTTGCTGCCACACCTTGGTCTAAACCATTGATGTAAAAATGTAGATCTCCATTTACTTTGCGTACCATGCCAATTCTGTCTCCTTCCTTCAAACATTACAAGAAAAATTAAAAAGTTACAATTTTAATTCAAAGGTAAATTGCAAAAGTAGATTGTTTTATAGATTGATGGTTTGGACATTATTACACTTACCCTAAGTTCATCTAAATTAAACTCGCCATATTCTCTACGAGTGCCTTTTCCATTAGTCAAAATACCATTACCAGACATCATTGTAGTGCCACTTCGCATATTGGTCATTGTTGCAGGAAATTGTAAAGTGGCTGGATTATGAGTAGTCACACCTACTTCAATACTGCCTGACCACTTCTCCACTAAGCGATCAATTCTTATCTGCACAAAAGCAAAAATCATGGCAGATAAAAAATGTTGATACCTGAGAACTGCAACATAGGTTTTGCACATGTATTTCAATCACCTCAAATAGTTCATCTGGACGGAGGGTGCGATTTGTCATTACCACACCATCATTGAATTCATCAAGAGGCCTTGTTCTCTCAGCTGTCCTACCATTACAGCTTAATTTCACAAGAGACCCACAACGTGTATGAAAACGTAGGCGATCTAATGACAGTTGAGGTTGGTAAGATGAACATCTAGATATTTGAGATCTTTCTATATTTAGTCCAACACTGTTACGGCTTGTATTACTTTCGGAATCTCCATCAATTTCTTCTCCACTACCTATACTTCTATCAGAACTGATATTTGCCACCAGGTTGGTAACTGATGCAACAAAGGATAGGTCACTGCCACCATCAATATCAAAGTCACCTGAACATAATAATAAACCAAGAGATAAGGAAAAAAGTGCGAGTTGTATGACAATGTAAGGAACAGTTAATGTTACTTACGTTCTCTTGAACTATCTACAATGGACACCTGGGCACATTTCCCATACAGATCGACCACAGCAAATACACGAGAGGGAATGTTAGTGGCAGCAATACCTTGAGGTTCTCCATTCACATAAAATATCAGTTCATTCTGAAAATGAATACAACAATAAATAAATTAAATGAATAAGGACATTAAAATAATGACACCAGATTATCTTTGATCAGAATACACACATTAGAAGTTCGCATTACTCCTAGGCAATCCCCTTCAATTAGACTATCCAAGTTCCGGCCATAAACTTCAATTAGAGAAAGACCATCCTTCAAGACTGAATTGCCAGACATCATCTAGAAAAATAAAGATGTTTAAAGAAAACCAATAAAATAATGGTAAAATTGAATTTCCTAAAAACAGTGTAAACGAGCATTGTATCTCACCCATGTTCCATTTCCCAAATCAGTCGCACATGCAGGAAGTTCCATAGTCTCAGGATCACAGACTGTAACACCCATTTCGATGCTGCCACTCCATGGGATAATCTGTAGAGACACAAAATAGCAAGTTTCAAGAGAAAGTCAATGATTGAGAAATACCAGACATGGAAAATACCCACCTTTTTCTCGATCCGAACTTCAAACAACTGGTTATCTGCCAAAGGAAGACTACTCAACACCAAACCATAGTTGAATTCGCTGAAATTGCGGACAGCTGTACGATTATCATCAAATAATGTTATTCTTTGCCCACATCTTGTATGGAACATCGCCATGGTTATATTGCCAGAACCTCTGCAAAGTTATTCATACAGCAGTTTTCAACCCCGAATCTCTTGTTACGGAGAAAATGTGGACATTTTTGTCATTTTTCTGAGTTTGTGAGACATTTTGGTGGCCAGCGCTTTTTCGAGGCGAAGTTTTACACTTCCTTTCCTTCACGACATTGAAGCTGCTGAGAAGCAGACGACACACCGCCGTACTAACCAAAACACACTAACAAAAACAAAAACAAGCGTGGGATGAATTGACCGGAAATAGCCATTTGACATGTTTCTCCAAGAACAGAATGGTATTGATGGTTTTTCGAAACGAAAGGAACATGGAATCTGAATTTAAGGAAAGTGTCCTCCGATAAACGTCACGGAAAGGAAACACGAGAGGGAAAAGAGACCCCCGCCCTCCAGAGAGTGCGCCCACGTCCACGCCCACGCTGCAGTTGCTGCAGGCTAGCTGCAGGCAGGGAAAGGGAAATCCACCTCAGGACCTGTGTATCTGAATGTATACCAGGTAAATGTGAAATGATGAAGAGGAAGGAGACGATGAAGGGATGCAGAAGACTAGGAAAAGAAAAATATTTTTATTATCTTACAACATCTAACAACAAATGTTATGAAAAAAAATTGCCTGTACAATGTGGCAGGACACTGCACAACATGTGTAACATCTAGAGAACATCATCATTTTGGGCTTTTCCTGACCAGCCTCTGATAACGAAAATCCTAACATCCCTGGGGGAACACGATACAGATCAAAATATTCTCCGAGAACTACTTGTGACATAAATGTACTACAGAAAGAGAAGTAGTGTCAGCATTACAAATCAGTCCTGAAGTCTTTCACAAAAAAGTGCATAAAAATGATGCAATAATCTCGAAAACAGTTTCTAATTTTCTAAAGCTTTTTTTCAAAAATACAGGTAATATCTGGGCATCTTACAAGCTCACATAACAAGTTAAAACTTTATATTTCAGTTGTGAAACATGTAGAATCAAAGAAGCCACAAGGCACAGTGATTAGAACCACTTTGTTCAAAACAAGACTATTTCAAGAAGAAAGGGGGAAAAATAACTGGATGATCAAGTTAAGACTTTAAGTAGAACCATAGAACAAGAAGAAGTTACTGCCAGTAATAAAAAAAATATATATATAAATATTATTAAAAAAATTGAAAGAGCAACATATTGAAACAGTTCCCATATTAAGCAGAGCCTTCCGGTGTAATTTTATTTGACAGAAAATGCACTCTCATTCTTATTGTTTCACTTTGGAAGGATGCTGGAGAAATTTAAGGAGGGATTTTGCTTGTTGACAAACTGAGACCAAGAATTCAGATGCAAGTGAAGTAAATGCAAATAAATCCAAAAAGGGATCATGGAATGTGAAACAAAGTACAATTTGGTTTAAAAAATTAAATGGGAACCAACAGCTTCAATTTTTAACTGTCCACCAATGGTTTCAAAAGTTCAATAAATATTATACAAATAAGAGTAAATCAATGTGTAGATGCATCAATCTACAATATATCCGCATAAAACAAAGAAATTTTTGATGTAAAGACAAGGGAAGTTGAAACAGTGGGTCAGAGAACAAATAATTTTTGCCCAACAGAATCAATAGAATAAAATATACATAGCAGCATTGGCCAACACCAACAAATAAACATCAACTAATTTACAGTTTTTCAAAAATATAATGATATTACCTGACATCATCATTGTATTGTCCATAGGTCCAAATAATTATCACATGTACGTTATATCACAACTGTTACCGTCACAGAAAGATATTTCAAGTGATAAAGCTACAGCACAAAAATGTGGTTCTCGAATATGGTTAGAATTATGTATATTCCAAACAAATTTAGGGGTTTTAGGCTACAAAATTACCCTGTAGTTTGCCTGAAGCTAAGGAACATCGAGTAATTTGACCAGGGCTAAATTAATTACAATACTCAAGTCTGAAGTAGACCCATGATGCTTTTGTAATATACAGAGAGAAAAAACTAACAACACTAACACCATGATATAGTGTCAGAAACCAATTCAAACAAGAGTTAAAAATCTGAATATAATGCTGAAAGTCATATCACATTCATCTCTTGCTTAAAAAAACTTTACCACATACACCTTAGACAAGGGAAAAACCCAGGTTCTGTTGTATAGCTTGAAGTAATTTGTAGCGCAGTTTTTCTTTAGTGCCATAGCGGGGCAAATCGAGAAGGTTGAAACAGGTGTGAGCAACAGGAAGGTACTTATCATCTGTAGTAGGCTGGAAAATTATTTTGATTGCTTTCATACCCTGAATGGGAATTCTGTCAGTCCCAGTTAAAAACATTAGAAACTTTTTCTTTTCGGAAACCGGAAGTTCCATGAAGACTTCCCAAAAGAGACGTATTGTAGGGTCATCTTCCTTGTAACCATTCTTGTATTCCGCATGTCTCTGCAGTTCTTCCCAGTCATAATTTTCATTGCCTATGACAACAGCCATTAGTTCAGCAGCATGGAAAAGCTGCAACACACGTCCCCCACAAACTTTGAGAAATCCTTGAGAAAATGCCTGGAATTAGAAAGAAATAAGTAGATTAGAACACATTGAAAATGGCACAAAACTTGTGAGGAAAAACAAGATTTGTAATATTACCTTGAAGTGCTTTTCAACAACCTTATTCAGAAGCATGTCAACATAAAGGTCAACATATTCACTTTTGTTGTGAAGGGTTACAGGTATGTCACCCCCACCAGCTTTGAGAGGGAACAGTTTGACTTCACCAAATACTTCAGTAGACATCTCAAAAGTAAGTCCAAAGACATCCTCAAAATCATTATCTTTATAGTCTAAAATATCTTGCAGACTCTTTGCTATGGTTGGAGACAAGTCTTTGACATCCTGTAATGAAACTGGCTCATCCAACAATTTTTTATATAGAGCTAAAGGAAAAGGAAGGTTAATGATGGTGAAATTATAGATGGCTAAACCACACAGGAGTCCAATGAGGTAATACATTATTTCATCCTCAAATGTTACTTCGCTGAACCAAATAGTATTTGTCTCATCATAAGACTTAAACATTCCATAGGCAGGGTCCAAAATTTCTTTCAGCAGCAACATGAAAAATTCCTTTCTTACTCCACCAGCATCTTCAGCTTCCTCTCCACAAAACTTGATTTTCAGTGGCTTCTTCAAATCTTTTGTGTCACACTGAAATAATTCTCTTATAGTATCATCAACAATATTTTCTCGGCTCACATTGAGCACTAGATAGTGATTGATACCTCCAAACACATTCATAAGAAAATCTGTGGTTGCTTCTTGCATAGCAGACTGCATCTGCAGTGACTGATCAGTCTCAAGAAGGAGTGTCTTTGCTTCAGCATTGAACACAAAGGGGTAGTTGCAAAAATGGACGGTACCTGGAGGTGGCAAGGCAGGAGATAATCGCATCATAATAGAAGGATCAATCTGAGCAACCCACCGAACATAATCCACTTGAATGTCCACGACCTCTTGCAGATCGTTCAGATAAAACGAGTTGTAAGGAACTTTTTGACCAACTTCTTTGTTCACTTGGTTCAGTAAAAATAGCATGTCAAGGGCAGACATTATCACTTGATTGATAGAAAGTGAAGACTCTTTTTGATGTTGAGATGGAAGCCGTAGAACATACATTACAACATTTCTGTACATCCGTATAAGACGCTCAAAGTAGTCAGAAGACTGAGCTCCCCACCACATGGTGACAATCTTACGAGCTTCATTTTTAAGTTCAGAGATGGCTTTGGCAAATGGGATGTGAATCTTTTCGTAGTTCTTTGGATTTTCACACTCGTGATACATTGGTAGTGTGAGGTATATTCTGAGCGTTTCAACATCAGGAGGAGAGCTAACCAAGCTTGGCACTATTCGTTGACAGATACATGTGGCAATTATATCTTTGATGGTATTATGCTCGATTCTTCCTATAGCTGAAAAGAATGATTCAGCTTCCTCAATTTCTACACCGTGATGTTTAGAGGTGCAACAGTAATGATAATCATTCTTCATCAAAAATGATGCATTAAAGCATGCTTGGCTATTGAACACAGTTTCTAGATAGGTAATAAGTTCTAGATCAACTTGCGAATCAGCACCATACTTCTCACAATCTTGCAAATATTTCTGTTGTAAAGTCAGAACTTGAGTGTGTGGGGAGAATAAACGAAAGTCATCTGGCAAGATTTGTTCTTGAGGCAACGTAACCAAAGCAAAGCAATGATCGCCACCAGCGGCAATCTTCTTAACAACACATTCATGAGTAGATTTTACCAACGACACGCCACTTGGACTAAGCCATGGTCCAACTACCACTTGAGGAGTTGACGAATTTCCAGTGTACTTGTTACCAAGCTGTCCTGCTCCACCAAGCCCAAAGGCGTAAACCCGACCACGGGATGGCACTAGAGCTAGGGTGTGACGCCTCCCGCATGCCACCTGTGTCACAGTACTTCCCATGAGTTCAGTCACTTTCCTTGGGAGAAGCTCATTAGTGAGTGACCCATGCCCCAGCTGGCCATGCATACCTGCTCCACAAGTAAAAACACCGCCATCGCTGGTCAAAAACACAGAGAAATCCTCTCCACAAGCAACATACTTCACTCTAATAGAGCGTAGGCTTTTTAACTGGGCTGGGTACTTTCTATTGACACAATCAGACAGCCCCAATTGTCCACATGAATTCTTTCCCCATCCAAACACAGCTCCAGACTTGGAAACGGCAAAGCTGTGATTAGAGCCACAAGCTATAAATGCCATTGGTATGCCAGCCAAGGATGTAATAAGGGTTGGTTTCTTTTCTTGCTCGGAGGTTGTGCCCAATCCAAGTTGACCAGAGCGATTACAGCCCCAAGAATAAAGATGGCCATCATTTGTCAAGGCCATGGTATGATTTTGCCCACATGCAATTTGAACAACTGTTGACAGAGCTAAATTTTTAACAGTTTTTGCACTCCATTGGTCATCAGATCCTGTCAAGTTAAGACCAAGTTGACCAAAGGAATCAGAGCCCCAGCTAAATATTTGGCCCCATTTTGTAACAGCAACACTGTGGCTACCACCACATGCCACCATTTGAATTGAGTAGTCACTCAAGCTGGTGATAAGCTGAGGACGAGTACGGTGCAACTCCCTTCCAAGCTGACCGTGATCATTATTTCCACATGAAAAAACTTCCCCTTTAGCAGTGAGCATTAGTGTATGGCTTTCACCACACACAACATCTTGGATATTAATATCTTCATGAGATGGGAGAAGCAATTCTCGAGGACTTAGGATGTGACTCTCTTCAATTCCACCAAGGCCCAATTCGCCGTTTGTAGTATTTCCCCAACAACACAAACGAGAAAATTGCATTGATAGAGTATCCATTTTCTCCTCCCCTTCTTTAGACTCCTCTTCATGTTCTGGCGACATTTCTATGGTTGTGCAAACTGATCACGGCTGATGCAATGAAGAATAAAAGAGCATTTGGTTTGAAATGGTGTTGCCTGGAATCAAAATAAAAAGGGGAAAAATCAGTCACCTAACATGCAAACAGCATAAACACACAGACAGTATCCATCATTCACAGGCTATCTTTACAACACAGACATGGACCTGTTTCGAATACCAGTGTGCTTTAGACCAGTGTGCTTTAGTCTGCAAGAGGTTAAGTGCCAAATTTTTGAGTGACACATCCAGTGTAAAGCAAAAATTACCCCAAAAGAAGCGAAGTTTGAGGTGACAACTTCACTGAGACAAGACGCCGAAACTACCAGAGTGAACTGACAGCCTCGTAAAACTCACTAAAAGCAATGTTATGACTTGCTGAAAGCTACTCTAAACTCATTTGTATCTTCTAGAAAGTCGGGAACTCCACATACCAGAGGTCATGCAGATGGGCAACGTCTGCGTAGCTGGGACCATCGAATACCTCTGCGAACGTGCGACAAGAGATTTGGAAGGCTACATGAGAGGTGATCAATTTTTCTGCCTTTTAAATTCATCGATTAGAAAATATGCCGATGACAAGGACGAGGCAATACTCTCTCAACAACAAACAGGCGTCGCGGGCGGTGGGGCAAGGGGGGCAGGCAAGGGGGGCAAAGGGGGCGGGGGCGCGGAAGAGGCTACAGACGATTCGGTGTAACCTTTCCAAACCCTTTATGGCCGAAAAACAAAACAAGCAGTGCGTTTTGAATGACAAAGTTTTCATATCCCGTCTTCCCCCTCCCACCCCTCCCAACACACCAACAGACCCCACTTCTAGTTCTTCTAGTGTCGAGTTTCAGCTTGTCGAGAAAAATACTGTATTCATTTCGAAAAAATAATGTATTTATAGGACTGAAAATGGCTGGAAATTTCTGGCAAAGTTCTCATTAGTAAGTATCTGGCTCTGTTTATCACTATAGTTCTCAATTTATGGAGAAATTGCCGCAAGGGAGGTTAGTTACAACTCCTACGCGAGTCGCTTTTTGCGATATCTTTATTTATATTGCCATTTTGGAGCCAGGAATTTTCGGCCATTGCCTATTCTTCCTCAACCTAATGGCAAACCTAACTTCCAGTGGCTCATCTTCATCTCTGTGCTTCTACCCCTGAACGTAGAGTTGTGGTTGGTTCATTCCATTTAATTTGTTTGTTTTTCTTTCTGTTTCAGCCAGCAGTGGCTTTTGGACAAACAAGATTTGATACGGGAAAGACAACATGACTTACAAATTTTGTCAGAGGAGGAATACCAAAAGCTATTTATATTTTTCTCCAATTGTAAGTATTTATCTCATTTCTAGAGTTGAAGTAATTCACCTAGTGTATTTTAAAACTGACAGAGCTGAATCAACTTGTGTTTTGTTTTTCTTTAAATTAGTTATTCAAGTTTTGGGGGAACAGCTGAAACTTCGCCAGCAAGTCATAGCGACAGCTACAGTATACTTTAAACGATTCTATGCACGCAATTCCCTCAAGTGCATTGATCCACTTCTACTGGCTCCCACTTGTGTGGGGTTGGCTTCAAAGGTGGAGGAGTTTGGAGTTATCTCCAATAACCGCCTCATCACAACTTGTTCCACTGTTGGTAAGTACGAGCCATTAGACATGCCTGTATTAATTGAAGCATTCCAACCTCATAAGTGTGTCTTTGATTCAAAATGTTTCAGTGAAAAACAAATTGAGCTATGCTTACACTACTGACTTCCCATACCGCACCAACAATATTCTGGAGTGTGAATTTTACCTCTTAGAAAACTTGGACTGCTGTCTAATTGTCTACCAGCCCTACCGTCCCTTACTCCAACTGCTGCAAGATATTGGTCACGATGATCAGCTTTTCAGTTTAGCTTGGCGTGTTGTCAATGACTCACTGCGCACAGATGTGTGTTTATTGTATCCACCGTACCAAATTGCAATTGGTAAGTGTCAAACAATTTCAAATTTAGCTTTTGTTGTGGTATGTAAATTAACACCTTTTTTTTCCTTTTCATCAAAACAAAATATAGCTTGCCTTCAGATAGCCTGTGTGATTCTTGGGAAAGATCACAAGAATTGGTTTGCTGAATTAAGTGTTGACATTGAGAAAATCCAAGAAATATCCAGATATGTCATCAATTTATTTGAACTGTGGAAAACATACGATGAAAAGAAAGATATTCAGGCTCTTCTTTCTAAGATGCCAAAACCGAAACAGTCACCAAGCAGATAACTGAAGCTCCAAATTATTCATTTTTAATACCATCAAGACAATATCATCATTTGAGCAAGTTTTCTTCAACTTTTAGAAGTCAGTTTTCTCTAATTGTCATTATTCTGCTTAAAACTGACTGAAATTTGTTCCTTATCAGTCTTTTATCTTTTAACAAAATTCAGTTTGGGTCAGTGGTTGTGCCCACTTAATTGGGAGTAAATTTGTGAATAGTGTAAAACATTGTCTTAATCAAATTTTCTTTGTAATGAACTATACTGGGAAGGGGTCTATTCCATAAGTACCTTAATTTTTGTTATGTATCATGAGAAAGTCTTTTAAAAAATATGTGGCACAGTTTTATTAATGAACTGTTCTGTGCTAAATTTGCATCTTATCACAAAAACAGTGATTGCAATGATGTGAGTAGTCCTAGACAATACATTGAATGATCGGTGTTTGGTTGCACTTCAATCATGTCTTATTATTTGTAGCTATCATCTATCTAACTAATCATCATTAATTTTGTGTTGCAATCTCATAAGTTTGTTCCAGAAAAATTTGATTGTCTCTGCTATTGACCATTTCTAAGTACCCCATGTCAATGGAATGGTATCTATGAAGGTTAGAGAAAATATTTCACTTATTCATTGAATTTATATTTTTCATCAGTATTGAAAACAAACAGAATTACATTCAACTTCCTGTGTTCAATGTGTTAGTGACTTTATCACTTTTTCCCTCATTGCTCATCTTCTACAAGCACGCTCGCTTCAATTTATAATACAGCAATTTTGCTAAAACTTTAAATTAAATACATATTTATCAATAGTTTAGTTGTGAGAGATCATACATACATAAGCTTACCTATGGAGTCACAAGGTCATTCTTTTGGAGGCATAGAATGCTTGTACTGCACAGTTCAAACACTTGATGTACTCTCACTTCACCAGCATTTGACAGCTTTCTTCTGAAAAGCAGCTCTGTTTTCCATCCAGATTCATTATTGCCACAAATGCAACTCGGTAATTCCCACCACTTGTTAGCCTTGGGTCCTGTAAAGACCCATATTTGCCTTCTTTCTTGGCAGCCCCTGTTCCAATTTGAACTTGTCCACCATCCTCGTTACTCAGCTCCTCCTGTTAACAAAGTAGAATTTCTAAAACAATTTTTTAAGAGTATAAACTGTCATGTTCAAAGACATTTAAGGCATGGTACCTGTGTAAATTCATATGCCAAGTAGAATGGTGGTTTGACCAGAGCTTCAAGTTTAGATTGAAGGTTTGGGTCTTTGATATCAGCGGCAGGATAGTCTTTTGCATCTTCTAATGGCCTCACCAACAAGAGATAAGCCCTGTAACAGTCAGGAAATTGGAACAAAAAGAAATCGATAATCAGTTTTTAAATTCAGTACACTTTAAATATCTTTTCTGATTATCTTACTCAACATCTTTGGCTTGTTCTTCAGGAAGAGGGGCTAATGTTAGGTGGGCACAACCTTCCTGGACTTCTTCAATTTCAGGCATTTCCAAAGATGGGGGAGTCATTGTTTCAACTGTAGCAAGGACTTCCTCTTTTTCTGGATTCGTGATTGTCAGCCTATACTTAGTAAGTGGTTTAAGATCTGAAAACTAACAAGTACTTTTCATATGGCAACTCTTTTCTCCACTTGCGCTACAAATAAAGCAGTTATCTTTTACAAACACTTTGAAACCATGTCAATCTGAGATATTTACCTCAATGCTGCACTTTGTATCGCTTTCAGATTTGATGCTGAGGTTTTGTGACTCGTTCGTTGAATTAGTATTCACCAGTCCAACTGAAAATTGCTTTCCCACGGCAGGGCTTGACCACTCCAATCTTATTGTTTCATTGGTGACCTCTGCAATTTTGAAGTCAGAAACTGAAGTAGCTGGAAAAAGAGACAAAGAACATTTTCAGCTCATGTGGACAGTTTCTTTTCTCCTCATAATTCGTGACAGAAACGAAACACTTGACAAGAACATAAAAAAATAACGTAATCGTCGGAAAGATTGTGCCGAAGCCCTCCGTTTGAGCGATCATTTCCCTGAGGCAGTGACGAATACCTGGAGCACCCAGCACTGCAGCCCCGACACTCAGTGCCAGAACCACCACCACCAGCCAAGCCATTTCTCTCGGGCTGTTTACTAGCAACTGAGTTTACTGGCCCGCTGAAATGCGCCACCGGTGGACCACGGACGGCTGCCGCCAGTCTGTCTGTCTGTCTGTCTCCGTCAGCCGCACCCTTGCGCGTGCGTGCTGTGGTCCCGTGCCGTGTCGGCGTGTCCATCCCCGCCGGCTACTGGCTTCCGCGTGGGAGAGTGCCACAGGCTGATTCCAAACAGCGCTTTCTCCCTACGTCACTCTGTCTCTGTCGCACTCATGGGGCGTCCTATAGATGTGCGAGAGAGACAGCGGGGAAACACCGTTCGGAAGCAGGCCGCAGATAAAGGCGCCGGGCGGCCCCAAGATCACGGACCTCGGCCAACCTCGACTCTCAGGGGTCGTGGTGGTGGTGGTGGGCCTTGGGCCACTACAGCTGGAAGGGGAACCCGGGGGAACCCGAAACCCAATCCCAAAAAAGCGTGTCCTTGGGTGGGCAAGTTGATTTCGAACACTTGTTCGGTCGCTCTGACTCTCCCGCTCATGAGGGTGAGTAGAATCTGAACGCCATGTTTTATCTCTGTCTCTACAGCATAAGTGGAAATAGAGTTACAACAGAGACGTTGTCAGGATTCGTTCATTGGCTTCTGTAAGTCCACGCCGACATGGCTTCCACTTGGGACTTCCCTGACGCCAGCCGTCCGTGATGACGGATCCATCTCGAAGTGTTTTGCCTACATCCGTTTGCCTCCCAAGCGTCGCCTCCGCGCCAATTCACTTCCCCCTCCGATCCCTATACGGGACTAGCACTAGAGCCGCAGCCGACTGACTGATTCCGAGAGTCGTTTCCGCCGTCGCTCTGTTTCTCTCGCACCCATAAGCGCCCCGTGTAGGTGCGAGAGAGACAGAGCGATGAGAACGCTCTCGGGATCAGTCTACAGCGGGCGGTTCTGGGGCTCTGAAAGGGCGGCGTTGACGTGCGCCCAGAGTGGGGCCTGGCCTGGGGGCACCTCGGGGAAGCTCTGCCACTAGCTCTGCCCAGCGGCCGCGTGAATGGCGCGATGCCCCGCACCAAGGACACCAACACCAAGTTCAAGGTTGAGGCTCCAAGGCGCGGGTGTCCGCCAACAAAGGACACGTGCACGGCCTCGAGGCTTCAGGGACCCATCGGGAGGGAAGGCGCTAGAGCACTCGTAGCTTGCGAAGGGCGCCGCCAGAGACCCGAACCGAACACCTACCCAAAGGAAAGGACTTGGCGGCGTGTGCGGCGACACGGGGTCGGCGTGCTGGAGCAGCTATTCTCGGGCGTGGCTCGTCTATGGGAAGGTCTGCGCCTGTGGTCCGTCCGCGGCCTAATAGCAGGGTCGGCCGGCGGCTGGCGTGAGCGCTGCGAGTGCTGTGGCAGTGTTGGGAGCTTCGGCCGGCGCCGCGCCGCCGTGCCGTGCCTCCTCCGCGTGCCTGTGGATACAGGTGGTGTCTGCCGTGTCAGCAACCCCCCTTCCCCTCCCCTCCCCTTCACCTATTTGTTTCGCCTCACTGGGCGTTGGGAAGTGACATAGCTCTCCCTCCAATTTTATTTTGGGTATGACACGGACTCCCTTTCATGCGGTTGGCCGGAAAGACTGAACTCTTCGCTTTCAATCATCGAACGTCTCGTTCGACATTGCCGTGGACATCCTCATCCCCAGGCGCCTTCCGTTCGTAATATCGATCATGGTTGGGCTAATCAACGAAAAGGGGTGGGGAAAGAGGGAAGGGTGAGACAGTACGCGAGACTAGAGTCCGCTGCGAGCGCCTTGGATATAGGCAACCCCCGCTGCCCGCGTGTTCGACGGGACTCCCCCCCCCCTCTCCCTCCTCCCTTCCCAGCTCATGCGTACAGAGTAGCGACTAGAGGTGGAGAACAGCACACAAAGATGCGACCGGGAATGAATAGAAACGAAAACAGTGCCCGAAGCCTTTGAGGTGGGTGACGCTTCCGCGGGACGACACGGACATGGCATTCCAACTTACTTTCGGTGTCAGGTGACGAGGCCCCATTCTTTTCCGACTTTAGCCTTTTCCCCGCCTCCGCAGCGTCGCCGGCGTCCGCGTCCACAGCCTCACTCACAGAGTCGTGCCGGCGCTTCGACGCCATCTCGTTACTCTGGTCTTACTTGGCGTGCGCCGCGTTGCTGCTGGGAGCCGAAGGTCCGCCAAGCAATGCGTCTAGGGCCGTACTGGCCGGGCCTGCCGTGCCGTGCCGGGCCTGCCAGCGTTGGCGACGCCGGGCAGAGCGGCGCTCTAGCGTCGGCGTCGCGTCCGGCCGGGGGGAGGGGAGGGGCCGAAGGGCGGAAGGGGGAACGGGGAAGGGGAGCGGAGGACGCCTGTAGGCTGGGCCCCGCCCGCCCCGCCCCGCCCCCGCGGCATGGCTCACTGTTTGCGGCGCTAGTCAGGGCGTGCGCCGATAGAGGGCGCCGCGATCGTACTTTAACGTCCAGCTACTTTTAATGGCCAGTCCGCTGAGTTGTCGGGCGTTAGGTCCGCGGGCGACGACCGCGGGGACCGCCTAGGGGCGCCCGGTATCTGGGGCAGGAACAGGGAGGTCATGACAAGGCACTCGCAGCGCGAGACGGCGACAACGAGGCCGGATGGCTTGGGGGCGTAACCTGTGGTGGAAGTCGGCGCAAATAGGGAGCTGCGACCACCGGTCCAGCAGCGGCCCGTCCTTCAGGTGCATCTTGGGGTTCGGGTGGCGTTCCGGGAGGTACTGCAGCCTGTAGTTGACGAAGTGGAAGTCGCTGCAACAGCCGAAACGAAACGAGCCTCACATCAGCAGCACCCCTTTGGACAGATGGTCGCCGTGGTCAACGCTGGTTGCAGCGATACAATTTCAGCACTTCTGGAATGACCTGTCTCAAAACCGTGATACGAAAACTGCGGTTCCAGTCACTCGTCACCCTTCTTTCGCCCCTCCAGCCCCCGCAAGCGCCTGCGGGGTAGGCCGCCAGCGCTCGCTGCAACACACCGGTGCGCAGACGGTGGCCTACCTTGCCCCTCACAGGCGCAAGGTAGGCCACCGTCTCCACAGCGGTGTGTTGCTAGGCGAGCTGGTGGCCTACCCCGCAGGCGCTTAAGGCCACAAGCTACCACAAGCAAGCGGTGTCTCTAGAGGGGGGGGGGGGTGCGAGGGAGGCCGGGCGCCGCAACGGCCGCAACGATCGACTCACTTGGTGCTGGGGATGAACAGGGAATTCCCCGGCAAGGAGGGCAGCTTGCTTTTGAACTTGTCCCAGTTTCGCGCCAAGCACGCGCACTTCATGGACAGCTTGTTGGCGCGGTAGTCCAGGTGCTTGCCGTGCTGGTACAGCGGGAGCGGCACCTCGTCCGGAGCGAAGGAGACGCAGGGCTGGTCCCACACGCCACTCTCTCCGACGATTCTTCGAAAACACCGAAGTACAGAGACCGTGCGCCGCACATTCGCGCAGAGCGCAGTCAAAGCCACAAAAGCCCACTCCCGCCAGTCGAGTCATTGCGTCCCCCTGTCTCTCTCGCACCCGCACGGGACGCTCCTCCACTGCGACAGAGACAGGGCGACGAAACGACTCGTCGGAGTCAGCACGCTGCCTCACTGACCGTGGCCCGAAGTCGGTGCTGCCGTCAGCCAGCAGGGCGGGGCAGCCGCAAAAGTGCATACGCATCTTGCCGGTGATTTAGATTTCACAATTAGCACTAGAATTTTCCGTATCGATGTCAAGCAAAACCAAAGCCGCGGGGTGTGCTCGCTCGCCGCTCCAATTCCGAGCGGTTCCGAGAAGTGTCTTGAACAATGGCGCTCTGCTCGAAGTTTGCCTTTCGCACGACAGAGAGCGCCAGCATGAATGATCTAGACTGCAGTGACGAGGACGAGGCGACAAGTTCAACGTCATTGAGGAGGCTGTGTTTTGTTGTGTCAGTTGTCTTGCTAAAATTATACAATTTTGCTTATTTTCGATGGAATAATTATCAGTTTCTCTCTTTCTTACGGACGTTTCCAATGTTATTATGGTTCCCGATATTAGTTGGGAGGTGGGCGCTCATGTAAACACGCCGTTTCGATGCATTTTTCACTGAAGGAGGACTCTAGGCGACGGCGACTGAAGAAGACTGGGGAGCTTGACTGAAACGCGAGATTGCAATTAAGCGGTAAGAATCATTGCTAATGCTAGAAGACAAGTCTCTGTCTTCGCCCCCGATAACGTTGCTGCCTTTGCCGTTCAATTTTCCAGACGAACTCTCTGAGATCCACTTTTTCCATAAAGTTAGGTCCAAATCAACAAATTCCTTTGATTAGGCCCTTTGGTTTGTTTTTCTCTTCAATTTCGACATGATTTCACAGTTAAATGAATGTAGTTTATGTGCCTACAATGTACGTTTTGTGTATGGCTTCGCAATGAATCTCAAGTGCTTCAAGCAACAATGACCTCATGAACAAAGTGGGTTAGGTTTCAAAGCGATAATTTTCTTACAGCTCCATTACCATTAAGAATTGAGTTACATAAGTTTATGTCTTGATTAAATGTATGGGTTATCTATCTCCAAATTCTTGTTGTTTTTTTTTAGAAATTTAATTCTTAGTAAGGTGTACTGCTATTTTTCTCGTTTCGGGATCATTCTTCTGATTTTGCTGCCTTCACACGCTGTCTTTATTTTAGCTCTAATGTTGCATCTTCCTAATAATTGTCAGGAATGGAAATCATCTTTAATTGGAACTGTGTTCTAGTTTTACGCCAAATGTGGATTGTAAAGTGTCTAATTTTTGTATTTTGCTTCACAGGTTCCTGCTAAGATGGGTGGTGGTCAGGTTTGCTTGAAATGGAATAGTTTCCATTCAAGTTTGACATCTGGGTTCAAGACACTTTGGGAAGAGAACGGCCTTGTTGATGTGACATTGGCAAGTGATGGGCAATGCATCCAAGCCCACAAGTTAATACTCTCAGCCTGTAGTCCATTCTTTCGTGAAGTGTTCAAGGTAAATTAATTTGAGCAAAGAAGTATTTATCAGCTGTTAGGATAATATTGCATCTGTTTTTAACATGTTTGCATTTAGCTTGTTTCTAACATTATTTTTTTCCTCTATTGTGAATGTTGCAGAGCAATCCCTGTCAACATCCTGTGATTATCCTCCAAGATACTCACTTTTCAGAGCTAGAAAGTCTTTTATGTTTTGTTTATAAAGGTGAGGTGAATATTGACGAAGAGAATTTGCCAGCATTATTGAGAGCAGCAGAAACACTACAAATAAGGGGACTAGCAGGCGCATCAGAGCAAGTTCAAAATGAGGTGTGATATTTTAATTGATTGTCCTAGTCTACATCTTGTTTAAGGATTTTGTTTTTAATCTCATCTTGTTTATCATTTATAACAGTTGGGTAGTATTACATCTGAAATTGAAGAAGTGCCTGTAGATGAATCATCGCCTCCCTCTAAGCGTAGCAAGGAATCTCCCCCCTCCAAACCATGGCAACCTCACTATTCAAGGTATTCATTCTTTCAGCTTTGACACTACAATCAGTATTATGAGGAAGGTGCCTTCTATGAATATTCTTTGTTCAGGACCAAGAAACGTTCCGGCAGTAGAAATAGTGCAAGAAATGCTCCAATCTCAGTTGAGACAGTGCTGGAAACAACTCTTGCTCACTCTCCTGATAGAGTTCCTAAACTGGAGCCTATGGACCATGATTTGGAAATAGACGGAGACGCTACACCGAGCCTATTAGATGCGGTAGATGAAGACAGCAACACAGCATTATTCCTTGGACCGGTTATGGAGATGAAAATATCTCATGATAGAGTTTCTGCATCCGATACTGGCCAAAGCAATGGTGAGTAAAAATATTTTTATTTCAGGAAATGATAGTGTGTGTTGTTTTGTGTGTTTTCACTTGTTTTGGCATGTAGAAGTGATGCCTTATCATGTGTGTGGTCAACCATTTGAGGTTGATTCACATGTCATTTGATTTACACACACTCTTGCTCTTGCTGGTAAATGCATGAGAGACTCCGAGCCAGAATAGCAAAAATTTTATTATTAACTGACATCTCACTTGAACACAATAAAAAAGGAAGCTCTTTTGTAACAGCGTTCTTCATTAAACAAACATCATATCTCATCTTTGTTGTGGCTGCTGCTGGGCTTTTCAAAAAACAAGACAAACACATTGCATTAGAAATTCTTATTCTTCACCGAATTTTACATTTGCTATATGCTCTTGCTTCTATCTTTTGTGGTGCTTTGTTTTGCTTTTAGCTTAAAAGCAGTTTCATGTAGCTCATGCTCATACCTTTCAAAACTGTTGGATCTTTGGTGTATGTGATGTGTGACCACATTAAAAGGACCAATAATATGCCACCAATGAATGTGTTATTCTTAGTTGTTCAGTAAATTTAAAGTTGATACACCATATGCAGTGCTTCTAAAGATTTATTCTAAAATAATTTTTTCTGAGCTAAATTGACACACACATTTATTGTTGAGTTGTGGAGTGAGCATATTTGTGTAGGATCATCCAATTCAAACCATTGCAAGCTACAGAATGATGCACCTGAAGAGTAAGGATGCAGTGTTAAGTTTTGATTTGTAAGGTAAGATATGTTGCTTTAGCTCAAATTGTTGGCTTTAATTGTTCACTCAATAACAGATACCTGTTGGTTTTATGTTTGACTTCCTAAGCATGACTTAAGGCTGACACCCTTGCTTAATAAGATGTAACTTACAGTTACATGTTAAAAAATAATTAAATCCTGAAGCACTAAATTTTATAGTTCATCATCTCACTCAACAATCCTTGTGTATATTGCACAGAAATTTATAACTGTTGATAAAGTGGTCTTAAGCCGACTGTGTTTGCATTGGATCTGCAAAACTGCTACAGCCTTTGCCTGATTATGTGTAGATACCCTAGGATTACAGTTTTACTATCTTGGTTTTCTGATTATATTCTTAGAATTAGCATTGAAATTCTGTATTTTTGACATTTAGTATCAACTCACTTAAAATACTAACAGCATTTTTTTCTCAAACTAACCATTTGGAAGTGGTTCTGTATGCCATTTGGGTCTCTTATTTTAATTTCCTTTTCATCGCTTTTTGTTTTGCTATTGGTATGCTTCTGTGGGTTTGTGAAATGAATACCTTAGGACTCAATTTAAATTATGCAGTGGACTTAAGTGAAATTTATTAGAAAACCATACACAGGAACCTATTTGTGGTTTCTAAAAATCTTGTTGGTTATTTGCTGTGTACACTAAGGTTCAGCTGGTAAGCGGGTTCTGCTGTGTCTGAGACAAGAGATTGTTTTTCTTCTGACTGATCTAAGGGGAGCAGCTTAATCACCTTTGCACCTTTTGTAATAATAAGTATCAGGTGCTAACCTCAGAGTTGATCTTTCAAGTATTAATGTTGGGAGTTTTGTAGGCGTTTGCCCATTTGCTAAAACTAAGAGATTAAGGCTTCATTTACTGTCTTCTGCTCTGGATTCAAATGATGTGTCTTTACCAACTAATATTCTGTTAAATTTGGATGTTACAAAGTGTCTTTCAGTTGTCTTTGTATTCTTTGTAATTTAAATGTCTTTGTATTTCTTCTTAGGTACTGATGCTGAAGAAAATTCTGAGGCTGGTGACGATGCAGGAATAAAATTGGCATCTGGCCAGTTACCTTTCCAAAAGTTGCCTTATGCCGATCTCCTACCAGAAGCAGAAGTTCTCGCTGTTTGGTCAAAAAGCCGCACTCCAGAACAGCTAGCATGTGATTTGATGAAAGTTTTGTTTTCTGTGGAAGAACGTTTACTGTGCAATGTAAATGGGAAGCTTGGTAAACAACAGTTTAATGTTCACAAAGTCCAATTAATTAGGGAAGTGTTAAGCTTTTTCACTAGCCTTAAACCTGCAGAGTTTGAAGAGCAATGGAAGTATTGTATAACAAAAATAGACACAGCCAATCGAGGTTTGAAAAGAAATATGGTCATTCGAGGGCGAAAGACAATGTATCTTTTATGAAGTTATTTAAATGATATATTAGCTACCCATGTTGCAACATTATACCTTGCATTTAATGAAGGTAAACAAAATTTCCAAACTTCCATTGTATTACTTACCTTAAAAAAGAATTTGTTGTTTGGTCAAATTTTGGGTGCAATACTTAAAACCAACCTGATTTAAAAGTATGAAATTCTCTTACCATCTACAAAACTAACTATAGCTTTTTTGGTTTGTAAACTATTTGTGTTTTCTAATGTACAAAAATCTAAGGTTAAGTATTCATGACCACTTAGCCGGTTCTCTTTATCAGATGTTCATTTCTGGTTTCTTTTTGTTTAAACATTCCAGTGCAGTACTTGGTTTGTATACTTTGTATGTTAATTTTGATGTGGTATGCATTCACTCCCTCTTCTTGTCTATGTTCATTCCCATGGTGATAAATTTTTTATGTAGCTTTGCTACAGGAGTCATGTGAGCTTACCTTTAATCTTTTAGGGCTATTAGATGCTGTAGTTCCTCCTGATTGGACCTTTGTGTGGTCTCAATGTTACTAGATTTGATTTATCATACAGGGTGTCTAGCTTAAATTTTAATTTTCTTTTCCCTAAAGTGTATGTGCCTTTTATTTTCCATTGCCTAGAGGGTAGTTCTAAATATACTTTAAACTAGAGTACATGAATGCCTCCTGTTTCCCCTTTTTGTGTTTTCGTGCGTGTCACAGTGAAGTGACGCACATAACAAACATTGACACCCAGGCACCTTGGACAAATCATGGGTTTTGTCAGGGCATGTGTCCCTCTGGACAGTGTTCTTTGGCTGTGTTTCTTGCAATATATGTTGTACATTTTGGGTAGCATCACAGATGGGCCTAGTGTTATCATTGACTGAGCTTAGTTGTACAAAATGAGATTTCTGTTTACAGCAAGTAGCCTTTATGTTTTTTCATAATTGTTAGGAAAACATAGACACTGTTGAATTTTTATATTTTAGGTAATTAGAATATAGAAATATATAATCTTGTTGCATGAGGCCGATAATGTACATGTTCCTAGAATGTTGTAAATATGTTAGCCAGTTAGTCAACAATTGTTGAATGGCCACAAATTTATATATATTTTGATATTTGTATAGTAGTAAATAACCAACCCATTTATGTTGTAATACCTAGTAGTAAAATATTTACAACTTTTACCTGCCTCTAGAATTAGTGATGTACCATTCCTGTAAAGTGTTGATAAAGTGTTCATTCCAATGTATGCCTGTTTCTTTTTTGTTTGTTAGTAAAGCAACATATATGTTGTGGCTGTTTAGTGTTCCTATGGTTTCAAACATTCCTTTCGAGAAAATTTTGGTGAATACTTAATTATGTTACTCTCTAGCTTGAAAGAGTGATTTGTACATCGCTGGGGCATGTTTCTATGTTGCAATAGCACATAGTTCTTTTCTGTTGTTGTTTTTATTTTTTCACATTTGCTGCATAGCATCACTTAACTTTATGACTATTGATAATGTTAAAAGAAGTGTCCTGCATTATTTTTATCTCATTGGAAGTTTGTCAGTGAATTGGATGTGAGTAGTTGTTACCTTGCTTTAGAATGTAGTTACATAGGGACCTGTTTCATTTTATCCAGCATATGTGATTTAACTGCTGCTGTTCCTGTTATATTTTATAATCAAGACTTGGATGAGCTGGTTTGGGCATGTGCAGTGACTATGTGATAGAATGAAAAAATATTGCCATATTGAATCGTAATAGTATTGCCTCTTCACTATAACATTTAAAATGGTAAAGCTTTCGACTTGTTGCCTGAAGTAAAGTGGGGAGTTCTCTTCAGAGTTTTACTTGTCTTGTTTTGTTTTAAGTGTAGAGTGTTATCATTTTGTGCCTTTATTTAATTATTTTGTGACCTTTTGTTTCTCTTTACTGGCATCTGGCTATGATTCCTGTATTTCACGTTTTGATTTCCAATGTGTGACATTTTAAACTCTTGCCATGGTAGATTGATAAGAACAGCTTATAAGTAAACTCCAATTTTCTGATTAAGTGCTACAATTGCCATTAAACTTCATAAAGGTTGCCATGAAATATGGTTTGCCATTGTCAATACCACCATTTTTTGCATCATACTTCATATGCTGCAAGATAGTAAGAATAGACACCACCATTAACGAAAGTTCAAGATGTAGTTCCTTTGTCACTAAGTGCCACCCTATTTTTATTTTTCTTTGTTTAGGTACATTGTCTGTAAATCATACATCTAATTGCATCACATGCTGTATTGAGTCTTGTCTTTTGTTTCAAGTATCTCTTTCTGTCCTAAAATGTTTGTTTTGTTTCAGTTACCACAGATCCCTTTGGTAATTTCTTTTCTTTTGGTAATAAGATGAAAGAAACAGGGATTTTTGTTGTTGAGTTCTTTCTGTTATTGTTTATCTTTATCACAATAAGCTGAAGTTCCATAAATTCCTTCAGGTTTATTATTCCTTCTCAATCAGGCCAAGTTGTGAAGTTAAATTCTTCACCTCTTTGGCTTGATCATAGGTATGGTTGTGAATATTAATACTAAACATGGACACTGTTCAGATATGATTCTTTTTATCTTTAAGTTCTCTACTTCTTCAACTCAGATCCATTTACTGTTTAGATGTCAAGATCAAAACATGTTAATTACCATACACTGACTGCTGCAGTTTACAGGATTGTAATGAGGATTCCAGAAACACTGTTGTTGGTTGTCGCATGCTTACAGTGTGACAAATGAAGCAGAATGCTTGTGATCATTTGTCAAAGTTGTGACAGCTGATTCGTATTGCATGTGAAGATCACTTGTAGTTTTGTGATGTCGTACATTCCGCCTTTATGATTTATTGAATTGAGTAGTACTTTCAAAACTTTACTTTTTGTTGTGTAGGTCTTAATTTCTGCACCTGATTTCCTTGACAGCAGATATGTTGTCTTTCTTATCACATTCCTTATTTTTTGAAAGAAATGTTATCTTTTCATTATTTGTTGACTAGATTTTGGGAAATTTTTATGTTCTTTATGGGCAAAGATCCAAGATTGAATGCCCATCAAAGGCTGTGTGCTTCTGTTTTATTTGTTGTTCTACTTCTGTTTGTTTTAGTTTTCCTCTTTTCTTTTGTTTTTGTTTTGTTTGTTTCATTGTAATAGTGCTTTGGCCTGTGCTTTTCCATTTCTATTTCTTAGGTTCCTTAAAAACTTTCAAGTGCCATTTGGATTATTTATCTCAATATGGTTCAGCAACTCATGGTTTAATGCTCATGAAGCCTGCTCTCGTGCCCTCTTAAATCTGACATTCATTATGCTCGGGAAAATTTGCTGTAAGCTGTAAGAATGCAGAGAACAACTAGGAGAGACCTAAGAGAATCCTCTTGGAAAGGGAACTAAGCAGGGTACTTTTAGACTTTCTGTTTCTACTTGAAAACCTGTTGTAGTTTCAACCAACAGGATTGTTTTAAAATTATACTTTAAAGAATTTGTGTTACTGGCAGTGTCATATAAAAGGACTTACAAAAGAACCCACCAACTTAACACAACTGTTGTTATAAGTGCCTGAGGCCTCTTTATTTGTGTCTCTACATGTACAAATGATAATGCATTCTCTCTAAGAGTGTGAAGCTTTAAGCCATCAAAAGTTATGCATTGCCTTTAAAATCACTTCCCCACCGCTTAAAAAAAAAAAAATCCGGTTCTTGATGTTTTTTGGAATAATTTATTTTTCTTCTATTGTTAGTGTGGGGTCTGTTGTTCATAATGGTGTATCCATGTGCTTTTCTGATTTGTATTACACAAAGGAATAAGGGAAATACACTAAGATTTTAAAGAAAGCAGGTTTTCATTTTATTCTTTCCCAATGGAAGTACCATACATGTGGTTGCATTTTTCATTAAAGATCAGATTTGATTACATCCAACACACACACCCAAGTGCTACACAGTTGAAGTTTATCAGGATGAAGCAATCATAAGTGTCCAAAATCGTGCCAGACAATTTTCAATGTGTACTTTTTCCTTCTTTTTCAGATGGACCTTTCTTTTCTGCTGAGAAAAATTTGCAGAGCTTGGAGTTAAATCAAGGTGAGATATCTGGTTATCCCTCATTAGTTTACAGCAACAACTGGGAAACATCATTATTTTCAACACATTTTTGACTGCTGGAGAAACACAGAATTGTGGGTTAAACATTCATAACAAACGGTCATACAGGTGTTAACATTATTGTTTGTTGCTTCTGGAGGCATTTTAACACACATTCCCTTTCATTTATTTTAATAACAATTTCCATGTGTTTTCATATTTTTCAGTGTTTAACTGTTTGAAAGCCCCCAAGAAGGATAATCTACTGCTTCCTTTCCCATGTCCATTTTGTGAACGAACCTACACTAGTTGGGGCTTTAGGAGAAGACATATTAAGGCTATGCACACTCACAGTGAACGATTGTCATGTAAATGGTGCTTGCTGGTGAGACTGCTTATATCAACAATATAATACATGAACCATGGACCCCTCTTCCACTTTGTTCAAAATGATCAATGTAAATTTTCTTTTCTGGTCAAATTTATTTAATAGGTCATGGAAACACATGCTGACTGGCAAAAGCATGTATCCGCCGTTCATGGTCTAAGCCCTGGTGATGCTCAGAATGGAATCCTTATTCTTGAAGAAGCCAACATGGTACTCCGTATACCAAACCCACCACGCTTGGATACTCTAGTCACAATGATTAGAGAATCATCCAGCTGTCAGTCAAGTATGTCTAAAAAGTGCCCCTGTAATTGAAATCTGGACTGTAGTTAAGTACTGAAATCAAAAGTCACCTATGTTCCTGTCCTGTGCCAGGTCCTGCCTGTAAAGAACAAGATGAGGGTCCAGAGACACGTGTGGAACGCATACATTGTGATTCCAAGTTCTTAGAGACTGCTTCAGCTGCGGAGGACTTAAGTCAAAGGAAAGCTCAGGAGGTGGAGGGACAGGAGCCCTCTAAGGACAGTGAAGAGGATGATGCCATAATTGGAATTAAAGTGGAAAGACCAGATACACCAGATTGATTTCTTGAAGCCTCAATACATTAGTGCATAAAATGTTGCACTGTTAACGAAAGATGGACAATAAAGATTTAAAGATAATCTGTCTTCACTCCTTTCCCCCTGCGTTTTTCCTTCCAAAGACCGACAGAAAATTTGACAAGGAACGCCTGGATAAATCGCAGGGAAGTCGAAACTCAAGCTTCCCGCGAGATTGAGTATGAGGGGAAGGGGAGGGGAGGGGAGGGAGCACAGCCTTCGTGCGGGCTTCGGATCGGAGCTTCGGAGTTGTCGTCGTCGTCGTCCTCGTTGTGTTGTGTGCGCTGCCCGTTAGTGGAAGATGGAATTTCTGAAACTCTTCCGACACTCTGGAATACCTGCAATACATGCAGAACGCTTCATAGCGAAAATTTAAGCCTTTTGACATTGAGTTGGTAGGTTAATTTGGTTGTCATTTCAGTTATCATGACGAAGTAGTCTGAAACACATGTCAGAGGCGGAGGCACGGATGTGTTTATGCTTTTCTCAGTTTGTCATTTACTGTGTGCTTTAATTTTTTAATGGAACTTCTTATTCATTTGATTTGCTTCTGATGTTTTATCTTATTTCCTTGTTTGTCATTTTTGTATTTTTATTCCGATTTGAATTGTGTTTATGTCATGAAGGTTAGAATAGCATTTATCTTTTCTTGTCGTAAACTAAAAACTAAATGAATATAAACCCGTCAGAATCGCTGGTTGTTGACTGAATGGCCGATACTATCATTGTATTTATTCAGTTTGAGTATTTTATTTATTCAGCTCAGTTTCATTTCTTGTTTTCATTTTTATTTTCGCCCTGATTTAGGATTTACTTTCTTCATGGCGACTCGACGATCCCGGATCAAGGCAGTGGCAAACCTTCCTGCTCGCCGAAATCGTCCAGTGGGGTTGATCGATGTCAAAAAAGAAGATTTGGTATCTACTGAGGCCGATGAATTGTCGAGTACACCCAAAGTTCCTGGAAGTTCACATTCACCCAAGAAACTTCAGGCAGCAGTTGGAGATGGGGGTCAGTCAGGGAAGGAAGGCTCTCTGGATTCCCTTCTTCCATCATGTGATTCATCACAAGCTGCAATCTCCCATGGCAACAAAAAAGTTACTTCTGTTGAGGATGCTGAAGAATTGCAATCAGCTCCAGACAGAAGATCAGTGATAGTGTCTGATCGGAAATCTGTAATTGTGAATAGAGATGATTGCATCAGCCCAACTAAGTCTACGTCAAAAGAAATTTTGTGTAAAACTGATGCTGAAAAGGTTTGCCCAAATTCTCAAAAGGATTCTAAAAAACAGCCTGAAGATGATCTCAAAATGCAACCTGTCAAACCACATGATGTTGAAGGTCAAGTCACTAATTCAAGTATTGATACGAATACATGTCAAATCAAACAGTCTGAAATAGGAGCATCTTCATCTGCTGAAGATAATACCACTGCTTCCAACAAACGCTTGCCTCTTAGAAATCGGCGATCAAAACCTGCAGTGAATCTAACTGCTGCTGTACGAAAGCGTTCGGCTAATGAAATTGTTGCATCCCCATGCTCTCCACCTCCTGTCAAGTAAGTTTAGTTGTAACCTTTTACAAGCAAGAGGAACTAAATTTTCCTCAAGTCAGAGGAATAAATTTTGTTTTGTGTGTCTCTATTTTTGCCAGATTGAAAAGTCCAGAGCCTGCATTGTGTCGTATCAATGAAAACTCCTCAATTATTACTAATACAGATGACACTCCTGACCAAAGTCAAGCATCAGACAAAAATAGGATATCATCCTCTGAAATTTCAGGACAAAGTCCTGCCACCTTGTCCTCCCCACCTGTAACAGTGTCAAGGTAAGCGATAGTGGTGATAATGGTAATAGTAATGTTATTTTCAATTTGTTCTTTAAACAAACAAATTTGCTCACCTGGTCGGTCTGTGCAGACCATCGGATAATACAAGTGGAGTGTTCAAGACTCCTGTCGCACCTTTATCAAAGAACAAAGATGCCTCAAATGATAATACAAACAAAGGGGATATTGCACTGGTTGGTCCTCAAAAAGAGTCAAGGTAGGGAAGGATCTGCATTTGGATTGATGTTATGGAAATGCCTTTACTCTGTCATTCACTTTCTTTAAAATTTCTCTTAACAGCAATGTGAAGAAAAAGCCATCATCTAATGCTCAAAGAGTAGCCACTGCTCGCAAGAATTTGAAAAATCGTATTGACACTGATGGTACTCCTCCAAGATCAGCGTTAACAATGTTTGATCTAATTTTTTATAATCCATCTAAGAACCCCATGAAGTATGTATCCAATTTTCAAAATATTCTGACCTCACAAAATTAGCTTGGTTTCTGGTATTGTTATTGCTATTATCCATCTTATTATTTTCATCCACATAGATCGGTGGGTACTCCATCAAATAAATCTCGACGAAGGCTAAATTCGTAAGTTCAAATTCATGACCTCTCATTTGTATATCCCTTTGCCAAGTCTGTACATTATGCTTATTCTTCAGAGTATCAAGCATGGCTTCTACCAACGAAGATCGTCTCAATGAGGAATCTGTGGATGATATTGAAGAAATAGATGATGCTCAAAATAATCAAGAAGAAACGGAGGAGGAAACAGCTATGCCTGTGCCACAAGTAAAAGTGGGTCCGGATGGGTCTCTGATTCTGGATGAGCAGAGTTTGGTAAGCTAATCTATTATTGCTACTATTTAAATTTCACTTGCTCTCTACATCATCAATACTCAAGGATTTTTTTATTGGCTTCTTGGTGTTTATTTATATGTTATTTAATGATGATTATTTCATATTGTTATTTATCCAACACATGCCTTTTCCTTGTTTACTTAAGGTTATAGAAACTACTGGAGCAAAGAAAAATAGGGAGGAGTTAGAGAAGTCAGAAGTGATTGTCGACTCAGGAACAGGCTACGGTCACTACAAAAAGATTGTGCGGTCTAAGGACTGGTCTGATCATGGTAATTAAATAGCTTTTGAAACTTTTGAAATCTCAATTGAAGATGTTCAATTGTCTTGGTCTAAGGCAACAATTCTAAAGGTTTTTTTTTTTTTTTTTTTAAATTTTTGCTTGTTGTAGAAACCAAGAAGTTTTACAGAGCTCTTAATGTAGTGGGCACCGACTTTTCTCTGATGAAACCGTACTTTCGTAGTCGCACCCGAAGAGAATTAAAATTAAAGTTCAAGAAAGAGGAGCGTCTTAATCCCAATCTTATAAATAAGGCACTTTCTGAACCTCTGGACTTCGATATATCAGAGCTTGAAAAAGAATGTGGTATGCTGTCTCTCATTTTGTCATTTGACTACTTTATGCTTTGGAAGTTCTTTCCAGTTGTCCCTTGTTTAATGTTTACGTCCCTGCTTCAGAGTTGGAAGATGAAGAAGAGAAACGTATGGAAGAGGAGGCAAAGGAAAAAGCATCCGAAAAATTGAAGGAAAAGACAGAAAATACTCAAGACAAAACCAAAAAACGTGCTTCAAAGAAAAAGAAGAAATGTAAGTTGAGCTTTACTGCTTTACTCTGTAATTTAGAACTAAATTTTGCATTGAATGAATATTTTATTATCATTATTGTTTCAAAATTTTTCTGTGCAGGTATACCACTTGCCGAAATAGGTTTAGAAACTGAGAACAGCTCAGATGCAGGAACAAGTACATCTTATAAACTGCCAAAGAAAAGGAAAGCTTTAGTCCCTGCAGATGAGGCCAATAATGTGCTAGAAGAAGTACCATCATCAGAAATAGATTTTGGAGCTGTAAATGGTTCTGCTGCAGTCCGCAAAAAGACCAAGATAACTTCTCAAAAGAAAAGGAAGCCTGACTCAGCTGAAGAAGATTACAATATGCTGGCCATGGGCTTGGACATGCCTAGCCAACCAAATGACTGTCCACAGGAGGAGAAATCATCTGAGCTCAATGAAGACATGGGAATATTTGCAGAACCAAAGAACAAACCAGTTTCAGTAATCAATATGAGGAAAGAGCCAGTTGTTAAGCGAGTTAGAACTAAAGCTCCAACTCTACCTCGGAAACCTGCACCAGTTGGCAATACCCCATCCCTTCCCTCCAACAGTGCTTCTTCTAGCTCCAACCCTCCATCAAATGTTGTTCAGAAATCTCAAGAGACAAATTTGAAGGTTCCATCTACATCATTGAGCCCAAGCACCACTGTGGTCCATTCTACCTCTCAAGCTCCACTTAAAACCATTACATTGAGCCCAAGCACCACTGTGGTCCACTCTACCTCTCAAGCTCCACTTAAAACCATTACATTGAGCCCAAGCACTACTGTGGTCCATTCTACCTCTCAAGCTCCACTTAAAACCATTACAACTTCACCTCAAGCCATCGCTTCAACTTCTGGTTTCAAACTAATTCAGTCACCAGGACAGCCTCGGATTCAAATTGTTCGTTCACCAGCTGGCTTTAAAGTTGTTCAAACCCCACCTCAGTCTCGGGTTCAGCTTGTCCAAAGTTTGCCTCAAACTACCCCACAATCTATGGCAAGCATAAGAGCTGTTACTCCCAAGACTTACAACATCATCAGAAAACCAGGAATAGGTGTAAGGCCTCTGTCTACATCTGGAACTACACCCTCCTCATCTCCAAATTCAGCTTTGCCAGTCTCTACCTTACTAAACAGATCAACTTGTTTAGTTTCTTCTCCTGGAGGTAAATTTGTCCAATCTCCTCCTCTTCCTCAAATGAGAACAGTACAAGTTACTCCTCAAAGTTCCTCAAGTGTGTCAGGATTTGGATCAACAACTCCTGTAGATAGATTGCTCCCATCAACTCCCTTGCCTCGAATGGAGCCAGGTTCCATTATTGTTTTGAAGACCCCTCTGCCTCAAAATCCTGACCGACATGTTCTCCAAGTATATATGGTCACGAATACACCACCAGGTTCTACAGGTAATACTGTGCCGCTCTCCCCTCATGTGCCAGGAATAAATATTCTCTCAGGCCCAACAGTACAACCAGCAAATTTAAAATCCCCGAGCATGTCTGATGATTCTGACTGTGAGAAGGTACTGACTACTTTGTAGTTTTCTATTCCCTTCCTGTACCTAAATGTAATTTTTTAATGTATACATATACTATATATTTTTCTGTTACATTTTTACATCAGTTATTATGTGTATGATTTCTCTCTCCTACATTAGTAGATCAAAATGTACATATGACCAAGTGTGATTGTTAGCTCTTTGTTATGTCCTTGTTATGTGATGTTGGTGCAAGATTAAATGTGAATGCACTGAAGTAATATAAAATTGTAATTAAAAAAAGAAATGAAAAAGTTGCACAAAATTTATTACAGTAAACTTAAATGTCTCACTGACAAATCAATTAATTTTTTCATAGGAAATATCATAGTATTGCATTTTTCACAATATGTTGAAATTCAGAGTAGTACTGAATACAATATGCACTTATGAACTCTAATGTTTGCTATAGTAAGAAGCTAGTACATTTTTCAACTCATTTGATAAGGCATCCAAATGCTGCTTTTTACTTGAGATAACTTTAGAGGCCTCTGTAACACTGCAAGGCAAATCACCATACTTAGAAAGCTTGCCTTTCAAACAATTTATTTCATTTTGCAAGGTAATATAGTCCTGATAAGCGTCCATGATGGCCTGATTTGAAATGGCTGGAGTTACACCACGTTCATTGAGCTCAGCTTTGGTAGATGAGAGCGTTTGATTCAGTTTTGACAAGTTAGACTGACTAACATTCAGGTCAATGATCAAATTTTCTAGGAAAGTCTGTTGAGATGCGACCTCCTCAGTAGCCAACTTCAGCTCTCTTCCGAAGTATTTAGAATTCTCTCTCAATCTCTCATTTCTCCTTCTCAACAACTGAATATCTTTGACAAGGCCTAACTTCTGCCTGGAAGTGTTTGATTGCGCAAGAAAATCGACAGCCAAGGTGGCAACAGCTCCCACATCACTCCCGTCCCCTAAATTCCCTTGCACAACGATGCTTCCTTTTTCAAGAAGCGCTTGTTGAGTATCACAGCTAAGCTCTTCATCATCGCCCAAGTGTAGACGTTGAAGATGATCAGAAGTTTTGAGCGCCAGGGCTTCATATTCAGAATCGCTCCTATTCATATTCTTTATGATGTCATCCACAGTACTGTCAGTCTGCAGGTTGAAAGTGTACAAGGATCTCAATTTGGCCTGCGATTCCTTGGAGAAGGCAGGGTACTTGCTGAGCAGCTTCGGATTCATTGAAGACATCCATTTCATGAATTCTTCATCACCTGAGTCACAGAGACAGAAAAATGGTGCAAAGTAACGCATTAAACGGTTGAATATTATTGGGGTTATGTTGCGCTGCCTAAACGAAATTACGTGCTCTTACCGTTATTCTTGATTGTCGCGTTTCTCGGACGAACTTTATTAAAGTGTGGATCAAGAAAGGAAGAATTATTGATTGATGTCGACATCATTCTTGCTACAGTCCAATGAAGCAGCCGGTTTTCTTCCTCCACCACCAGTTTGTTTACAAACCGTTCACAGTGATTTCATTCAAATGGGTTGCCGCCTCCTCAATCCACTAGAGCCAACCTTCACGAGTTGGGCATTTTGACGTTACAAGTGACAAGATCCCAGAGGGAGAGACATATCAAGGATGTTGGCTTGTAGATCCTTTTATTTCACTGCTCAGCTTAAAGGGAACGGACAGCACAAAACTAATTCGTTTGAATAATGTTGACGATTTTGAATGTTGGCAATAGTGGAGAGAAGAGAAACCGGTAAATTCAATCCAATCCGCACAAGAGGAACAAGAAGAGTGGAAGAATACTACGACTACGCTACCACTGACATGATATGGGTGTCCAGTCTTTCAGCTCCACGTGTTCGGCGAAGGCGAAACCATCACGCGGGTTTCCCGTAGAAACCCACGGCAGCCGTTTCTGGGTAGGCGGGTCCGTGCGGTCCGAGTCCCGGAGCAAGCAGCATGACACTCTCCTGGCGGCCGCTGCCGCTGGTTCCGGACCGGCCGTAGAATCCGGGCTCGGGGAAGGCCAACGCCGCCACTGCCAACCATTCATGCTTATAATGTATCTGCTCGAATGAGGCACCAGCATACCTTGAAAACAGAGCGAATAGGCGAACTCACGGGAATTCTGATGCGTCGATCCGGTCACAAATTTGCCCTTCTCCGCGCTGCCACTGGCCGAGTGGGACGAGAACTTCAAATACGGCGTCGGCACCATGGCGGGCCGGCCGCGAGTCCCCACTGCAAAATAAAATGGAGACCCTTTCCTGAGCACTTGCCCGGCTGGAGAGGCGCGACCACGGGGACCTTTCGGCGGTTTACCGAGACGCTGCGGGGGTTCGTAGTGGCCGAGGCCTTGGCCGAGGCTGACGGGGAAGGCCAGCCCCACCGGCAGCGGCATGGGCAGGGTGCTCGCGGCGTAGCGGCTGGAGTACAGGTCCCGGCCTCGGTCCCAGTCCGAGAGGAACGTGGTCCGGTCGGCCTGGTCGACGACGTGCAGGGCCTGGCCGCGGACGACGCCGACGACGCCGTGCTGCGGCTGTTGCGCTGGCGGCGCCGGAGGGTAGAAGTAGGGGTTCGAGCCCCACGAGCCTGCAGAAAGTGGAGAAGAGTCCACTGCACTCTCACTGTCACACCAGCAGAAGCTTCATGTCGACCCACTGCGCGTACGAACCGGCCACGAACTGGTAGTGCCCGGCGGCCCCCGCGGTCGTGGGGTACATGGGCACCGCGGCGCCGGGGCCGAGGCGCGCCAGAAAGAGCGCGAGCAGCGCGGGGCTCCAACAGCAGGCCCAGGAGGCCGTCGTCCAGGCGCGCACCGCCTGCGCCATCCTGGCCATCCTCGCTGCGGCGCGCTGCGGTCGGAGGTCCGCGACGACGGTGCTGCGCGCTACGTCTTCGAGATGGGGACCCAGGGAGTCCTGGAGGACTGGCAGCACTGGAAGGCGGCGTCGCAGGGCATGCTGCAGCGAGAGCACGGCGACGACCACACGATCACTGGCAGAGGCAGACTGCAGCAGCCTGGGGCCGCAGCCAGCTCGCCCCCTTCTCCGTCTTCTCGGCGAGCGTGGCGTGCTCGTCACGCGCGTGTGTATTGTCTGTTATCTCGTGCGGCGCACGCGGCGCACGGCTCGTCACGACCGCGGCGCCGGCAGTGACAGTTGTCGGCGTCCCCCACCGCGCACCGCGTTGCAGCGCGGCCAGCGCGGCGCACGCAACAGCCTGCAGGCCGGCGTGCCGCCGCGCCGCCGTGTGTGACACGCGACACACACGCGTGCGTGGAACGCGCTCGACACGCATCTCACTCACTGCCCGAAATCCGAGCGGGACCGCGGGCGGGAGGAGTTGACATGTGGAGTCGACGGCGACGCCATGGCGACGCTCCACAACTCGGACGAGAAAGTCTTTCTCACTTGCCTGCACCCAGCCTGCACCCTGCACGGCGAATTCTAGCCGCCAGAAGATGCCTCTCGCCACATCCCCATGAAGGCCCAAAAATTTCATGAGCTTGTTTAGTTTTGAAGAAGTCGTTTTTCAGGGTTTTAGGGTGTGTGCCTCAACGAGGGCGTCGCGGTCTGTCTCCTCCGCGGCCGGGACCCACCGCGACTGCCGACGGCTGCACTGCCCTCCCTGCTCGTTCCCGCCCTGCGCCGCCCTGTGCGCGGGCCATTGTGACGAAACACGTTCCCTCACTAGCACGTCCAGGACGTCCTGCGACTGCCTGCGACGCAGAGCCGCCTGGGTGTCACCAGGACGTCGCAGCATGACGTCATCGCTAGGACGCCTCTAGGGTCCACACGGAGCTGGCTGATCTGGCCGAGCCAAGCGCTATCGGGAAGCCGCTCTGAGGCGCCGCGGTGAGGCCGCCAACCTCCTTGGATGTTGGCAGCGTGCGGTTTGTTTATCCCGTTCCCGTTCCAGGATTCCAGGCAGTCCGGCAGTCCAATAACGATTTGGCCGCCGCCGGCGCCGTCGCCCTGACGCAGACGCGCGCAGCGCGCAGACGCATGGGGCAGCCTGGCTTGTTTACGCGATTAACGTGAAAGGTGTGTTCGCGTTCGCGTCGTTCGCGCCGTTCGCGCCCCCATGGCCGGCCGGCCCAGGGCCAGGGCCCCGCGGCCCCGCGTGGGGCAGCCCCGTCATGACGTATGCGGCGGGGCCCTCGGGGCGGGGCGGGGTGTGGCGGGGCGCGGCGGTGCCGGCTGTGGCTTCAGCCTGGAGCCGGACTGTCCAGCCTGAACTCGATACCCGCCATACCCGCACCGCGCCGCACCGCCAGTACCTGTCCAGTTCCCGCCCGAGCGCGTCGGGGCGAGCTCTGTCCTCTTCGGTGCTCTGCCCTGTTGCTGTTGTCTGTTGTGTGGGAGGGAGTGAACCCAAGTCGCAGCTCTCAGTGATCATGGTGGCCGAGGCGCGCCGCCTGCCCGTCTCGCTGCCCGTGCACGGCGTGCTGGTGCTGGCCGTCCTCGCCCTCGCCACCGGCGCCTCCGCCACGCAGTACGAAGGTAAGCCTTCACCCTCGTCACCTACCGCCCTGGGCCCCAGGCCCTGGGGTGCCCGCAGACTCGCAGACGCTAGCAGACGCCGTAGTGTGGCGGCGTTCAGAGCCCTTAATTAACTAACATAGAGATCGGCTGAGATCCTTCCCGCGCCATTCTAGCCATTATCACTGTTCCTCTAGACCTGTAGCGCTCGAGTGCCGGGATTTGCTTTTTAGGCCACCGAATGAACAACTGATTTCCCCTTTCCCCGTGTCGGACCTTCTTGAGTGCAGCGAGAGCCCCTTCGGCCAGCTCCATGCCGTGCTCTAACTTTGATTGTTCTGATGGTTCCAGGCAGCCCCTGCTTCCACGAGGACAGCCAGAGCCGCGGCGTGTGCAAGCTGCTGCCCTACTGCTCGTGGGCCGTCAAGGAGCGCCGCTCCGACCTGTACCCGCAGACGTGCTCCTACGACGGCTACATGCCCGTCGTGTGCTGCCCCTACACGCGGACCCACGACCCGCCGCACCTGCCGCTGCGGCCCACCAGGCCCATCCTGGCCGGTCTGGGGCCGGACGGCGTGGCGCTCGTGGTGCCCGTCATGGAGGCCGCGCCGCCGCTCAACATCGGCGGCCTGCTGGGCCCGGTGCCGCCGTCGCACCCCTCGCACGCCAGCAGCCCGGACCAGCCCGACCGGCTGCAGCAGGAGGTGGGCGTGCTGGACCGCCTGCTGGGCATCATCGAGCTGAGCGACGGCTCGGCGCTGTTCGCCAGGCGGGGGCGCACGCGGCCCACGAGCACCTCCACGACGACGGCGCCCTCGCCGTGACCGCCCGGACGCCCCGCCTGGGCGTGAAGAAGCGATCTCAGCGCGGACTCTCGATTGAGTTGCGCCGATGGCCGGCCGCGTGCCGCCCGGCCCGAGATGCCGCCGCGGTGGCCGGCGGTGCCGCTGCTAGCCGCTGCCCCGCTGCCGCCGGTGGAGCGGCGTCATGGAAGCTTTCCCGGCGAGGCGAGCGCAGCGCGCGCAGCGAGTCCGGCTCCGGCAGAACTCCGCGCTGGAGTCTGCAGGCCTGCAGGGCTGCTTCGCGCTCGCCTTGCAGCGCCTGGCCGCGCCCGGCTGGCTCGGTCATTCCCCCTGGACCGCCCTGGACGGGGACTGCCGATGGCCACTGGCCGCAAAGCGCGTCCCTCGCTGCAGGCGGCCGACTGCACTCCGCACGCGCTGCTGGCGTCCTGGAACCGCCTGGAACCGCCTGGAACCCTGCGGACGATACTGGAGTCGGTGGCCGCGGGGCTGGACTGCACTCCCCGCTGCTACTTGGCCGCCTCCCAAAAGGACTGCCGGCCACGGCGGCGTGGCCTGACCGGCCTGACCCTCATGCTATGTATCCCTCGGGCGGTGATAAGCCCTTTAATTTATTTGCTGTACGAATTACAGTGTTACCATACCTGCTGTGTTGCTCCTCGCCTTCGCCCCTCACGAGTCCACCAAATGTCTCACCAGCTCCATGCAGTGTGACGCGGGCGGGCGCGCGGAGACCGCCGCCACCTTTTAGAGTCTAGAATTTGCACAAACACACACACCGCCTCCCGCTGCGCAGGCTGCGCCCATGCGCACACACATGTGCTGCGCGTTCCGGTCAAGACGGTTTGCGCCTTTGTGAGGCTTTGGCGCGTCTCGAGAGTCTCGAGGGGCCGGAGACCGGAACCAGATATTTCTTCTGGTCAGGCCGGAGCACCCCCTATCTATTCCCTTGGGTGCGAAAAATTACAAGTGGCATGCTCCTTTACTTGAGGTTAGCAGCACTTGAGTCATATCGCCAGGTCTCCTTCAAGAGGGTCCACCCATCCAACCGTTTCGTGTAAAAATGTCTATCTCGTTGTTCCCGGGGACAGACGTCCTACCATCTTGAATCCTGACGGATTTCCTAAAGTTTCATCATCCGGGACGGTTAGCTAACGGAGGTAAATTCTCAAAGCAACACTTTTCGAGTGCATAACCAACGATTACAAAATGCTAGCCATGGGCTTGCACATGCCAAGCATGTCTCATATGATCAAAATTCGAAAAATTCGTGAGATTTGGGCAGCTGCTCTCTTCTACGGCAACTCTTGCTCAAGACCTTCAGCGCCTGTGAGGTAGGCCTCCGACCCGTCGCGCGACACACCGCCGTGGAGACGGTGGCCTACCTTGCCCGGCGGCCATGTGTGGTCTAGCCCTTAATGGCAAAGGTAATGGCATGGTGGGCCATCGTCTGCGCGCCGGCGTGTTGCAGGCCGGGCCCGTGGCCTACCTCACAGGCGCTAAAGGAGGCAAATGATGACAAAAGCAAGTTTCCGATCGTGAACGGCCGTCAAATATCCTTGTCTGCTGTCAGTTGTATAACTGTTTTTCTTTGCTCCCCCACTCTAAACGAGCCAGTCACCGATAAGGTCGCGCACACACACACACTCACACACACGACCATAATCGCACAGACTAACTCGTCCCGTTATCTACCTTAATCTCCAAACGCCGGCAAAGGTAAGTGCGATGTACAAGACAGAAGACGGCCCACTTTGCAACCGAAACGAAATTTGACATCATAGCTAAAAACACCAAACTAAAAGCCCAGGAGGGAAGTTTTCCAGCTCCACCGATTACAGAAACGCTGATGCGTCTTGCAGCGTCATGCCCACATTTTTGCGGTGTCATGCGACGACCATGACTCGGTATGTTTTCCGCGATTCTCTTTTCTTTTCTTTCTAAAAAGAGAAGTTTTGCGTGCTGCGTATTTTGTGAGGTATCATGGTGATGGTGCCGAAAACTGCACCCACTTATCAGTGACCGTTGTCCTTTTTTGTTTTGAGGCTTTCCTCCTGGAATATGCCTTCCAGTGCATCGTCACGCGGCGTCACGTGGTGGGGCGGCCCGCGGATCGAGATGGATTCCGACAGTGTGTCGTCGCTCTGCCTGGCTCTGCCTCCCTCGCACCCGACGACGCACGGCAGGCGGGTGCGAGGGAGACAGGGCTTCGCTGCGGAATGATTCCACAGTGCAGCGGTAGCGGTTTAGACGAGCAGTGCACCGCGCGGGACAGAGCGGGTCCGCTGGTTGCGCGCTCCTCAAACAGCCTAGCCGCCCACGGCACTTATATCAGCGGCCACTCCCAACGCTCCGAGCTCGCCTCCGCCCGCCCAGCCCGCATATAGTAGCCCAGCATCGCCAGCAGACGGCAGCCAGTCGAGCGCGAGGAGCCGCAGCAGTTGGTTGTAGTGGGGACCCGGCTGACTAAGGTCGTTTGTTTACATCGCGCGGGAGGGGTCCAGTCGGCGGCTAGTCCGCGCTCGGCCGCACTGCGCGCTGCGCCCAGTTCGCGTGTCCTGGTCGACGTGACAACGTGACTCCCAGCGCCATGGCGGTGCTCCTCGTCGCGGTGCTGCTCATCGCGGGGCTCGTCCTGCTTAAGCACTTCCTCGCCCAGCGGAGGCTCAAGAACTTCCCGCCGGGTAAGCAGAGCGTTTTCGTCGCGCTGTCTCTCTCGCTCTCAGGGGGCGTCCCGTGCAGGTGCGAGAGAGACAGGGCGACTCGCTGCATGCAGTCTATAGCGAGAACGGAAAAGTTGACCACATGACTTCGAAACGAGACATTTGTGTCAATTGTGTCCGTTAGGATATCACTCACGTCGCTCGCTCGTGTCCTTTTCAAAGTGACGTTTACGTAACCGCATTGTTCTGCGGGAAGTCTTAGTTTGCGGTAGATAACGGGGCGTGCGTATCTTCTTATCGGACGCTACTGGACAGCGCGGGTTCAAAATAAAAGTCCCACACAAAGTTTGTTGATTACCCAACCAGCGCGCCTTTTAAGCGTGAACATTGCCAACATTGAACCTGGAACCGCCATGAAATGCGACGAACCACTTCACTGTTCATGAAGAATGACCCCATCTTGTTTGCGTTTGGCTTGCAGGCCCACCCCGGCTGCCGCTGCTGGGGTCGCTGCCCTTCATCCCCGGTTCCCTGATCCACCTGCACGCCGAGGAGCACTGGCGGCGCCGCTACGGCCCGGTGGTGGGGCTCACGACGGGGTCCTCGCAGACCCTGATCGTGGTGTGCGGCGCGGAGGAGGTGCTGTCCATCCTCAACCAGGAGCACAGCCAGATGCGGCCGGCGGGCACGGTCAAGCTGCGCTCCTTCGGCAAGAGCCTAGGTAGGCCTGGCTTTGCAGCTCCACACCTCCGCACTCGGCGTTGGCCTTGGCCTTGGAAGCTTAAAGTGTTGCCGGTACAGTGTGGCGACCAGCCGAATGGGCTACGACTATTTTTGCCACTCCCAACAACAAAAACACAGGCGACTGTCTGTCCCAGACGTTATAATAAGTGTCAAAATGACTCGTTTTACGTGGAAATTTTGACCGTAGTCCCAATGACGAGGTTGTGAGTTTTCCGTGTCTGTTGGCCTTCTGCAACGTCATGGCGCCTGCCGCTGCCGGGAGGCGTTCCTACACTGGGCCGCGACCGGAGGCAGTGGCGGATCCAGACAGAGGCTCAAGGGGCAAAGTGACACTTTTGGCCCACCTTCCAGGCTGCCAGGCTACCCTTGCTGCACGCACTGCATTGTTCCCAGGGCTCATGTTCAGTGACGGCGCCTACTGGACGGAGCAGCGCCGGTTCACGCTCCGCGAGCTGCGCGACCTCGGCCTGGGGAAGAGCAAGCTGGGCGACGTGATCCTGGACGAGGCGGAGGCCACGCTGGACGCCATGGAGAGGGACGGGCCGGCGGTGGAGGTGAGTCGAAGCCACCGTCCGAAAGAATGTAGTCGCCCAGTGGGCCAGCGACCGGTGGAGGCGGACAAAATTCTAGACGCGTTTTGATCTCCAGAGGCGCTAACCAGGACTCGAGCTGAACTGTGACCCCACCAATGGATTGCCCTCCGAACGAGGAATCCATTGGTGGGGTCACTGGTTTTGTTCGAGTCCCACTAAGTGACTCTGGGGAGCTCAAAACGCGTCTAGAATTTTGGCCGCCTCCACCGGTCTTCTGGTCCACTGTGAGTCCTGCTGCTGCATCGCCGCTAATGCTCCCTGCGCGTGCAGCCCAACAAGCTCTTCAACGCGCCGGTGCTCAACGTGCTGTGGTACATGGTGTCCGGGCGGCCGTTCGCGCGCCCCACCGCCGAGGGGCTGGACCCCAAGAGCCAGCGCCTGCTCCACATCATGAACAAGGCCATGCGCAACAAGCGGCTCGCCACGGCGCCCTGCGACATCTGGCCCGTGCTGCGCTACATCGCGCCCGAGTGGTCCGGCTACAACGAGATCTACCCGCCCATCTTCGAGGTGCAGGCCTTCCTCCGGGTAGGTGCAGGCGTTTCCCCGCGATGTGCTCTGACTAACATTCTCATCTTTTTAATTTTGTAATTCTTTTTATTTTTTTTCGCAGGACGAGATTAAGCAGCAGCGAAGTGACGACGTGCACAGCTCGTTCATGTCTAAATACTGCCAGGAGATCGACAAAGCGCAGCCTGGCTCCAGTTTCACAGGTACGCGACACGACGCGACACGATATACGCGTTTCGAATAACACGACTTGCTTCTCTGAGCCGAAGTCTGACTTGGCTGTCGCAGAGGAGAGCCTCATCACCACGTGCCTGGACCTCTTCATGGCGGGCGGCGAGTCGACGGCCAACACGCTAAGCTTCTGCCTCATGTACATGGCCATGTACCCCGACAAGCAGGCTAAGGTGCACGCCGAGCTGGACGCGGCGGGCCGCGAGCCCGGCGACATCGTGCCCCTCTCGGACAAGGCCAGGTAGGCTGAGCCGGCAGAGGTGGCAGCGGCTGCCCCCGCCAAGAGCATTTCCCGATCGCCCCTTTCCTGCTGCAGGTTGCCCTACCTCGAGGCCACGCTGGCCGAGGTGATGCGCGTCAACACGATCGCCCCGCTGGCCATACCGCACAGGAACTCCGAGGACGTGGAGATGAACGGGTACACCATCCCCAAGGACTCCATGATCCTCATCAGCTTATGGAGCGTCCTCAACGACCAGAAGCACTGGGGCGACCCCGAAGTGTTCCGCCCCGAGCGCTTCATCGACGCCAGCGGCAAGTACGTCAAGGACCCCTGGATGATACAGTTCGGCCAAGGTGAGCGCACAAACAGTGTACAACCACGCACGTCTATTTTAAACTTCTGACACTGTAAACCACTGTTTTTCATTTTCCAGGCAAGAGGGTGTGCATCGGCGAGGCCTTCGCCATGCAAGTGGCCTTCTCGTTCTTCGCGAACCTCATGAACCGCTTCAAGTACTCGCTGCCCGCCGGGGCGGAGCGGCCGTCCACCATCCCGGTGGCGGGCTTCACCGTCTGCCCGCAGGACTTCACGGTCATCGCCACCCGAAGGAAATAAGGAAGACCCTCTCAACCGTTTTTGTAAAATTTGTATCAAACCAGCCGTATAAAGATACTCGATTTCCTCTGTTGCGCGAGGTGACAGTCACGTTTTTAAACATTAAAAACATGAGGTATTTTTTTACAGACTTGTTTTGTGTTGTGCTTCTAATCACCCCTACCTCGCCCCTCCCCATTTGCTGCCACTGGCAAGCATGCTGGCAAGCCCCAGGGCGGGCGCCGACGCGGGCATCGCGCCCGTCGCGGGCAGAGACAGCGCGAGGGAGCTGACGGCCGCGTCGTCGGTCTCGGCCTTGGAGGCCTTGGCGGCCCTGGCCTCGGTCTTCGGCGGCCAAGGCCGTGTCCGCGGCCAGTTGCGGGGCCGGGGGGCCGTGGCGCTGGCCACGCGGCCGAGGCCCCCGAGCCCCCCGAGGCTGCGGCAGTGGCGCTCCCGCAGGCGGGCCGTGAGCTGCGCTATCTGCACGGCCGTCTTGACGGCGGGCCTGATGGCCTGCATGGTGCTGCTGATCTTGAGGGCGCGGCTGCTGAGCTGCAAAGCGGGGCCGCATTCTCGTGACTGACTCCGGACGGCGTCACGGCGTCGCTGCACAAGGGTGGTCTCACCTTTTCCTGGGGCGTCTCGCCGGCCAGAGCGGGGGTCCTGCAGGACGCGGTGCACGGCGTGCTGGCGGCCAGGGCGCAGGTTTGCAGCAGGCTTCGCTGCTTCCCCTTCTCCCTCACGCTCCTCCCGGACGCCTTCCTGACCGCGCCGGTGGACGCGTTGGAGCGCTGCAAAAATAAAATTAAAACCCTCTACCGGGTGGACTTTGATTGGGACTTCCCCCGGAAGAAAGGCCACGCAGCGCAGCGCACCGTCGTGGCCCCCGGTCTGTGCGTGCGCGTGCGCTTCGAGTGCAGGCTGGCCGACGTGGACCTCGGCGTGGCGGCGCCGGCTTTGGACGGCCCCGAGTCCCGGGCCGCGGCGTGCTTTCTGCCACTCAGGCTGCCGCTGCCCGAGCGAGGGTGCTGGGACTGCTGGGACGCTCTCGGCAGCGCGAGGCCCGGCCTGGCACCTGGAGCAACTGGCACCGACGGGGTGGACAGCGGCCAAGGGGGCATCAGGGCTGCCGCGCGCGAGCTCGGACCCATCCGGGCCGTCGCGTAGGCCGTCGCGGTGGGCACCAGCGGAGGCTCCGGGGCGCTGGAGGACGCGCTGGCCGGAGCTCCGAACAGCGCACTCAGGTCCGTGCGCTGCGAAACACAGTGCAACGTTGGTTGCAACCCGCTTGCAGACCGCCCCGCCCCGCCCCGCCTCGGTCGGGGCTTCCGAGACTATCGAGACCCACCGCCCTGCTCGCCGCCGCGCTGCGGGTCGTGGCCGAGGCCGTGACGGAGCTGGCGACGCGGGCCGCGGACGCCGCCTCGCGGCCGTCGATCTGCAGGATGCTGGCGATGGCCTCCGTGAGGCTGGCCGCGCTGGCCGCGCTGGAGGGCCGCCGGTCCGTCAGCATGGCCGCCGAGGACTGGCGGTACTCCAGGTTGGACAGCGGGAGCGGCTCCTGCGCGGGGTGCAACCGGAGCTACTCGGGCGACTCGTCACAGGCTTGTGCGTTTACGTACGGGCTGCAAACAATATGACAAGCACCTGTCTGGATGACGCCTCCCTGGCGGCAGTCTTGACGGAGTCGAGGGCCGCGGCGCAGTACGCCGACATCGGAATGCGGTCCACGGCGGGCCGCAGGAGCGTGGCCACGTCCGCGGGGTCGTACAGGGTCTCCATCTGTGACGCGACGAGTTCAGCAGGGCCTTCTGACGGCGTCCCTGGCGACGTCCTGCACGGTCTCGGCCTCTCGGCCAACGTGTACCTGGGTGGCACGGATCGTGTTCTGCAGGCTGGTGGTCGCGCCGCGCTCTGGGACGTAGCCGAAGGGCGGGCGCGCCGCGCTGCTTGAGCGGCTCAGCCTCGTCCTGGACGTCCTCGACAAGGCCCTGGTCCTCGCGTCGCGGTCCCGGTCGCGCGGGATGCGTGGGTAGGGGCAAGGGGTGAGGTCCCGGCGGCCCGGCGGCAGCCCCGCGCCGTGACCCGGCCGCTGCTTGCTGTGAAGCAGGCCGTCGAGAACCCTTCAAGCCCCGCTATTGCTCTGTCCCGCTCCATTCAGAACCCACCTTTTGCCACCCGGCCCGGTGATGTGATCAGTGACGGGGTGGGTGCGAATGCCCCTGGGGTATGACTCCTCGTCACGGTCCATGGAAGGACTCCTGGAGCGCTCGATGGACCTGTCGCTGCTGCCGCCGCCACCGCCGCCGCCACCACCAGGCCGCCCCCGCTCGTGCCCCTTCTGGGGGCCGCGGTCCCGCCCCCGCGCCAGTGCCACGGGCAGTGCCAGCGTCTGGGTCTGCAGGGCGTCGCCGTCCCGCCGCGGCCTGGAGGCGGCCGGCCCGGCGGCGCGCACGGGGCGAGCTCTGTACTCGCTGACGGGGACCTTGTTGGCGACGCCAGTCGGCGCGGTCGGCACCGCGGGCTGCTGCGGTAGCGTGGCGGGGCCGCGCTTGTTCAGCTTGTGGCGGATGGTGGACAGGCGGCTCACGAAGCGACCCGCTCTCGGCCGCAGCGACCCCGTCACTGTCGCCGAGGTCGCCGCCGTGGCCCCGAAATGCGACTGCGTGGACTCTGACGGCCGCGGGTCGGGTTCGGCGCCTCCCGTCGTGCGGATAAGCTGGCTTTCGACGGCGGGGTCAGGTCTGCGGAAGGCTGGGGTTAGGACGTCGCGGACGTCGAGCGCGCCAGACAGTTTGGCGGGGCTTGATCACCTCGAACAGAATATGGCGTTGAGTCTGGAGTCTACTTCTTGCAGCAGGGCGATGGCGCGCTCGCGGGCCGACATGTTCTTCAACCCTTCGCCGAGGCCCTCGCCGTGCTCCGTGCCTGGAAGGTACCTCTCTCGCTTACTGTTCATACGGTGGCATAATGCCGAGGTGGTCCGAGCTTGCCTGCCGGGCCGTTGGAGCGGTCCGACGTCTGCACGGACACCGAGGAGCGCGCGTTGGTGGTGGTGAAGCGCGGCGGAACGAGGAAGCCCTCCTGGGGCGGCCGGTCGTCCAGGACGCGAGCTGCCACGGGCTTGCTGTCCGACCAACGCCGACTCAGCGGCCCAGATTGGTGTCGCAGCACGTGTTCGGCAGGCTCCACCGACTCCTAAACGAACCAGCGCGCATCAATTTCTTCTGAATGAGATCGAATGAATGGTATGAAACACCTCAAGAATGACAGCATGAATGAATGAGAGCATGAGCGAAGCAATGGCGGTTCCGCTCCCTGACCTCTGCCCGCTCTGCCTGCACGGAAGGCCTGGAGTCCCCCTTCAAGGCGATGAGAGAGGCGCACGCCTCGTCCAGCAACAGATCATCGACGTCGTCGTCGTCGTCCTCCCCGTCCAGGCCGCATGAGCTGCTCAGGCAGAAGATCTCGTTGCCGATGTCCTCGTACTCGGACTGAGTCGGACAAGCGGAGTCCGAGCCGACCAGCTCGAGCGTGGAGCCCTTCTCCAGGAAGGCGTCGTCCGCCTGCTGGCATCCCTCTGGGGCCTCCTGCGGCCCTGGGCGCGCGAGGGTGGGCCTTGTTGTTGGGCTCCGCGGCGAGGGGGGCCTCGCCGCCCCCGCTGCCAAGGCGGGTTGCTCTTCCGCCCCTCGCGGCCCCTCCCCTTCATCGGCGTCCCTACAGTCTACCGCCGCCGTTGCAGACGACGTCGTCGTGTCGGACTCCACGCTGCCGCCCGAGGGCGTGGTGGCCACTGCTGTGGTCCGCGTCTCGGCCGCCACCCTCGTCGCCGCCCCCACAGCCAGCCCCGCGGCCGCCCCCACAGCCAGCCCCGCTGCCGCCCCCGAGGCCGTGCCCGCCGCCCAGCCCGCTGCAGCCCCTGCTGCCCAGCCCGCAGCCACGGCGGCCCCGGCAGCCCCGGCAGCCCCGGCACTGGCCGCAGAGGCGGGCCCTGCGTTCAAGTCACTGCCGAGGCCATCCCCTTTCTTGAGGGTGTCAGCCTCGGCCTCGGCCTCGGCCTCCGACGGTGTGCCTGACGGGGCGGGAGTCTCCGCCTGCACGTCGCTCTTTTCGCTGGATTCCAGTGGGGCGGCGGCGGCCGTGCTCGTGGTCGCCAACATGCACGAGGACAGGTCCAGGATGCGGCTCGGGGAGCGCGACCCTGGCGTGGCCGTGAGGGGCAGGCGGCCGATGTGAACCCGGCCGTCCGCGCTGCCCCCGCTGCCTCCACTGCCGCCGCTGCCGCCACTGCTCACGCTGCCCCGCCGCCTCCAGTCGGCCTCCAGGAGACACACGGGGGAACTGCGTTGTGCAGAACGAAAAGACACCTTTTGAAATCAGAGAACCCGTGGTAAAGGTTGAGAGACAACGATACAACACCGATTCCGAACAGAATTCTCTCGACCTGTCTCTCTCGCACTCACCTCATTCCTTCGACTGCCGTGGAACCTCGCGGGCCCGCCTCCCCGTCGTCGATGCCCCTGGCCGTCGAGCCCAGCAGCTCCTCGTCAGACGAGTCCTGTGCCTGCCAGCGGCACGCGACCCTCCCGTGCAGCCTGCAGTCAGCAGACTCATTCCGAGAGTCCCTTTCGTGGCTCTGTCTCTCTGGCACCCGTGCGGGACGCCTCATGAGTGCGAGGGGTGAAACCGACTCTCGGAATCAATCAACAAGCACGGTGTGGCCATCGAGTACCTACTTGGTGTAGCTGGCCGTGGACACGACGGGGGCGTTGCTGGAGGCGCCGTCGGCATCGCTCTCCACGTCCTTGGTGCGGACGTGGATGCGTTCGAACTTGAGGCTGGTCTCGGAGTGGCGTCTCGAGCCCCCCACGCCCCCCACGGGGCCCACGCCCAGGCCGGTCAGGCACAGCGCGCTCGCCTATTGCAGCGCCGAGTTTCAATTCCCCACCAATAAACCCCATTCAGATTCACGTTCACATTCACGCCCCTCACGTTGGAGCTGGTGTCGCCGTCGCCGTCCGGCGGCGTCCCCGCGACCCTGGCGACGTCCCTGTCCGTGCCGCCCAGACACATGGCGCCGCGCTCGGCGTCCACGCTGTCCAGGCGCGACCGGCTGTCCGCGTCGCTGTCCAGCGAGGACAGTGCCTCTATCTCCTGGTACAGCACGGCGCTCTCCGCGAACCGCACGGCCACGGGGCGGTGCCTGCGCAGGGGTCTCTCTGGGTTTCTCCCTCCAGGACCGTCCAGGCCAAAACACATCCTTCGCGCTGCGCGCTGCGCCTATCGCCCGCACGGAACGATCCTGCGCAATGAGACGGCTGCCCGACCTGGACACCTCCTCGACCGGTTCGGTGGACGTGGCCCTGTGGATCAGGATGGACTTGGTGTGGCGGACGTCGCGGACGGCGGCCGGCGTCGCGGCGCTCGGCGGGGCGTCCGGCCTGGGCGACGAGGAGCACGGTGTGCTCGCGGCGCCTCCCTCGCCTTCCTGGCGACACGAGGGCGGCCACTGATTGCAGAACCGGCGGTCGGCACCGCGATGGACAACTCCCTCAGTACCTGCGCGGCCAGCCCGTCGTCCTGCGGCGTCTCGTCAGAGTCCTGCCGCCAGTCCCGCCAGTCGCAGCGCATGTTCACCGCGGTGACGTGCTGGCTCTGCCCGAGGCCCAGCCCCACCTGGCGGCTCACCTGCGGAACCACGTTCAGAAATGGGATGGAAAAGCTGGACCATCAAAACATTGAAATTGCGCAGGATGATTGTCGCGCACTCGTCATTCGCGCGCGAAGCGCTTGGGACGCTCTGCTCTGCGCACTGAGCCAGACCAGTGACCACTCCTCTGACGCCCGAGTCAGTTGGGCAGCCTACCGACAAGGCGCCGGCACAGCCCGCCTAGCGCCCACCCCACTGCCACCGCGGCTGGTGTCTCGGGAACGCCCTAGCGCCCCACCTGTTCCAGGAGCTTGGGGCTCACGGCCTTCTTGTTGCTCAGCAGCAGCTTGTGGTACTGGTTCTTCTGCAGAGCGACCTGGCGCAGCAGCTCCTCGCGGCGCCTGGCGGAGTCCGCCTCGGACCCCGGAGCGGTGTCGCCGTCGTCGACGCCGTCCTCGGCAGCGACGCCCTTCGCGCTGCGGTCCACATCGGCTGCGTTCACCTGTGTCCGTTTCGCGGTGGAGAATTTTTCACAGCTCGCTAGAAAAGGGTGCTGGACGCGGCTAGAGCGCGGACCTTGGCGGCCTGGTCCTGGTGGTCCTGGGGCTGCGTCGCGGCCGGCGGCGGGGCGGCGGCCGGCGTGCTCTCGGCCTTCATGTCCGCGGCGGCGCTCGGGGTGGTGTCCGGAGCAGGGATGGCGACGGTGGCCGTGGACGGGAAGGACAGCGCCGGCGAGGCCAGAGCGCTCGCCCGCTCGGCCGCGGAGAGAACTGCTCCGGGGAGAAGGGAAATGACGACATGGCCCGGCCTGGCAGATGCCGGCTGGTGCGCGTCGTCCGGCCCGGCGGCCTACCTCGGCGCGCCGAGTTGCGGTCCGCCATGGCGACCAGCCTCTGCACGGCGACATCAGCGTTGCGGCGCGCCTTGCTGATGACCGCCCTCTTCTTGGCCCGCGGCTTGGCCGAGGAGGCCCGCGACGCGGACCGCGACGCGGCCTCGGACTGGGCGCTGCCGGAGCATGCGGGCGTGGCCGGGTGCTGCTTGGCCTGCTTGGCCTGCTTCACGCCCCTCTTGGGGCTGCGCGCGCTGCCTCCCCGTCGCCCCCGGCCACTCCGCGGCGCCGATCTCTTGGCCGCACTGGCCGCACCCACGGGACCATCTTTCGGTGTGCCTCCCTTCGCGGCCGAGGCCTCATGGGACGCGGGCCCGGCCGCCGGCTCCTGAGGGAAGACCACGCGCCACGAAGGACCGCGTCGAAGGAGTCTGGTTTTAATGTTTTCGGTTTGGCAGTTGGCAGCTAGGCGGCGGGCCGGCGGGGTGGGTACCTTCGTGTCTTTCGGGCGTGAGCGCGGCGAGCGCGGCAGGGACTTCCCCCGTGCCCTGCGCGGCGCGGTCGCGGCGGTGGCAGCACTGCGGGGCCTCGTGGGCCTCGTGCATCGTGTCTTGCTCTTGTCTTTGCCCTGCGAGGCGCTGCGCCCCGCGGCCTCTACGCCAACGGCCTCGGCAAGCCGGCCGCGGACCGGCCTTCGCGACCTGGTCGCCGCGTCAGCCGCGTCAGCCGCCCCAGCCGCGTCAGCCAGCGCGGAACCGCGGCGGGAGCGAACCCCAACAAACGCACCCCCAATGCAGCCAACAGAGGAGCCACCAGCCCCAGCGCTGCAAGCGCACCCAGCGCACCGTGATTTCATGGTGATTGATTTTTAAAGAAATCGTCAATCCTTGCGGCAGCGGCAAACACATGGGCAGTTTAAAGAAAACAGACTGTGACTTTGATAAAAAAAATATTTTATTTACATTCTAGACAAATATCACAAACACGAATCGCATCGATTTGATGTCGGATAGTTTTCCCGCCAGATCACAAGTGATGTTTTGGTGCCTTTGTACTGGCACAGTCCATGTTCCCGGACTAAGGGGAACGCTTGAGAACCACAGAAGAGTACTTCCTGAGTCTTTATGGGTTGCTGGGCCCTACCATATTACTTATAAATTATATTACGGGACAATAGCATGCTCGTGCAGAGGGTTCTCGCCTTTCGCAAGCTGGAAAGTCGCAAAACTCGCGAAGGAAGTTGCCTGCACAGTTTTAGCCCGATGAGATTCCTTTTACATAGATCCATTCAAATTCTAAGCGGTGGTGGCCGCTCTCCTCGAGCCCCTTGGTACATCGAGTCGTCACAGTATCACAAGAAGTAAGTGCAGCATAGCATTTTTAACAAAATAATAGTCTCCGCGGCAAATATCAGTCGAACGCTAACACATCACACGCGCGCCCGCACACACACACACACACACACACGCACACACATACGCTCACTCACGCACACGCACGCACACACATACGACAACAACTACAAACACAATGGATAGCAGTCTGGTTGTAGCAGCAAAGTGGACTCAGGGCACCAGGGGGCCCCAGAACATCTTGCTGGGCCTCCTGGCGTCCTCCGTGACGAAGAAGTCCCTGCCCAGCTTGACGAACTCCTTGCAGCTCAGGCGGCCGTCTGTGTTGACGTCGATGACGTTGAACGCGTTGGTGGCGTCCTGCAACAAGGGGTGCGGCAGGCTCAGTACACTCTGAAGCGAAAGTGCGAGTACCGAGGCTAGAGATCCGCCTTGAAATGGAATTTACCTGTTCTGTGAGGCCGAGACACTTGAAGAAGATTTTGAATTCCTCCACCGAGATCTCGCCGCTCTTGTCCTTGTCCACGGCCTTGAACAGGAAGGGCAAGAAGCGGTGGGCCTTCTTCTTGAGGGACTTGTCGTTCATCATGTGCTGCATCTCGGTGAGGTACTGCTCCGTCGTCACCAGGTTGTAGGGGTCCAGGCTGCCCCACTGCTCCTCCCACATCTCCTGCAAACGGCAAAAGTGAACGGGACGAGTTAGACAAGGTGCGCTGCGCCCGACACGAAGGCAGCCCGGCCAGCAGACCGATTCCGAGCGTCGTTTTCACCGCTTCGTCTCTCTCGCACCTGTACGGAACCCCCCATGAGTGCCCATGAGTGAGAGAGAGACAAAGCGCCTCGCGGAATCAGTCTGCTGCACCGCATGCAGAGACCGAGGGAGACTCGCCTTGATGGACTTGTGGAAGTCCTGGGTGTCCTGCGGCGTGAGGTGGCCCAGGTCCACGAAGCGGTCGGCGAGCAGCTTGTAGTCGTCGTACGAGATGACGCCATCCTTGTTGAGGTCCAGCAGGCCGTGCAGGGTGCGCATCTTGCGGCGCCAGAACTCGCTCTCTCCCTGGAACAGCAGAGCGGCGGTCAGAACGGCTTGCAGTCAGGACAGGTGCGGATCCAGTGGGGGACAAAGCGGTGTCAGATTGATTAAGCGACTCGGGGAATGACGGACACTCACGCGTTGTCTCTTGGGCCCCTCGTCGTCCGAGTCCGAGTCCGAGTCCGACTCGTTGTCCACCTTGGCGCGGCCCTGCTCCGGGATGCCCTTGCTGTAGAGGCGCACGGCGGCGCCGGCGAAGGGCTGCGGCAGGGCCTCGGCGGGGCACAGCAGGAGGGGCTGCAACAGGGAAAGGTCCTCGTCAGCGCGGTCGAAGGTGGAGCCAGGGCTCTGGAAGGACACGGCGGCGGCCGGCTTACAGTGCCGCTCACGACGGCCGGCTGCGTCGCGGCTCGCGGCCTTGGCGGCGAGAAAGAGGACGCGCTCCACGGACAAAGGCGCAAGGCACCGACGAAAAAGCGAAAAGGACTTGGCATGATGGCGGCCAGCTGCTTGACCTTGAACTCGTTCATCGGACGCGGCGACGCGGCGTGTTCCAATCCGAATCATGTTGGCAACGTGGCTGGTGACGGTGGCCGCCGCGATCGCGCGCGTGTTGGTGTGTGTGTGTGTGTGTGAGTGAGTGTGAGTGCGCGCGCGCGTTCCCCCATTGTACGCACACCGCCATGAGGGGCGAGGCCTGGCTGCGGCTGGTTTGGCGGCCCGCTGAATTTGGCCAACGCACCGCAGGACACCACGCCCAGCGGCACGGCGACGACAGCTAAATATTCAACGACAACGACACCTCCAAGCAAGCCGAGGCAAACCCATAGAGGAGTGTGTCCTGTTCACAAGCCGCTAGCGTACGCACATCCACATCCGCTCCTCTCTCGCCTCGTGCCGAGTTTTTATTTTCCACCGTATGAATACAAATGGGACGGGGGAAACTTGTGATTTGGTGAGGGGCCACAGAGTAGTACAGTCGGAAGCAAAACGCCCATTGAAGTGTCATTTTCCCACCTGGCTGCGCCCCATCGGCGAGGCGCGGTTGGCTAGGTACCCGGGCCCGGGGCGTACCGCTGCGGGTACAGGGTCACTGCCCTGCCCCCTCCCCCTCCCCCAGCCACGGCCACGGGCATAACGCGTGGCCGCACGGCTCTGGAGCCATGCTGGAGCGCTCCGAGAGACGGATATTTGACGACGAGCTTACTCTCTACTTTTGTTATTGTCCGCAACGGAGCGGAAGATAAGACCTGTGGGACGCCCCTCGAGGTGCCCTCCGATCGCGACGATTGGCGGTTACCCGCGAGTCCAACGGTCTCTGAGTTGCCGGTTATTTTCGGCCGCGGTCCAGCAGCAAGCCAATCAGTCATCGTGTCTCTGGAAAGGCGAACGGTGGAGGAGTCCGTGATGGCGTTCTCGTTCTCGTTCGCGTCCTAGCCGCCGTGCGTCAAGTTTTGCGCGCGGCGCGTCGCCGGCAAGTCCGTGGTGTCCAAGGCCGCGACAGCCACGGCGCACTGGCAATAACAACCAACAACAACAAGGACCTTGGTGCAGGTCAGGCTCGGTGCAGCATGCTCCTCGTCACGTAGGCCATGGTCCTCGCAGCCTGGGCGGGATGGAGGGGGGAGGGGGGCTGGACCTGGGCAGTCCTTGAAGGAGAGGCGGCTCCAGCAAAGGAGCGGGCAGCCCTGCGAGCACGTAGGCCGCGGCGACGTCGTCCTGGGGGGTCACGTAGACCCCGTGAGTGGGTGGGTGCCAAATCGTCTCAACAGTCAGACAAGAGCTCTCCGATAAGAAGGCTGTGAAGCACGTGGGAGTCCCGTTCCAGGACAGGAGCGAACGCTCTCACGCACGCCCTGCATTTTTACCGGCGAGCGGCTTGGCAACGCCGCCTTCCACTCAGCTGGGGCCCTGGAGGTCCTGGAGGTCCTGCAGCCGTCTGGAGCAGTATGCTGCCTGGAGCCAGGCGGCTGCTTCGATTACCGACGTCGAAATAGGTCGCGGAGTCGAAGTTCTATCTAAGTGGGCAACATCTTGGCTAACCTCGTTCTCATCGTCATCCAGGAGCCTTCACAGGGCGGTCGAGCGAAGCACGCGTCCAGCCTGGCGGAGCCATGCTACTCGTTATTCGAGGCCCACCAGTGCGTGGATTCGGTGCGCGAGGTAGCGTTGGGACGGTATCAAAAGCGAGCCGGCATCCGGTCGGCTCGTGTTTGTGTGTGTGTGTGGGTGTGTGGGGGGGGGGCATTTGGGGCCAACAGGCACCAGGACACTGGACAGCGCCACTAGAGGGCTCGTTCCCAAACTAGGTCACGGGCCGGTCAAAATCCGACCGCAGATCGCGTTTCACGAATGGGCCCTTCCCTTATCATTGGCGGGGTGAAATGTCAGGCGGATTCGGACGGCACAGCATGGCTGGGCCTGCAGTCCTGGGCCTCGGCCGGGTGGGACTCTAGGCCCGACTCGGCCGGCAAACCGGTTGGGGATTGCGGAACGTGGGGCGCGGCAGCGCGGCGGGGAGGACGGAGGAGGTCAACATCGGACTCTTTTCTCCCAGCGCCCCGAGGCCGTCGTGGGCGTCGAGCGAGTCGAGCGCCAGCAGCAGCCCCGCGCCGTCAGCCGCACAGGGGTGTCTTCGCTCGGTCTCTCTCGCTCATGGGCGCTACTGTCGCGAAGGGGCTGCACGCGCCACGCCACTGCCAACTAGGCCAGCTAGCAGCTCCAGCTCGAGATAGAGGCTGATTCCGAACAGTGCTTTCGCCGCTCAGTCGCTCAGCGTCCCACAGAGGTGCGAGTGAGACAGAGCGATGAGGTACCGTTTGGAGTCAGCCTCGGCCACGCTCTGCGGGTTGCGTCACAGCCCCAGGCCGGCCTAGGCCGCGGCACTGGAGAGTGAAAGTGCAGACGAGCAGCCCTAGAGGGCGTTGCGTACGTACCTGCGTCGTCGGCGCGCCGACGGCGGGGTCGCGGGTCGCGGCGGTCGTCACGGGCAGGCACACCCGGCGCACCGCGCCCTGCACCGCGCGGAGCCCCGTGCCGAAGCGCAGCACGGACAGGGCCATGTTGGCGGCGTCCCGGTCGTCACACTCCGTCACACTACGTCACACTGCTTCCACAGCGCGGATCGTCGGCAGGGTCTTCGCGGCACTAGAAGGCGCTGAGCACACTTGAACACACGCACACTCGAAGGCTTGCTCCTCACTCCTGCACTCCTCGACCACCTCCAGGAACAGGTGTGGCCTCTCGCGGGGCTAGTGTGATCACGTCCAAGTCGCGCACTACACTAAAGGCGCGGGGGCGCGGCCGGCCAGGGCTGCCGGGGCTGCCGGGCCAGGCCGACCGGGCGGCGCGGCCGCGGCCGCCACCAACCACTTGGTCTCCCACCAGGCCCCCCACCTACCCCACCCACGGCCCCGGAGTGCCCGCCGCGGCCCCCTGCCTTTCCCTGCCCGTCCCCTTCCCCGGGCCGACAGGCCGACGTCCCGGACGTCGACGCCGAGCCCTCGTGGGCCACGGCGCGGCTCGGCGGGGATCGGCGGGGCCGTCGAGGGGTCAGCAACACCAGCATCAACAAGACCGTCGTCGACGTGGTCATCGCCGACCGGCGCGTGACGCTGCCGGCGTCCGCCGCGTCCGCCGAGGCCGAGGTGTCCCGGTGACATAATGAGGCACTTCATTAGCTTGCCGCCGCGGCCTGGCTGCGCTCGGATGCAAATCAGGCGAGCACCGACTGTCTCGCGGACCTCGCGGTGGCCCTGCTTGTCGTCCTACGCGCCTTTCTCGGCGTCCAAACGCCCTCCCTCCTCTTCCCTTGCGTCCTTGACGGCGCCCTTGCCGCGGCTTTTCGGTCCGGTGCGCACACTGGAAGGAAGCTCCTCCCGTCTTCGCGGTCTTGGCGCTGCCCCTTGCTTGCCCCTTTCGTTCTGCCGTTCCTCCGCCGCTCTCGCTCTAGATCCATTTTTTTTTGCCAACGGGGTTATCGTCGGAGTCACAGCTAATCGGCTGTGCCACCATCGCCGTGGCAGTGCCGTGGCGCGGCGCACGTCTAGCACTGCCCGGCCGTATCACCCAAAATATTTCGCACAAACTCGCCTCTCTTTGACGCCGGTTTTCGATTTTTAACGATGTTTTCCGTTACTGCGTCTCCTAGCTTGAAAGTGCTTGAAAGGGGCGTGCGTGCGTGCCACTCCCACGTCCACGGCGTTATCCACCAGCTGATTCCCCTTCTCCTCTTCCCCCTCCGCCCAATCCTCCTCTCTTCTCTCTCTCCGGTTCATCGCCGCGCATGGGACGAGACGAGACGCACGACGCCCCCAACCAGCGGTCCAGCTGCACGTAGCGCAGCAGACGCTCACGTACACCGCAAACAACAACAACATCAGCAAACAGACAGCAAGACGACAACAACAACAAGGCATGTCCAGAGCGCAATGGGGGACGCCCTCCGGTCAGTGCGCGGCCGCGACACGCGGCGAAAGTAGACCGAACCGCTGCAGCGCTGCACCGCTGGGCCAGACTGGACCATGGCGGGGTTCGGCGAGTGGGGCTGTCGCTGCCTGTCGCCGTCGGGCGGTATGTCATCGCCAACTTGCGGCCTTGCTGCTCTCGAAAGGACACTGGACGTCCTCGTGGTCCGCCCGGCAAGTAGGCAACCCTTCTTGCTTGATCTTGCTCTCGTGTTGAAAGGGTCGCCTGCCTGACAGGCGCAGCAGCGCGGCCGCACAGGAGTTCATAGCGGGAAAAGCGCAATAACTTAGCTGATAAGCACGTATGTATGTTCTGGGAAGAATAAAAACCTTTCAAAAGCGCTCCATCTTTTCCCGCGTGCAGCTCTCTCCACTCCTACCAACTGCAGGGCGGTTTCGCGCACAGTTTAGCGAGTTTGATTTTCTAGTGGCCGTGCTTCTAGCTTCGAGCTGGCCGCGTGGCGTGCACTGGCATGCAGCAGTGTGGCTTTGCTCGCCGCCGTCACATCGGTCCACATCGGTCACGACGTCACGAACTGCTTGTTGCTTCGTTTCGAAAAGTTTCGCACAGGGTGCGCATGCGCGGGGCCCGCCACTTGCGGTTGGCTGCGTGCTGGTGCTGGCACTGCCACCACCACCACCTCCACCGTCAGCTGATCTGGTTCCGACGATGCGCCCGACTAGTCCGCGGCGTCGCTACCCCTCGAGATTATGACAGGTCGAGTGACATTGCCCAACTTTGTGTCGTGTTTTCGTTTTCGCTCCCTCTACCTCGGCCCGGGCTTGCAGGGCCTGCTGCCCGTCGCCAGACGAAGCTGGCGAAGCAGGTTCGCGACGATGCCCGGCCTGTTTACCAGTGACGGCGCCAGCGCGCCAGGTCCAGGTAAATCGCAGTGCTCGAGTCGGCGGCGGCGGTCCCGCCACCCGGGAACCCCTTTCGCGAGACCATGCTGTGCCCCACGCTCCGCGCCTCGCTGCAGTCTTATCTTGCTTCAAACTTGCCACTATAGTCGGGTGACATAACCTCCACCACCTCCACCGCAGCCGGCGCAGTTTCGCGGGTATGAAAAACTACGCGGGCAGTTCCCTCCTTTTTGAGGGAAGGCAGGGCGGGAATGTTGAACAGGTGGCCACAGTGACGAAATAGGTGTTGAGAGAGTTTCAGCTCCTCAGCCCTTCTTTTCCAATTTATTTTGCTTGTCGTGCCCTCATTGGCTTGACGATAAGGCCCCGGGGTCACTCCTCGTCGGAGGCCGCGCCCGGTGCCGGTGCGGTCGTCTAGTCGGTGGAGGGTCAGTCCTTGTTGACGGCGCGGCCGCAGACCACGCCGTCGTCGTCCATTGGCCCGGCCCCCGCGGTCCTTCCCCGCCGCGACGCACCATCATGGCGCGCATGCTGCTCCCGCTGCTCTCCTTGATCGCCGTCGTCCTGCTGCTTGCAGAGTCCGCCACCGACCCGACGCCAACGCCGCAGGATGCAGGCCCTGCGCGCCGCGACATCGTCGGCGAGGGCCGTGGCGACGTCAAGTTCCTCTACTTCGCGTACGGCAGCAACCTGCTGGCAAGGCGGCTGCACCTCATGAACCCCACGGCGCGGCGACACAGCATCGGCGAACTCAAGGTAGGCAGCCCAGCGCGCTCGGCGCTCTCAAGTGTGGCCTAGCGCCAGGCGCTGCTGCTGCCGCGCTCTATGCCGCGCGCCCCAGGCCAGACTCGCTCTTGAACTGCTCCTCTTCCCTTCTCGCAGGGCTACCGGCTGGACTTCAGCACGCCGGCGTCCAAGAGGTGGGGCGGGGCCCCCGCCACCGTGGTGCCCGACCCGGAGGACTCGGTGTGGGGCGCCATCTGGTCCCTGGACATCGAGGACCGCGACCACCTCGACGAGTGCGTCTCCCTCCCCGTCTCCGCGCCGGTGCCTGCGTCCCGGGGGAATGACCATCGTGTCTCGTTGCCTGTTGCAGGCAGGAGAGCGTGCACTCGGGGCTGTATGACGTGTTCAACGCCACGGTGCAGACCCCTGACGGCGAGGTGCTGCTCTGCCGCAGCTACCTGATGCGCGTCGTGCCGCCCAAGCTGCAGCCCGGCGAGGCGCGGCCGGCCCACCGGCAGCCCTCCCTCGTCTACAAGAAGGTCCTGACGGCGGGCGCGCGCGAGTCGGGGCTGCCCGCCGACTACACGGCGCGCCTCGAAGCCGTCGCCGACAACGGGTCCGCGGGCTCCAACCCGCCCATCTCGCTGGAGAGCCTCCAGAGCCCGCAGAGCTCCGAGGCCTCGGGCGTGACGCCGGCCCCGGCCCCGGCCGCGCGCTGAGCGCTGGGCACCGCGATGACCTCCGTGTTTGTGCAAAGCCGCGGCCTTGTTCGATCGGCCGGCGTTTTGATTGGCCCCTGAGTGACGGCCAGCCACGGCCAGCGGCCCCGCCCGATTGATTGCAGAACAGCCTCCTCTCCGGACGCAGACACGCGGACGGCCAGCAGGTTGACTCCGAGCACTGTTTTCGTCGCTGTCTCTCTCGCACCCTCACGGCACGCTCCGCGAGTGCGAGAGAGACAGGGCTACGAGAGCCGTGCTCGGAATCAGTCTGCAGGGCGGCCATCGCCGACCTCTCTAACTGCGACATGTGTGGCGCCGATGTTGTTTTCTACTTGGATTGATGATTGTATTGAGACGCGCTGATCGGTACATGAATTATAAACCTCGCATTGTTTCCCTACTTGTTGAAATTTGTTATTTTTCCGCCTGAGGCGGCGTGGGGCGACTGCACGTGCATGTCGTGGGCTGGAGCATCAGTTTGGCGTCGGCTCGGCTCGGGTACCAGCAAAGCCGAGCCTGCCAAGCACACGCAGTCTGCCCGCTTCCTCATTGTCATTGTCCTGGCCGTGAGGCTCGACGCGGGCGACGACGCCAATGACGCGGGCTGCGGCTAGTAGCTGCATTCCCTCATGCAAGCCTGCAGACTGACTGCGAGCCCTGCTTTCGTCGCTCCGTCTCTCTCGCACTCATGGGGCGTCGCCCAAGGGTGCGAGAGAGACGGAGTGACTAGCAGCGCTCGGAAGCTCGGTGTCAGCCCGCTGCAGTGCCTTTCAGCAGAGATTCCGGAGAGTCGCTTCACACTAGCTCGGCTGCTAGCTGAACTCGCTTCTTTGCGGCGACTAGGGAGGCCGGTTTAGTCTTAGTCGGGCACCGGCAATTGAGACGGCCCCCTTGTTTGGTCGCTCTGGTGCCACGAAAACGCCCTCCGACAAGCCGGCTGACGCTGATAAGCTCCAAGAATAGTGATAAGCCACACTTAAATGTGGTTAATTGTCTAAGTCCCCACTCCTCCTTTTCCCATACATCGTACATTGCACAAAATATCATGTCCTCAGCTTCGACCACCCCAAATGATGCTCAAGGAAGGTGGATGGCGCGCAGGGCGCAACGGGCAGTTCAGGTGGCCGGCCATGCCATGGCCAGGCCGGGGGGAATGCCAGCAGAGGGAATTTATCGAGACGAACGACCGGCTATCTCGTCACATGTCACTGGGCACGCCGCGGCACGCCATCAGTCTACTGTCGCTCGATTGGAGCCCTGGGTGACCAGGCCATCCGGGTACCGTGTAAACTGTCAGCTCCACTGTGGATCACTCAGCACTAACGCCAAAGGCGAAGTGCCTCCGCGCCCATCGCGATGGCCGAGCGCGGACTTCCCTCCGGGTGCCAGCTTAGCTTGGCTTAGCTTCGCCTCGGCTTTGGCTGAGACCAGCCGGACCAGCCGGCACGCCTCACGTGTTTGCTGTGTCTTATGACCGGGTTGACTTTCAGACTTTCCGCGGCCAGCAGCCCGCCAGACCGAGCGCCAGACGCACCGCGGTCCGGTCGGCCGACTCGCATGTCGCACGGTTGACAACAGAACAGACACTCAGGCGGGCGAGGCGCAAATCGCATCGCGCTAACCGGGGAAGTACTATATAAGTGGCGACGGCCTTCGCTTCGGCTCAGCCTGCCCGCTCAGCTTGCCAGGCGGTCCGCTCCCGCTCCCGCTCCGCAGCCGCAGTCCAGTCGCGCAACCGGCGCCGAGCAGTCGAACACCGCAGCAGCGTAACCGCAGGCCAGACCTCCCACACCCACCCACCGGTCCGCCCCTAGTCCGCCCCCTTCCTCCCCAAGATGGCAAACAGCAGCCCGGAAATCAAGTACACCAAGGTATCGCATTTTAAAGCGAGTCTCTATGTCACTACTATCATTCGAGTGTCTTACTATGTGGTGCAGGTTTTTCTTCGTTTCTGAAGACAAACATAACCTTATGTTCTATCCAGTTTTTGCGTTTCTCTGTGGCTTGTGTGTGTTTCACCACGTGACATGGTTTTTGGTTGTGTGTTTTGTATCTAGCTCTTCATCAACAATGAGTTTGTGGACAGTGCTAATGGAAAGACATTCCCCACAATCAACCCAGCCACAGAGAAGAAGATAGCAGACGTTGCCGAAGCTGGAAAGGCAAGTGGTTTTCCCTTTCACCATATGCAAGGAATATTAAGGAATAGACAAATTAACTATTTTTTATTTTATCAATTTCCAGGAAGATGTAGACAGAGCGGTTGCTGCTGCTCGTGCAGCTTTCAATCGGAAATCCGAGTGGCGAACAATGGATGCTTCTCGACGGGGAGATCTAATGGTGAAGGTATGTTTCCATCTCAAAATTATTTTGAAATATATTTTATGTAAGTAAAGTACAAGCTGTATACTGAAACTCTTTTCTAGCTGGCTGACTTGATGGAGACAAACAAGAACTACTTAGCCAATCTGGAATCCCTCGACAACGGCAAGCCTTTCAATGATTCCATCTTTGATATGGACTGCTCCATCAAGACCATTCGGTACTATGCTGGTTGGTGTGACAAGATACATGGCAACACCATCCCTGCTGGTGAGTCAGTTTGCTCGACCATTTTGTAGTTTCTGTGGATTACATAATCAAGTTGTTGATATGAGCATTCATTTTTAACCATCCTCTCCAGACGGTAATGTCTTGAGCATCACCCGTAAAGAGCCAGTCGGAGTTGTCTCTTCCATTATCCCATGGAACTACCCCATTCTCATGGCTACCTGGAAAATGGGCCCAGCCCTTGCAACTGGATGCACAATGATTCTAAAACCAGCCGAGCAAACACCTCTGTCTGCTCTTTACCTTGCCCAGCTGGTGAAAGAGGTATAGGCTTTGAGAATAATAATTTTTTTTGACAAGAATACTAAACCCAATAGCTATTATCTTTAAAAACCTTTTTCCGCTTGCAGGCTGGTTTTCCTCCTGGTGTATTCAATGTTGTCAATGGCTATGGGACAACTGGTGCTTTCTTGTCATCTCACATGGATGTGAACAAAGTGGCATTTACTGGATCAACTGAGGTAAATATACCTTCATACTTAAAATTCTGGAAATAATTTAATGCCGCCAAAAGCTGTTATATCTATGTTAATTTCCAGGTTGGCAGGCTCATCATGGAAGCTGCAGCACGTTCAAACCTGAAGAGAGTTACCCTTGAACTGGGAGGAAAGAGTCCACTGGTTGTCTTTGAGGACGCAGATGGTTTGTTATAATCATACCTCAAGAAATATCCATAGTTTCTATGATTGTGCTTTTTTTAATGTATAGTATTTCTTTTTTTTTTTAATTTCTAGTTGATGAGGCGGTGAACATTGCTCATAACGGCATTTTTGCCAACCACGGACAAAACTGTTGTGCAGCATCTCGTACCTTTGTGCATGAGAAAGTTTATGATGAATTTGTAAAGAAGGCTGCTGCTAAAGCTTCGGCACGGAAAGTCGGAGACCCTTTCACCGCTGGTACAGATCAGGGACCTCAGGTTGGTGATGATCATTCTCTTTAATTTGTTTAATCAAAGATCTTGTGAACCTTATTACAACTCCTTGTTTATTTTGTTTTAGGTTGACAAAGAAATGTTTGAAAAAGTTACTGGTCTTATTGAATCAGGCAAAAAGGAGGGTGCCAAAGTAGTGGCTGGTGGAGACCGTGTTGGAAAAGTTGGTTACTTTGTTCAGCCGACTGTGTTTGCTGATGTACAGGACAATATGAGAATCGCACGCGAGGAGGTATTCTAAACTGTTCAAATCACAAAACTCACTTGAACACATTTTCATGATTGAAAGTCCCCATTTCTTCTTTTCTGTAGATCTTTGGGCCAGTTCAGCAAATTCTCAAGTTCAGTTCTATGGAGGAAGTTATCGCACGTGCCAACAACACCACCTATGGACTTGCAGCTGGAATCATTACTACCGACATCAACAAAGCACTGAAGTTTGCTGAGTCTGTCCTTGCTGGATCTGTTTGGTAAGTAAAACTTAAGTGCTTTACTAATTCTAAATATTTTTTTTCCTATTTGCTCAACAAAATTTGTGGTTTCTTTTGCAGGGTGAACTGTTATGATTATGTGGTGCCCCAAGCACCTTTTGGTGGCTTCAAGCAATCTGGCATGGGAAGGGAACTGTAAGTTAGCCATCCATAATTACAAAGTTGATGGATTGAACAGATTACTATTTCTCAATTTTTTAAAATACTTTTATCGTTTTGCAGGGGAGAAGATTCTCTCAAGGAGTACCTAGAGACCAAGACTATCACCATTCAGCTGCCATCACCATAAAGTAACACTGAATACTCAAGTATACAGATCTGTTAAGTGTCTTTCATGAATTTAACTTGTTTTGTAACTGTTTAATGAACTATGTATGTAAAGGAAAAATTGTTTCATTATAAAAAAAGAGAAATACCAAAATTTGTCTGTTTGATTTATTTAACAATTGAAACAAAAAACAAATCAGAGCAATAAGTTCACAAATGTCACAAAGTAATTTAGTACTTAACATTAATCCTGATACAGGTACAAGTCATACTGTGAAATATCAATGGTTTTTGTTTTTTTAAAATAGAAGATATTACATTGATAAATAAGTTAGGACTTCAGAACAAAACAGTCAAGTAATGATCCTCTAAACAACATATAGAAATCATAAACACATCATCTCCCATCTTACTGCACACAGGAGTGTTCCTAGGATCACCATTTAATTGGAAATGTAATTTCTCTTACAAATTACTTTCACCACTTACATTAAATCTTGAAAGCAGTTAAGTCAAATGTACCTGCAAGTCAATAAAAGTATTGAGCCGTTTTGGGCTCAATTTGAAACCACCCTGGTTATGATTCTGACTTCCCTTTGCTTGGTCCACTAGCCATGGTTACACCTGCCTCCCCTGACTCCAACTGCTTCAGCAGGCGGAATAAAGCAGCAGCTTCTCTTATACGGCTGAACTCAATGCAGAATGCCTGAACTTCAATGAACAGTTCCTTGAGAAACAAAACACAAACATTTTTTGTCATTTTTAATTACTTTATATAAATTATAAATTTGCATCTTTCCAGAAAAAATTGACTTACCTGTACATTTATTATCTTATTTCGAATTAGTGACTGGAGGAATACACACACAAGCCGCACAAGGCGATTTTGCATGTAGCGATCCTTAATTGTTTCACAAGTGGATATACAATTTGATATATATAAATGGACAAATTCCGTAGGAAGTTCCACAGTGGTCGTCAACCTTATAACAAGAAAAACTGCAATAAGTTTCCCCCAGATAACATAAACTGGCACCAATAAATTCTAAACACAGAAGTGTCAATCTGGTGAAATATAAGAAAGAAGCACACAAACCTATTCACTACTTCCATAGAGTGAAGTGACATTTCCATGTTAACAAGGACACTGAAGTATTCTGTTATGTGAGTTGACTGCATTAACTTTAAAAGAACTTCTATGGCTATCAGTGGGTTGTTTTCTACCAAGTGAGGAAGCTAGATATTCGAAGAAAAGAAAAACACATTTTAAGTTATGAGGTATTGACAAGAATAAGAGCACATACGTACATACAATTTCAATTTATGTACCTTAATTGGTGTGAGACCAATATGATATACAAGTCTGGGATCAGCCTCCAATTCCCCCAGAAGATCTTGCTGTTGTTGTGTTGTTAAAGGGTTGTTGAATGCTTTAGCCATAAGCCTCTTTGCTTCAACACCAGAACTTTTGGACACGCACAGAGTGACGTCATATGCAGGCTTGTGCTTGTGTGGCTCAGACATGTTAAGCCAAGCCATCTTTGAAAAAGTATATTAAGAAATTAAACTGTGCCATTTTTACATTGAGTGCATCTTGGCTTGGGTACCACTAGTATTTTCGGAATAAATGCTTACCTCGTCTTCACACTTATGTAATGGAGGCACCAATCGTAAAGATTCTGGTTTATAGAACTGCTGCACAATCGGTTTTTCTCCAGTTAGTAAAGACTCTGCAGTTTTTCTTGGCACTGCAGGATCTGGAGGGGAACTGTAAATAGGTAAATAAATACTAAATATATGAATAAGGTTTAAATTTTAAATAGGAAAATCTATTATACAGTTTAAATTCAACTCATTTCAATTAATTAATTCATCACTTACAAAGAGTTTCTTTCACTATCAGGAAGAACTATTGGCACACCAGCTCTAGCAGTATGAGGTAGTTCAGATTGCCTCTCAGCAAGGGCAAGCTGCACTGATGTAATGTCCACATTATGGTATGAAGAGGGATCGCTCATCAAAACTTGGGTAGCAGTCTTTTTTAACAACTAAGCACAGAAAAAAATGAGATGTCTTTTGACAAAGAAACTCTACATGCACTGAAATTTGCGAAACAAAACATACCTCTCGGGATGTGCTAGTAACAAGCTGAGCAATAAAATTCTTCTCAACAGCTGAGATTCTGGGCATTTCTCCAGCATATTCTAATTTACGCATTGATGTTTTCCCCATCTCATCAGGTGGATGCTGTTAAAGTAAATAAGTCAACAACCTGGACCAACAGTAAAACCACAAGGTAAAAAAATCAAAGCTCACCAGGAGATGGACAAAAACTGTAGTAAATGGGTTCAGAGCCATTGGTTCTCCTTTGTACATGTCATAGAGTAGAACTATAGCAGCTAGGCGTTGAGCAGGTCTGGGAAGTAAATCTGGTTGTTGGAGAAGAAGCACAAGTGCACATCCCACTAAAAGAGAAGTGATAATTAATTTTGATGTTCTGTAAATAGCTGAAAGAAAGTAAAACGGAGTACCTGCATACCTTTGTAATGATCCTGTTTTCCATACCCAGCTTGATGAAGTTGTAGGGTGATACCTTCTAAAGTCAAACGTTCCACAGTTTCTTCACTCAGTATGCTAAAAAGACAATAATAACGAGTTAATGGAGTGTTTTAAGAAAAATTTCTTTGAGGGAAAAGCAAGAAAGAAGCTCGATACAAAGAATACGAAACACACTTGTGTAAGCAGAGTCTGACAGATTAAATAATAGAGTTCAAAGTATAACAAACAAACTACTTGTGAAGCACAGTTAAAGGGTAAACCAAAACATTGCATTACATGTTTTGTAACCTGTACTTCCTCAAATGTAAACATATTCCTATGAAAAGATGCAGTCGAGAAATAACTCACGTCAGGAGGGAATGCAATTCTTTGGTAGTCAAAGCCATGTTTCTCACTGAAATATTCTGAAGCCCACTCAGGGTTTAGAGTCTGACAGGCAAAACACTGCTTTCATCACAGACAAAAATTTCGCCAAGTTTCTTTCAGAGACTGGCTTAGGGGAAAGGGGTGGGGAGGGGGGTACCGAGACCGGGGACTCAATACGCAGGATCTCTGTGAATAGCTGCCGACACTATTTGCAGAGGATCAAAACAATAAACCACACCCCCCTTTTACGCGCCTTTTTTCAAAAATGATTTTTAGTGAAAAATGATGACTGTCTATTCACTTCCCCTACATTTCAAAGCAAATCAAAATATTTCAAGCCACTTCTGTGAGAGTGTGAACAAGCAACAGGCTCACGCGCATTGGCTGAGCTATGGACTGACTTGGAGATTGAGGTTAACTCCCACCTTCCTGCGCCTTGGCCAGCGTTGGCTATGGGCAATCAGACATTATTGCAGTTATCTTTCTTTACTAGTACTGTTTAATCTCTGGTAATGGTTACTTAAAACCGTGACTCCTGAACAACACTGTTCAGGCTCTTGTCAATGGAACTAACCGACGACAGAGGAGTTACAAGAGTTTAGGCCACACACCGAACATCAGCTTCAGACCAATGCAGCCTATAATGCCGACCAAGTTACAGCCTTGAACGGAGACTGACTGCACTGTTACTTTAGGACATATAGTATGTTCGCATCAATGCATTATGAATCATGTTACAAGAATGCTTGTGCAATGCATCAGTTAAGGTTTGGTCTGGGCCTTTTCTTCTTGATCTTATTTATCCACAAGTGTTTACTGTCACAGCATAATACTTGAAGTTCATGGACTCAGGCCTTGGGTTTCATATAGATTTGCGCATGCAGGTAGTTTGGTCAGACTATGTTGTGTTCAAAAAGCAAGACAACGACATGGGAATATGTTAAACACATTTATTACACAGAAATGTCAGATTCCAGACGTAAGACGAATTTCAACAGACTATACATACAAAATAAATTTGAGACATGAAATAGTTTGAACAAAAAGAATAGAAACTACATTATGAATAAGTAGATGATAAATTTTGAAGTGATCAGTATTTGGAAATAGCAGGAAACAACTAAAGAAACTCTAAAATGTACATAAACAAGTTGAGAGAGTAGGTTATACATAAACAAAACAAAAAAATAAAGTCTTCCTTCCCGCAACAAAACTCTTTGGAGATCGAAAGCTGCAAACAAGAGTTCTTAGGCTTTGCAGTATCAAAACCAGGTTAAGATGTTATTGGCTGATATAAAAATACCCTCTCAGGAATTAAAAAAAATAAACATAGCGTACCTTGTCTAATAGGACCCTTGAAGTCAAAAGAAAGACACTGAACATTAGAAATAAACATCCTGAATCAACGCATCTATTCAAGCTAGAGTTGGTACAAACTGCAGTTGGCTTGATCACAGGGACCGAAGTGTCACACAAACGAGCGCATAGATTTAAGAGGTAACAGAAATTTCAAGACTAATACTAAAATCAGGCACTATGCTGTGCCCACACACCCATCACATCACGATATCACAAATCAAACCTTCATACCAATACGTCGAATCATTGAGTCTGGCCGTAGGGCAATTCCAGCAAATGACTGTGAGCAAGTCAAAAGACACCTGCTGCAGATGTTACAAAAATTGCTGGACAAACCAATAGTTCAAAATGTTCATATCGGCGCACTGCTTACTTCTCCTCACACCACTCGTTCTCCTTTCGCACCTGCTCCTCCTCGCTCGGCGTGAAGTCGTTCTTGATGTTGAAGGTCTTGCGAATCTCTTCGGGAGTCTTGCCCTTGATCATGTTGGCGACAGTCTTGCAGGTCACGTCCAACAGGCCCTTGATGTCAAGGTAGTTGGCGGCCAAAATGAGCTCGAACAGGGTACCTTGGTCCACCTTGAGGAAGTCGGCGTCCCAGCTCGAGATGTCGTCCGTACGCTTCTCCTTGTTCTCGTCATCTTCGGGTGGAGGAGGGTCATCCTTGTGGTAGGTAGCCCACTGGATAACTTTCTTGAGAATCACGGAGTTGACGTTGGGCAAGGGGACCAGCTCCTCTTCATCCTCGTTCACGCCAAGATCTTCCAACATGGTCTTGATGGTGACCGAACATTTTGCGACATCCACGTCCACCTCGCAGATCTCTCCATCGGAACTCTGAAGCTTGATCTTCTGCATCTTGAGACTTGTTGCGACAAACAACTGGTCTAGAAGAACTTGAAATTTGGAGGATGATTCTCCACGATGGGCCTAAAGATACTCTGAGGCGGGTACCACGCTAAACTGTAGGCTTCCAGATCAATACTCCGACTGACGGACACCGACCGATGGCATGGGACGCGGATCGGCAGCGAGACTTCCGCCCTGCCGACGGCTAGAGGGCACTGCTGTCGCGTAGCTTAGCCAACAGCTAGAACTAAAAATCAAACTCTCTCTTGGAATAAAAGGAGACACAAGTCCAGCGCGCACTATAAATTTACCAGAGAAACTTGAAAAAATCAATTTGTTTAGAAGGAAAATCGTTATGACTTAAAGGTATAGTTATTCTCATTACATTTGCAAGCATGATGTGTGGTACACCCGGAAAACAACTTTCATTTGTTCTACGCACGATCCATCACACAACTAAATACGACGAATAATAATTTCAAATTTCTATTGAGCGCAATGATACTTAAAAAATAAAAAGTATTATAATATTTGATGCTTGAAAAACTATACTTTTTGTCGCAAAACTAGGTACTTCGTGCAACAATACAACCCGCCAGTAATTTGAGCCGGCGTCATGGTCAAAGATGGCGTCCATGCGGGGGCTTTCGAAGTTTGCGAACGACCATTCTGGCGATCCATGAACAATAAGGATGAAATTCTGTAAAAATTGCGAAAAATAATTTTTGAAGAGTCACATGCCCATACGCCCCGTTCCAAATCTCCTGATTTTTAATGGCTTGCTGTTGTTGCCCGTCTCCATGGGGTATAGCTCAGTCGCCCTTCTGGACCAACAGGTCTAGTACAAACCCGCCACACACTTGGCTCTTGAGATGATTTGGAAAGTTGTTCACAGACGTCAACGGTTTCGCTTGCGTAGAAATAAAAGCACAAATATTATGTGCGAGGCGTTTCGCGTCATCGGCGTAAATGCGAGGACTTGTATACTTCATTCACGAGAAAGGGTGTGCTTGTGCTCAGTCCCTGGAGCACAGCCGTTGCCCTACCTTCCAAGAGAGCGTGAAAGGGGAGGGAAGCAGTTTAATGTTAACGATTTTCGTGTAAACTGGTAACACTCTTAGACACCCCTAGTTTCTAAATTTTTTCATATTCAGGCGCGTGCTTATTACGTTGGTAAGCCTTTTTTCTCAATATTGAGAGAATTGGTTGGTCTTCCCCCTTCCCCCCTAAAAAAAAAGCCCAAAATACATTTGTGAATTGGGTCAAAGTCAAATTTCAATGAACTTATTCTTGCTAGAGGGGTGAGAAATGGGAAAAGAGTGACTATTCTATAATAATTGTGTTCAGTTTCACATTGGACAAAAGAGCTTTTATTGAAGGCATACTGTAAACATGACTATTGCATCAACATAAAACCGTCTGAACATAAGTAAAAGCGTAGACAGACTCAAAAAATAATACTGTACAAGACGTAGATTAAAGATTGCTGATTCGTACCGCCTTGGAAGACTGAACTATTGGGTGAATTGAGCAATTCAGATTGCAGCCAGTACAAGAGGCTGCAACTGTTAAACCTGAATGAACAAAGCAGATCTACTTTACATACACTCACTTTTGTTAGGCTGTAGCAAGTGCCACTTAAAAAGAATAATAGAACCATTCCTGAGGAGAGAGATTCTTTTCTGCAACTAAATAAAAAATTAACATGGTAGTAATGACACACAAAATTATGGTGACCAGACTGCTTTAGGTAGACATGTTTGGTAAACAAAAAGATTTTAAAAAAAGAAAAAAAAAACACAACTGAAGAAATAACAGACATAATACATTAGCCATGGTAAATAGCAATGTTAAGCTTTACATTTTGTACAAAAGATATCAAAAATGACTTGTTACTACAAATGATATATAAATATATATATAGCGGTAGATATATGTTAGCAGTCAAGTCCGAAGTGCAGGCAAAACTAAGATTACCCACGTAATGTTAAGTGTGGCAGTTCCATTTTCGAAAATGTTCAATTACTATTGTTTCACTCAACATTTTTCCTATGTAATGTTGCACACAAAACATTACCTAGGTAATCTGAGGTTTGCCAGCACTTCAGACTAAACCGCTAAAATACATATATTGAGAATAAGCACTTTATATTACAGCGCTTGGCTTTGTTACAAGGTCAGAACATACACTCTCAACAAGCTGATGATGTACATACATTACAAAGGCAAGTAAGATGCACATAGTTTAGAAAATGCACCAAAGCACTCACACAAAATATACAAAGTAAAGATTAGGTCTGGCATTTAGAAAATCAGTTCAACCAGGATACAGCAATTAGCAGCACCAACTACCAAAGCACTCCATGCTATTTCTAAAATAAGTTACATAATGACTGACTGCAAGGGGTGATTAACATACCAAGTAACATTTGTCTAAATGAGGCAACAAGTAGTTTTTCTTTTCCTCCCAGAACTGTGAACAACCAGTTTGTATAAGGCTCATTACCTAATCAATCCATGCAATGGAGTTCTTAACACTCATCAATAAAGTATCATCCACCATAAATTGAACAAAAAAAGTGAATACAAGTTCCTACTGATACAGTTCTGACATGACAACAAAAGGGTTCTCATCTCAGGTGATCACAGTTGCGTTACATCACATACCTTTGAAGATTTCAATAACAGCACCATTCTGGCTGTAAAACTTAGTTTTTTTATTTTATTTTTCTCACAGCTGTTACTTTCCTTGCCTTCCAACTTGAAATTTAAGACAATGATTCAATTAGAATTAGATATACCACAGAAAATGAAGTTAAACAAAAATTACAACTGTTTGGAGATAACATAATAAGAAACAAAGGTAAAAAGTACATTTATTAAAAGAAATCCAAAATCAACAACTATGGTTAGGTGAGAAAAAAATGTTCTGTGAGCAACACATTTAAGGCAGAGCTGTTACCAAAAAAAAGAGGATACATGATTTGAGTAAATAAATGATAAGGACACACAATACAAACCATTGTACTTCTCATAAGAAGCAGAGACTTAATACATGGTTTCAACTGGGGGTAGATGAAATACAAAATACTGTCAAAGGGAAAGCATTCAAAATAAACATAACAATATAAATTAAGTATGAATGTAAGCTCATATCTAAGCCATAAAAATTAAGCAGAGCCAGTCATTTATCATGACAACAAAATATGAAAGCTTGCACTGTGTGCAGCAATTGCTTGAGGCTGGTTAACAGCTTGTTTCATAAATACTGCAATTTAACAATTTTGAAGAAATAACCACTTTTACAGTGTTTCAAGGTCTTACAAAATATTTTTAAAAGGCAAATGCCTTCACACAATACAAACTTAAGTCAAGATAAAGGCACAAAGAGATTTGAAGGCTAAAAAAAAAGTACCATCTCAACTATTCAACAGAGGTAGAAGGTACAATACTGCAGTACCTTTTCACAGTTAGAACGGTGGGTGAGATTCAAGAAAACCACTACAGAAACATTCTCATCTGTCTAGGAAGCACTGCTGAGAATTTTTGTTAATGCAGTTCCCATAAATGCAACTAGGTGGTAATACATTAATTCACATGAAACAAACATTTTTCAGAAATTAAAACACACTAAAATTAAAGAAAACTTGTTTTTCTGAAACACTTAACCAAATTCCAGTTGGCAAGACAGTGATAAAATTTATAAGCACTAAGAAAAACTTGTGCTGCAGATCTTTCATTTAGTCACCAGAGTACATTCTTGAATATAGCTTTTCTAATATCTTTAATTGGTTGGGCATTGCACCCTTACTTGTCATTGAATACAGAAGGGTATCCCACTCGAATTCAAGTTAAGATAGGATATATCAAACCACAGACACTGTGAAGGAACATAGAACTAGCATAAATGAGTAAGCACACTCCCTATTTAGAATGACAAAATTTGTTACCTACTGATCTCTTGGCATTGCTAAACCTAAATAAGCACATTCTTAAGTATCATACAGTTTTGTTCCCTCTGAATCTAACAAATATCTGACACTAGAGGACAGCATAGAGCCTAGCACTTTGAACTTTAACTGCCCTATGTTGTCTTAACTCCCACATGAACCTTACAAAGGGCACTAAAAAAGGCAGCAAGCTCAGTGTTATGGTCAGGTGCAAGATTACATAAGTTACGTAAGGATACTATGTTTAAAATAGCATATTATCATTCAACGATAGAAGTATTTCAAGTTGAAACATGTAATAACATCAACAATGGTTGTTAATAAAATATCACTTGAAAATGCAACAGCAGTCCAACAAAATTGGATTTTGTTCTAAAATGTTTAGATTGACCCTCTCAAAAATTAGTGTAAACCTACCTACCTAGCTACCTACCTACCTACATACCTACATCCACACACACGCGCATACACACACGCGCACACACACATAGACACAGTTATTCAAAATAAGAGGATTCTCAATTACAATGAAGTAGAACAACCATCATTGCAAATGTAGAATTTCTATGCCAGTATGCATCAAAAGAATCAAAGCAAATATTGTATTAGATCAAAATACCAAGGTGAGAAATAAAAATGGACCAGCATTGAATGACCTCCAGGGGACACTCACTTCTTACACAGTGCCCATTAGTATTGATAATCATTAATCAAACAAGTCAGAAAATGAAAAGCCTAATGCTTAGTTTCCAATAACATTTGAATAAGTTCCCAGGATCATTTAGGGCACTTTCTGGAACCAGGTAAAACCACTTAGAACATTTTTAGAACACACACATCTTCTGACAACAATGATTTCATGAATTTTAAGGATATGAGATGACGACATGAGGTAGTGTTGGAAAACACTCTGGCTTTCTCCTCTAACAACAATGAGTAACAATTGAGTAACAGGCTATCTGCATTGGCAGAACAGCAGCTAACTAAAAGTATAGCATAAGAATATACCATACTATAAAATTTCCTATGCAAAGAAAAGCCCCTCCAGCTCTTGCTCCTGCTACATCTACCACTCCAGAGACTAGGATCAACAGCGTCAAAAGCACGCAAATGTGCACACTCATGCGCCCTCTTCCTTAAAATCATATGTACACAATAACAAGTACGAACAGATGTGAGCCTTGAATAGGAACACAGCAACATGTGCAGATAACTCAGTGTTTTACACATGCAAAGGAAAATGAGATAAAATGTCTTAACAAAAATATATTACGAGTACATGAGGCGAACATTATACTTAATGATGCCAGAGGAGCAAGAAACTAAAATATAGCATTTTGGCTTGAAGCTATGGTATACCCAACTCACATAAAATTTACTCTGAGGAGAATTATTGTGCTAAAAGAAATTTGCTGTACACTATGGAGGAACAGGTACATGAGGAAAATTTTATCAAAATGATACTAAGGGTCCTAACATTTAAAAAAAAAATAATTAAAAATGCTCTATTGCCAGCAAATCTCAAAAATAAAAAAAAAGGAGAAAAGTGTCTGTATTATAGTGAATTTGATAATACTTAAATTTGAGCATGTAAACACAGGGACATGCACAGTCGAACAGTAAAAGTATGAGCATTTTTAAAAACCCATTGATAGTATAAGTAATTGTGACAAGATATTTTGCCAGAGGAAATCATGCAATGCTGAGCAGATTAGACTACACAATGATAAATGTGTAGCACATACAAGTTCATTTAAGATAAAAATTACCAGGCCACCTCCTGAAGCAATATTCCCAAAAGCATTGGGAGAAATAAACATCTGTCTTGAAAGTAACTTAAAAGAAGCTACACTTTGAATGGCTGTGTGGATATCATGAACATAACTTACATTCAAGATGAAATTCAATAAACTCAAACTTCATCAGGAGCCAAATCGTCTGGGCCTGAATTATTTGATGGAGCAGTAGCTGGGACTGGTGCAGGTGCGGATGGCAATGCGTCCGCAGTACCATCAGTAACTTGCTTAGCTTCCAAAGCTCGAATACGATTTTCATGTTTCACAATCATGGCTTTTAATTTACGAATCTCTTCCCGGAATTCTTTAATAATGTCATCCTGAAAAAACAGAGTCAATAGTGTTATTTTGGAAACAATGGGAGAAAAAGAAATTGACTTGCGAAACAAAAAATAGTTAAGTACCGATAATGCAGCAGGAGGGGGTGGGGCTGGCGCTGATGGGGTATCTGATTCATCAACTGATCTGTGGTTGATGGCAGGAGCAGTGCTTGAACTATTCTTTCCCAACTTATCAAGAACATTTCGCTTGCCACCAGGAGCCGCTACTTTCAGATCACTCTTCTTGGTGCTTGTGTATCCATCTCTGAGTGATATGAGCACTGGCTCTGCATTCTTGCCATCCATCCATTCCTCAGCACTAAGAGCAGATGTATCACCCGCTGTATCCGGGTACAAGTCCTCTTGAAACAGCTCAGACTAAAGAAGAAAACATAATGGAAACAAAGGACACACCCAAACATGTACAGAAAGTTGTCAATGACAAAAACTTACCTTTCTGGGAACTGTAAAGCTGATAACTTGACAGAAACCAGAATTGTTGATGCGGTAAAAGCGAGCAATTTCACATGAGGTTACATCACAACCCCTCTTTGGCATAATACCGATGCCTCTCTGGGCATCAGGTGTTGGGAAAGTGTTGATGTAATGCACGAATGGAGGCTCGGATGTTATTTCAAAATAGCGGATGACACTGTCTCCCTGCAAGAAAAAGACAAAATGCATCAGACTGTATAAAAAAAACTTAGGAAATTCATACGCATCACAATCACAGTGACTCACCTTGCCACACAAGTACACCAGATTGGTGTCAGGATCATACAGAGGGAACATGACGCCATTACTGGTGTCGAGCTCCACCATGATAATTGGCTCCTCCAAATGGCCGGGTGCTCGCAGCGAGTACTGTCTCTCACTGGCTTTGCTAAATCCTGTTGTAAATATCAGGCCACTTTTCAAGTAAAGGGCTCTGGAGGCTTTAGTTCCTTCATGGCATACAGCTTCCTGATAAATTAAAACAACAGAAAAAGTGAAAAAGTGGAAAACATATATCATAGAGCAAAACAGAAAACTGCCGTAGCTGTACCTCATCAACTTCCCCACTTTTAGGGTCAATAATACGCATTTTCTTATCTTTGCAGGTGGTAAGAAGTTGTGATCCATCCCAATTCCAGCATGCGCTATATACAATATCTGGATGACAATCAATGTGTACCAACATTTCTCCAGTTCCGACATTCCAAATAACAACTTGATTGTCAGAGCCTGGAAAAGAGAGATTGCAAATCAGGGTCACAAATACAAAGGCAAGAAACAAGAGACCTTTAAATAAACGAGTTATTTACCAGCAGTTAGTAAGACATTCTGTGCTGTGGGGTGCCACAAAACTAAACCAACTCTTCTTTGATGGTAGAGAAGATCAACAACTGGCTCTGTCAATGTCCTGTAAAAGTAGATAGCCACTTTTATACACCGTTGGCACCGAGTGGCAGGAAGCAAGAGCAATGGTAAGCAAAGGCAGCATGCCAAAGCTGCATTTTCCCTCCAAAAACGGGTGAAGGGAGGGGATGGGATGGCCATGACAACAGATTTTAAGAAACAAACCTGGAAATTCCACCATCAGGAATCTGCCACACTTTTACAACACAATCCTCAGATCCACTGGCTATAACATTGTCATTGTGTGGACACCAAGCAATGTCCAGTACGGGACCCTTGTGTCCTCCAACTAAAGGATAGTCAGCTGGTATCCTTCCAACCTGCAGAAAAAAATCAGAGGCATTAGCATGCTTTAGCAAAAAATAACCCCTAAGTTGGAAGAGCAAAGACATGCACTGTGAACAGTAGGTAACAAAATAGCAGTAACAGTAGATTTTGCTGTTATTGTCATAAACACAGCTACAAATAAACAATTCAAGCTACATAACATATTTAATAGAGCATTTACATATGGGGTCATATTTTTAAAATGACGAATCTATCAACCAATAAAAGTAGCGTTGAAACCTAGATAAGTCATTCCTGTCCGCGAACAAAAAATAGAACTATACCTAACTATTCTATACATGCTTGTAGTCCTATAAAAAGTCTTTAACTCATTGGTGATGTCTTTTAGATAGACTTTAATGGTAACTCACTTTGAAAAATAACGCAAAAAATAAAAGTAATTTTTAAAAAATGGGTAGACTGACAGTTATAACTTACAGAACATGGAATGAAAAGGAAGAAAGAAGGAACAGTGGAGGAGCAGACAGGAGTGAGCGAATTTCAGTTGGTAAAAAGACTGCATAGAAAATATAGTAAAAAGTATGCCAGAGGGAGGCAGGCTAGGCGGGGCAGATCAGGACAGGGAGAGATATACATGGCTGGCACTTCCATCCACTACTCCACTCTTGTGCCAAAATCTATTTATATCACAGAAATCTCAGAATAGCTCAGACACACATACTCTGCTGGTGTTCAGAGAACGATTCAAATTGAATGACCCACAAAAGAAACAAGCAAATGGAAGAAAACAAAGCCTAAACAAATAAACAAAATTCATAAGAACATGCTTAATTTGTAAATAAGATACTGACCATGCACACTAGAAAACAGGCAACTGATAAAAATTTATCTCTCTTCAGCAATCAAATAATTCTCCTAGGGAGATTAAAATAAGACAAAAAAAAATGTCTATATAGTGAAAATAAATACGCAGAATGTTCCCATTTCAAAGACAACATATTAATACCTCAGACAAACGAAAGAAAGAAAAGAGAGGTCTATTGCTAATTTCAGTTGGGACATCTTCCATGATGCATTGCAAATTTAGATACATCTTTTCTACTAAACTAAAACTGATGCAAAATAAGGGTATTGCAATGCGAATGAACATCACTTACTCTTAGACAATTGTCGACAACTTGGTCCCTCACAGGCCATAATAATGATATTACTGTCACATTCAGGTGATTGGGCAAGCTGTGATGCAGATAGAAAGTTTCCAAATTTTGAAATCAATCATAAAGGAACGAGACTTATGTGTCATTTACACACCAACAATCATCGCCAGACAAACACGATAAGACATTCAGACCCATGTCAGTCTTCCAAAATCCAAAAGCACCAATAAGTTTTTGTGGCTAATCATTAAATAATCATAAGATTCTCTCTGAAAATGCCATTCTCTGACAGGCACAAAAATGTTGCCAGACGTCCAATTTGGAACTAAGCACACTAATCAACTGTGAATTCAAATACAAAAGAACAGGAATATTGCCAAAAAGAAAGGCAATGCATAGACCAGAGAGACTTAAGTTCACATTTCAACAAACTTGGATGCCTCCAACATCAATGTCAAAAATGACCAGTATCACAAACTAGGGCGAGCAGGTTTCAGGTCAACCAGCCATCAGCAAGTACGATCTATTAGGCACATCTCAAATCTCAATGATCTCAATTACTTTCATAGTATTGGAAATCGTATCCGCACACTTTGTATTAGCTCTTTGATGTTGCAACAATTCTTAGGGTTATATCAGTTTTGTTAGGAACTGTGAACTCACCTTGTTGTGAGGTAGGACAATAAATGCGCCTCCTCCAGCAGACTCAACGATAATGGCCAGAAATTTGGGATTCACCGCACAGAAGGTTGAATCCCATGATGACTTCGATACTCTGATGTTATCATAGCAGTGCTCTCTTTTGAGAGCTGTTCCATACACATGACGAAATTTACTGCTTCGTACTACACGAAAAGACATCTGAAAAAAGGGAGGACGGTATTGATAAAAACTGCAGAGAAAAGTTTCCAGAGGATATTCTAACCTAAATCACACGCCCAATGTAGCCCCAAGTCCTTATTTCACGATTTTTAACCAAAACCACAGAAATAGAACTTCTGGCATTAAAAAGACGCACCTCGGGGCAGTATGTAAGCTAAAGAGCGGCCGCCCTACTCATCTATCCTTTAAAACAGTGAGAAGCAGAACTGTGTCGATAAATATTGAGAAATCAGGGTTAGGCGGCTAAACCACCCGAGGTGCAGTAGAGGGTTTCTGAACGGAAATAGATTCACAATGCCATATTAGGTAATGCTTCGCGTGACAACATAAGGAATCCGTCAGAGAGAAATCTATCACAACGAGACCATAACTAACGAAATAGAAAATCAACAACCTTCTCTTCTGCTCAGCAAAATATCCAGAAAATAAAACTAGACATATATTGTTTAGAGTATCAGTGGGTTCGTTCGTGTAGGGGGCGCGAAGAGCTTCAAAACTGGGATGCTGTGATTTGGAACATGAGTCAGAGCGGTCAGAGCGGTCACTTTTCAAACGCACGGGGTAGCGCCCCGCCCCTCCCGCCGCGCTGTGTGCCTGCCTGCTGTGTCTGTGTGCGTGGGGTATCGCCAAGAAGAAACGCGGCGGCGTCAAGGAGGTTCGGCCGCGGCACGCAAGATAGCGCCTGTGCAGGGGAATGACTAGGGATGCGGACGATGCGGACTGCGGACGGGCAGGCGGCAGGCGGCCTGCGGTCGCATCGCAATCGTCTCATCCTCACTTCGCGACAGGATGTGCACGCCGTCCTGTCGTCCCGTCTTTATTCGCCTTTCCGCCTTTCCCTCATTTATTTACTTCGCAATCTAAAGACAACCCTGGCAAAGCGTCAAATTTGGCCCGCATGGGCGCTCGCCGCGCGTGTGTTGTTGATGCAGACCTATTGTGTCACAGCCAGGGCACAGCCGGGGCACAGCCAGGGCACAGCGCGGCTTCATTCACAGTGTCGGGGCGTTCCGTCCCTTGCTTTCGGGATCTCCGCACATTATAGTGTACCGGCGAAACTCCCGCCCGCCATCCCGTTGTGTGTTTGTGCGAGTGTCGCTGAGAGTCCCCCTTCTCCCCCCCCCCTCCCCTCTTTCCAGGGGTCCTCCCGAATGTGCTACACCCAAGCAGCGAAGCAGCACGACAAGGTGCCATTTGGGGAAAATCGGGTTCGTGACTCAAAGGCCGAGAAAATGCCGTTGCTCGATGACTCACTGGGGAGCAGACTCTGCCGGCTCGCTCGCACAGCTCGCACGAGCCGCGGGAAAATCCGAAACCCCGTTGCAATCAATGGGATCCGCATCCAGTGTAGTCGGGGAAAGGGGGCACCACACTGTAAGGAACTGTAACTGTGCGAAACGAAAAGTAGCCCAAGTGGCAACAAGGTTCTTGCTGGCCGTTTCTTCAAAGTACCCTGTCGCACTGTGTAAGTACAGATTCGATTTTGAAATACCGCTGTAAAGGAGGCAAAAGCATGGCTCGATCCAACAAGAACATGATTTGACCGAGCAATCCAAACAATTTGAGTAGGCGAAATACCAGATTGACAAGCTTCCAAACGCAACGTCAATGGCTCACCCAAACGTCAAAGATCGATCTTCTCTCACTTCGCCGCGTATGTAAAGTCAGGACCGTCCGTAGTCTGCCACTCCTTATTCCTCCCCAAAATGAGAACAAGTCGAGACTTGTGAATTGTGGACGGTCCCGCTTGCCAGAGCGCCTACGCTCGCCCGCCGCTGTCGCTTCACTTGACGGCCGCGCGGAACCCAGGAACACCCGGGAAGCCGTGAACCGCCTGCGAAGGACTGGATAGGCAACCCCCCGGCACCGGCGTCGCGCGGGCCGGCCCACTGCAAATCATCATCATCATCAAGGGCTGGACCACATATGATCGTATGCCATTTCGGGCCCGACACATGCCCGCCTGCACTGCAAAACGGGACAAGGTCGTCCTTACTAAGGTGGTACTTTACCTCGGCGGAGGGAACCTCAGCGGCTGCACGCTCCGGCTCGCAGTACCAGTCCTTGGGGTTGGGGGCCTATGTTCCCCCGAAAGGGGTCGCGTAGACCTCCGCCCCGGAACAGCCTCTTTGAGCACTACCGAGTCCGGTACCCCCCTGCTTCGTCCCATAGTTCTTGGGAACAGAGAAGGTTTCTTCTTTGTCTTCTGTCGTGGTGCGTTGGCGATATGTTTTTAAGTTTTGTTCTTCGCCCTTCTCCTTTCTTCATGCGACCTTGCTGCCGCCGGTACGGCGCCGACAGGCTAGCCAGCCGTAGGTACACCGACCGATTGCACCCCAACGCCGAGCACGCCGAGCTGCCAGCTACACTCCTGGTTGTATACCTGCAATATTCGCGAAAAATAACCGTCGCTTTGACACTCCCTGCCGCCTCCCCCGCAGCAGAACTCGGCCGGGTCGTTGCCCGAGCAGCAACCTACGCCACGTGCTGGCCAGACCAGCAGGCCCAGGCTTGCCGAAACCTCGGCGGCATTCGCGTCTGAAAGGAGCAGCGGACAAACAATGCGGCTGGGGAACACCTGTATACTGTAAAGTTGTCATATCCTCCGGCAGCCAGGCCCAGGTCGGCCCGGCTCCGGCTCCGCGCCGTCGGCTGCACTTCGTGGGATTGGGCAGGCCACCGGCCCGCCCCGCCGGCCCCCTCCCCTCCCCTCCCCTTCCCGGTAGTTGGCATGGTGGGCGCGAAACTGCGGACACACTGCTAGCGACCGCTGTTGGGGACCGTCCGTAAGCGCCCCCGCCGCTGCTTCGTCTGGACACAAATCGCGGATTTTGGTCTTCGGTCGCAAGGAGTCGGGCTGGGCTGTTGTCCGTATGGTGGCGGTCGCGCTGTTGGTCTCGCGGTGACTGCAAGGCCCGCCCCTGGGTCGCGCTGGAGCCTCTTCCGACCGCGTCTCGCGGAGAACTCTAGAAGGGAAAGCGGATATGGACAGAACCGAGATAGGGTTATGTTGTTGGGGCGCGCGGATACAGCAACCGTGTAGCACTGCCGGAGGTGCACCGCCTGTGTTGCCGAAACGCGGCGCCGGGAATCCCTCGATGACGTCGACACGGCGCAGGGATTCGGGCCCGCGCCCCGCCCTCTCTCCGCACGCCACTGTCCGCCGCAGCTCGCCCTTGACCGACACAACATAATCAGCCCTTCTGCCTGAGCTCCAGCGACAGCTGACTCCTGTCGGTCCGACCACTTCGTCGACACACTCTGCCCTGGGACTATCGCGTGCCGGTGCTGAAACTGAAGTGTCCCATTGCTTTCAAGACCGGAACCTGGTAGGCCCGGCACTGCCGCGCGCCTGGAGCAGTCAGTGCCTGCCGCAGCACACAGCGACGACCACACAAACGCACTACCGTCGCCGCGAGGATAAGCGAGCAAGCTGGAACCTCGAACTTCAAACCGGAAACTTGGAGGACGATGGAGGCGCCACTCGCCAGCACGCCGCACCTGAAAACACTCTGGGGGGCCTTCCCCCGGGTGACCGACGGTCACCCCAGACCTTGCGCTGGAGGGGGCGGGGAGGCCCCTCCCCCCCTTCACTCCCTCTCGCTGGGGCCCGCGCGCTGCGTTGGATGCACTGGCTGGGCTGGTTGGTGTCCCTCTCTCCTCGCGTTGCGTCGTCCTCGGCGTTGGGGCGGGCGATGCGGCGCGGCGACGGCGTCTCTCGATGCTGAGTTTGTGGTATCCTCAGGATGTGGGCGGTAGCACGGCACTAGTTCTAACCCTACCGATAGATAGACTCGCGGCACCCTACAACACTGGCTAGCCCGGCGGGCGGCTGCCTGGCTCGGCTCGGCTCGGTCCTCGCCTCGCACCAACGCGCTGCGCACCGAGCGCAGTTTGCCTGAAACGACGGCCGTCCCAGCCAAGGGAGGCCGATTTCGCGTCCCTTTGCCAGGTACGCTACGCGCCGCGTGCAGTTTTGCCTGCTTCGACGGTCGTCCCAGCGGAGGAAGACCGATTTCGCGTCCCTTTGCCAGGTAGCCGGAGGACGGTGCGCTCGCGACCGCTGCCTCCAGGCAACTCCGGCCCACTGCAAAGGCGTTTCAGAGCTCCAGCCAGTGTGGGTGTACCTGGAGCCTGGAGCCTGGAAGGCACTACAGCGTCCCTCCAGGATCCTGCATAGTCTTGCTTCCCTACGTTGTTTTGGGGTCACTGGCGAGAGGTCCTGGCAGACCCAGAAGGGACGGGGAGGGAGGCGGGGTGCCTTTCGGTTCTCGCGCCGCTGGAGGGTGTTTCGTGTTTAAATTCGAACAGCAGGTGAGGCAAAGCCAAAGCCGCGGAGTCGCGGTCATCGGCTTGTTGATCTTTGGATCTCTAGGGGGTCAGTGGCCACTGTGTGGAGGCGGCGGTGCCCGGACGGGACGCCCGGGGGCAACCACCGGCAACAGCACGCCCAGGCCAGGTCGGTGGATCCAGGGTGGATACCCAGGGCCGACCACCACTGCATCTAAACGGGATAAACGTTCGCGCAATTCAATGTGTGAGTCGATGTGAGAAGGGGGGGGGGATCGCGTTGTTACTGACACCTACCTACCCACAGCCATATAACAACCACACGGCACTTTGGGCGATGCCGCCACGCCCGTCTGCCCCGTCTGCGGACACGGGTGGGTGCGGTCATGGCGGGGTCGGCAACCCGTTGGGGGACGCGCCGTTCGACCCTGACTGTGGAGACGGACCGTTTGGGTGGTTGGAAGTTTTTCCGCTGAAAACGAACGCGCTGACTCGGAACAGTGCTTCGGTCGCGCAGACCGACCAACCACTGTTCGGAATCAGCTTGCAGTGTGGTGTGTCGCGGACCTGTCCTCCTCCGCGGCCTTGGCTGCCTTGGCTGTGCGGCTAGCGGAGCGCCTCGACGGGGTGGGTAGACCAGACCGATAACGACAGCCAGACAGCCAGGCGGCCACCTCCTCATCGGCTCCGGTTTTTATTGCACCTCTTTTCCTCATTTTCCGCCTTCAGTGTGTGTGTTGTTGCGGGATGGGGCGGGGTGGGGCGGGGCGAGGCGGGGCGGGCAGGCTCGGACTGGCCCCCAAAAGGCCCCAGCGGATAAGACCGCAAAAGGCACCCGATCATCATTATGTTTTTACCCTTCATGACCAACTTTGTGAGGCAACCACTCCCAAACTAGTTGCGGTCAATAACCTTCCCGATACAGGGCATGAAAGAGTAGGGTCTTAAGAATACAAGGGCGTCGTGGGAAGCCTTTTACGGCTACTAGATTGGACACAGTGGCCGCCCAAAGTCAGCAAAATCAGCAAATTTCCGAGATTCGACCACTTTTTGACCAACTTAGTCGG